GCCACAAAACAATGTTTCTTGACTAAAATCGACCGATTGCCTATTCCCGTTTGGAAATTATATATCACAACTACATATTCTGAGATTTTCATGGTCGCAGCTAACATTGTATTGCCGTACGCGCAATTTGAAATTTATCAGAATTTACCGGGAGCACCAGGACAATTTTGATATTCAATTTTTCTCGAAAGCAGAAGTGTTTTAGGGGCTAATTTTTCTAGTGCTTATAATAAATCCACAGGGGCATCCAAAAATATCAAAATTGTAAAGAATCACTATCCAGCCAATTTTTAAAATTTCCCAAAACTTTGTATTACTTTGTATAATTACAAAAATGTTGTTTTGCAAAATTTAGTTGATATTCACTTTATAACCATTAATGAGTGAGTTATTGCAATAGAATTATTTAAATTGAATTGAACTGAATAGAGTCAACTCTAAAGGCTCCATCTCCGTAATCATTTTAACAGTATCGAGCCACATACTCTCTATAAAACACCGCTCGTTTCGAAATTTATATAAAATAAGGAATTCTCGAGGAAAAGTTAAGAACACCGTTCCACCTACCCTGCCTCCCCGTTCTCCCGTCCAGGGAATTTGGTTTTGTTCGTACTTTCTTTCAGTCGTCTTCTATTATCTATCTTTTTTTTTAAACAGCGGTGTTTCATTCAGTGCCAGATACAACGGTGTCGATTTGTATCCGTGGTTGGGGGGGGGGGGGGAGGGGGATGATAGGTGCCAAAATATTTTCGGCAATGGATCAAAGCAACCAAGAGGTAGAAGCGTGTGGCAGGTTGCACCCCTCCCTTACAAGTTATTAACTTGTTTTCAAGTCACCCTCAATAAAGATAACATTTCAGAGAATATAGGACCCATGTGGGTCCCACATGGCTTGCAACTTGGGTAGTAAGCACGCGAAGAGTGCGAATCACTTACAGAGCGCGCGAAGCGCGCGACCTAGGGGGATGGGTGCAGAGAAGAAGCTTTAATCTTTTATTAAATTATTAGAGAAAGAAGACGACTCGTTGTACCGTTCTCGACTCTTAATCCTTGTCTAAATTCAGTTTCTTTTGACGTTTCATTAAATTATTAGGGAAAGAAGATGATTCGTTGTACCGTTCTCGACTCGTAATCTTTTTTTTTCCTACGTCCTCTTCCTTTCTTCTTTCTCTCTCTCTCTCTTTTTGGGCCTGCGTTTTTGTTTTTGTTTTTCTTTTGTTTTTTTGTTTTTTTGGGGGGCGACCGCCCCCCTGGCTAAGCGCCTGTATCCTCTCTGTCTCTCATTATCTCTCTCTCCCACTCTCTACTTCTTTTTTTTGCACTTTTGCGCTTCGCGCTTAACAGCTCTTTGCTTTTCAACGCTGCGGCTTTGCATTTGGCGCACTGCATTTCTATAATGCTTGATTGATTGAATAAATTGAATAAATTGATCAATTTCTGATGAAGCCGTTCCATTTATTCTTGTCTCATATACGGTTGTCTCATTTACATATATATTATGAAAATGAGATAGCAAAATGGATATTGATGGTCATCTTGCGAGTAATAACCATTAACTACTCTCATCGGGCTCTCATCATTAATTTTTCTCTTCATTTTTTTTTTGATGGTGAATTATTGGGGGGATGATTGTACAGGCTATCCCCCCCCCCACCTGAAATATTGGGGGGGGGGGGGGATATGTCCCCCCATCCCCCCCCCCCCCGGGATCGACACTCATGGCCAGATATATTGATCTGTTCACTCGGTACCCGTCTCTACCCGAGTAGCATCAGTTTTTATCAAGGCAATTTTTTTACACTAAAGTTACATTTTGAGGGGGAATATACATTAATATCAAAAGTACGAAGAAATAATATTGTGGTGATATCATGACGGAAGGGCTAAAGCAAAGAGCTTGTGTAGGCTACGCCTGAATGGTTTAAACAATGATCAAGCGAATGGAACACAAATAATAGTTTAAAGAAGGGAAAAGAGGGGCACAGAGCAAAGAGCAAAGAGAAAGCATATGCAAGAAGTATGTGCACAGTACAGACTAAATGGAAATTACAGGGGAGATACAGTAACCGCGAGAGAAAGAAAGAGAGAGAGAGGGGGAGATAGAGAGAGGGAGTGGGAGAGAGAGAGCGAGGGGGATGGTGGAGAGAGGGAGAGAGACAGGGAGAGAGTGAGAAAGAGTGAGGGAGGGAGAAAGAGAGAAAGAAAGAGGAGAGGGGGTATAATGTCTTTATGTGTATGTTACAATGTATTTGTGTGAGAGATATTTGTACAGAGGCCCTTTCTCCTGTTACTTCTGCGGTAAATATATTTTGACAGAAACTCTGAATATGAATAGATATTTTCAACAAAATCATTTGCCTCTACATCTCACTAATCTTGCATTGTTGTATCGGTTACATCAACAACTACATAAATATTTAATATCTACATATTCAAAAACATTATAAGGGTCTCAGAGCTTTTTATTGTTTGTTTATATAAATTATTTTAGATATCCAGTTCATTAACAATACGAATCGAACACTTACTCACCTGCACACACCCACTTGCACACAGTTGCACAATTTTGTTTTTCTTTTTTAAATTTCTTTCCACTTTTTATTTAGATACTTTCTGAACAATTTTTTTATACGTGACACTCTATTCCCCTACATACTCCTAAAACAGCGCCATGTACCCCCTCCCCCCCCCCCCCCATTCCCGGCTGCTATCGGCTCAAGCATTCTTGCTTATTATAGTTGGCCTCTGCATTTATCTTGATTATTTTTACTTACCCCGATACTTTCAAGCTTTCAATTATGCATTTTCTATTTGTGTGTATTTAAGTTGTCATTCTTTATGTAAATCAATTATATTATGTACTATGTTTGTTATTTGAATGTTTTTATATTTGATTTATCAATAAATGCAGAAACATCTGCTATAAAAAAAAAAAAAAAAACTAAAACATAAAATTTACAATGATGTGCTTCCAGACAGACACATTTTTTCGCACCGAGCGCACCACAAATAACGCGTTTCCATTGTTTTAGCGGTGTGTGACGTAATCACTTTACTACCCGATTTTATGCGCATGCATAATACGATGATGATACGATAATTACGCAACAATGGAAGATGCGTTGCCACTTGTTACGTCATAATAAAACTGCGTGATGCGCATGCGCAGGGATAGGTTCGCGCAATTAATGACATATCCATAATGATTATGTTTATGTAGTCATGGTTGTGAACAGTGTATTCTCCAACAATTACAAATACAAAGAGAGTGCAAGCAACAAATATTTTTAGAGGAAAGAAGATGTTGAATGAGTTGTTGATAAGCTAGAGCCTGTTTTAAACTCAATATGGTATGTATTTAGTTCACTTCTTCTTAAATATTCATAGGCTCTGTATAAGCTTGGCTTGTTAAAACTCTTGTGAGCAATGTGCCGCGGGATTCCCTATCCTTAAACTGCTGGCGAACAGAGCAACAAGACCAAGCTCTGTAATTATTAGGATCTCTGTCCAGTAGTGCCGTGTTTGTGCCATCAACCTGGATCGACCAAATCAATTGACTCATAATATATATAATATATTTTCCCCGTGATAATGAGAGTAATATTTATCGCTTCATTCTTTTAATTAAATGTAATGTTAATTGTTATTGTATAATAATGGGGCACGCTACAAGAGTCCTATCTAGCACCCCGGGGAAACGTGTCTGACACGGCCGGTTGAAGCAACTACTCCGAAGATGAAGATACATTAATCTGATCTAAGGAGACAAGAACGAACGAACTTCTTCTTGGAACACTATCGCAATTGCTTTCGAAAAAATCATCAAAAGGGCATTTTACCCGTAAAAATCGTATTCGGATTGCGTATGTCATCGTAGTGTTTGCACATTTCAAAAGTGGCGTACAAGGCCATTGAAATTGCCATAGGTTGAATTTTTGTCTTGAAAGTAACTGCGATCGTGTTTTATCAGTATTCATTTCCAGTCCTGGGGGGATGTTTCACAAAGATCCCTAGTCGAACATAACTCTAAGTTGGACTTAAATATTATGGAGAGCCATTTGTAGCCTAAAAATAAAATACATTAAAAAGCATGAATTCAAGTATTTTTGACTTTTCATAAATTCCACATCAAGAACATGAAAACTCCTTGATAATAGAAAATATGAATGATTTGAATGAACATTTTATGCCTTTTAAAATAACTTTTACAAAATATTTTCAAAGATGCTAACAGCTTTCCATAATTGTTAAGTCCAACTTAGAGATACGTTCAACTTAGTATCTTTGTGAAACACCCCCCTGGAGTGGATGGGCCTTTAAATAAAGGCTGATATTCAAAAGGGCTCTTCACTGATGATACAATTACAAGTTCATGAAGACGCAAGAAAAAGAAGAAAGATGAGAGAAAGATAGAGAGAGAGAGAGAGAGAGAGAGAGAAGGGAGGGGGGGGGGGGGGTGGAAGAAAGCAAAAGCAAACGGTGTATGAAATGTTAAAATACTAAAATGTAAGTGTAGGAGGCTATATTCTAATTGTATGAACTTGCAAAACCACCAAAATCAATCTTGTTTTTCAATAGTGCAACTGGTCTGTTCATATTTTCGATACCTTTTAATGCAAACTTCTGTAGCAGCTTTGATCATTTGAAGCGTCAAGACACCCTCCCACACACACACACACACACACACACACACAGAGTCATACTACAGGTACTACATCTACTACTATTACTACTACTACTACTACTACTACTACTACTACTACTACTACTACTACTACTACTACTACTACTGTTACAATAGTAATAAGAACAACAACGATAATAATGAAAATAATCTTAAGAATGATGGGAATAATAAGGATAATAATAATAATAATATTAACAATATCAATAATAACCATCCTGATAATAATAATATTAATGACAATATTTTAATAATAATAATAATAATAATAATAATAATATTTATAATAATAATGATGATGAAACTTTTCTTTCAGTCGCAAAAGAAATCGACGAGTCGCACTAATGGGCAAACATCGCCGGTCAAGATAGGGCAGCACATCAGTAAACATGGACGTGGACGGAGAGGAAAGAGTGAGCCGGTGGTAGAGAGCAGCCCAGGCCAGCTGTACAACAGACGAAGATGGATGAGCGATGAGAGACAGAAGGAGACGAGAGAGTCAGAAGATCATCGGGAGAAGAAGAAGGCCTTTAGCGGTTCCCAATATTATACAACGTTTAAAGGCACGTGATACGACTGGTAACCTTGTTAGATTATATACATCATTCCAAAAACAATGGAGCACTTAGTAGGCCAAAACATACAAAAGTTTACACAATTTTAGAGCCACCGGCGATAACCTCAATTTCACATCAATAAGTGTTCAATATGAGGTGTTTTTTTTTTTTATATTACACATGTTATCGATATTACTTTCTCAATCATTACGTCTTACGCATTATGAAATGTTATTTGCGTCTTATTTTGTTCACCCTCACCTATATTACTCCCCAAAACCATGATTTTTACAAGTTTTACAAAATCCTTTTTTGGTAAAATTAATGATCAATTTTTTTTAAAACTAGGACTCGTTGTCAAAGACCATTCAATTTTGGTGTATTGCCTATAATCATGATTAATCAATAATATTTGTAGGTACTGCAGTGAAAAACGATGCCCCGGGCTCAGCTCCGATCACGGCTAGAGAACTCCTCAACGAATTTGTCAACGAACATTTCATCGATCAGTCGAGTGATTGGAAAAGCGATGCGTTAGGAATTCAAACAGAAACTCCGCCCTCTACCGAGCAGCCGGACAAGGCAAAGAAGCGCAAAAAGAAGAAGAGGAACAAGAAGGTAAAATTATATTTTAAATGAAACAAAGAAAATTAGCGATTGAAGGAAAAATGTATACAAGTCAAAATATCTACAATCAAAATTTATTATCGTATGATTATCCATTAGGCTTTTGACCTTTTGACGCGGCTAAAGCACTGCGCTTTCTTATCATTTTAAAGACGAGATGAATTGGGTTCTAGGACAATTAACCCCGAGGACACCCCCCCCCCCCGAGGACAATTACCCCCGGGATATTACCCCCGAAAACAATAACCCCCGGAAGATTAGCCCCTAGGACAATTATTACCCCCGAGAACAGTTACCCCCCCCCCCCCCCCCAAAAAAAAAAAAAAAAAAAAAAAAAAAAATAAATAAATAAATAAATGAATAAATAAATAAATAAATAGATAAATAAATAAATGAATAAATAAATAAATAAATAAAAAATAAAAAATGTATATATATTTGATTAAACCAACTTATTATCAGGTCGGACTGCCCCTTTAATGAACAGGGGGTAATTTTCCTCGGGCGTTGTTGTCCTTGGTTGTCCTGGAGGGGGGGGGGGGGGTGTCAAAGGGGGTTATTTTCAGGGGTGGGGATTAACTAATTATTCATGTTCGGATTAAGTAATGGGCTATTGAAGCTGCCTTAACTTTATTTTTCGAAAGTCTTTGCAATGCAATCGTGTTCGATATTGAAAAATAAGAAAGTTCATTTGGAAATGATTCATTCTTCATAACCTCTTTGTTTCCTTTATTCTTCATTCTTATTATATTTTTGTCCAGTCCCCGAGTGAGCAGCGCCGATCGGTTTTACGACATCACAAAAATCCTTTTCTCGTCGACGATGACGCAATAATTAGGGTCTATGATAATAACGTCGAAGGGGACGACGAACAGGAATCGTCGCCTAGCGATCACGACGTAAGCGACCTTTCGATAAAACAACTAATAATACATTCAACTACTATTACTATAATAGTCTAATACTTCCCGTATATTTAAAAAAAAAAAAATTCTTAATATCAACTAAAGGATGCATATTCATTAAATATCACCATAGTTATGTTCCGACATCTTCCACTTGAACATTTGGAATAAAAGGAATTTGCGTATTCGGTGCACAAATTCGTGTTAAAATATCAAAAGTATTGGTACGTAGTAATTGTCATATAGTAGTAGGAGTAGTAGTAGTAGTAGTAGTAGTAGTTGTAGCAGACGCCTACGCAGCGGGGGTGTTTGGGGGTTGAACTCCCCCTCAATATTTTTTATGTGTGTGATTTTTGATAGAAAAAATGAAAATAAAAAAATCCAGGCCCCCCCCCCTCCCCCCCCCCCCCCCCCCGCCTATTCAGCGGCTGGCTGATTTTTTGGACCAAAACAAAAAAAGGACTCTAAAAGAAGTAGTAATGGTACTAGTAGAAGAAGTAGTGGTAGGAGAAGAGTAGTGTAGAAGTAGTATAAATATTGAAGAGGTTCGGTTTAGGGTCAACCCTATATCACAACGTATGCTTATTTGATTTCTCCTATTCTCTTCACTTAATTTCCATCGCCTAAAAGGTGAAAAGAAGGAGATCTCGTGAGCGGAAAAAGACTGAGCGAAGCTGTACTCGTAGAGGTCAAGAACAATCATCGTCATCAACAGATGAGGAAGAAAAGTGTGTGGAAACCCGCCCACCTCCGGCTCCGAAACACGAACCACAAACAAATCCACTACTTCAAGCGAATACCGGAATACGCAACATCCCCCAAGAATACCGAAAGAGGGCGGCAGCGCTGAGGACGCATTCGCCGACCGACTATATGTTGCACGGATTTTCCAACGCTTCCATGCGCGTCTTCGAGTTTGAAACAGGTGCGTGCGCGAACCCGGAATGCGCGTATCCTACGAGAACACGCACCAAGCCATGCAAGCGGAACTCACCGGTCATGACGTCACAACTTCCACCACTATTAGCGCGGGGAATCATCAGCGGTGGCTGTGTTCAACCCACGTCTCGTCACCTAGCGACTGATGATGACCCCGCACGAGGTCATTCACGCAATCGCAACCCCCAACACTATTGAATATAAATCGTGATGGCGAGCATGCGCAATCGGGTGGACATTTTAGGTGACATTGCCATGGCTTCATCGACGTCACAACGAAGTTTCTGTATTGTTGCTGTAAGGGTTGAATACGTGTCTTAGCTATCTGTCAATCTTTATGAAGATGTAATCGCTTTTCAGTGAATTAATATTACATGAAGGATTATTAGAACCTATTTTCTTATCAAGATGAATGGTGGATTAAGAGGTTTTCACACGGCTTAGTGAACAGTACTAATGAGGGTCTGATAACAAAGATACAGGTATAAAGTAGCACGCCCCTTTGACCACAGAGTAGTGTCATATCAAAACATATACATGCAGCATCGATCCATAGGTTTAATTTTACACCGAGGTATTTTTCTCATCTCTTTCTTTCTTTTTCTTTCTCTCTCTCTCTCTCTCTTTCTCTCTGATTCTCTCTCTCTCCCCCTCTCTCTCTCTCTCTCTCTCTCACACTCTCTCTCTCGGTGATATGATCGTAACCGAATGAAAGGTTATGTAAGGTTCAACCATGTGTAATAACATTTTTCACAAGATTTCAGTGACATTATACTTTATTGATGAGATTGATAAACATTTAGCCATGCCAAACCATCTTTAAATTACAACGAAATGATTTAAACTCTCCAGAAGTCGTCTTTTTTTATCAACTTTGTTTCTTGTACATGTGTGTCTACCCTCCAAGAGCATACCGAGTTCTATAAATAGTTGGGGAAAACTACGTTAATAAAGTTGACCTATCGAAATACAGACTGTAATAGATGTGAATTAAAATATTCATTTTGTTTCTGTATGCCTCAAATATAAAGCTAACCTCCAGGGCTAACCTGCTATACCTTTGAGCTAAAGCCACCCCCCCCCCAAAAAAAAAACAAAAACAAAAATTCTACATTTCCATAACTTTTGTTCGACAATCGTCACCTTACCTTTGGTCAGCCTGATGGACTATTTGTAATAATATTTGTTACATAGTTTCAAACTTTTTACGCTACAAATTAATGAGTGTAACAAAAGAAATGTTGGAAGTTGATATTCGCCGCCCCGACCCCTCCTCCCCCGACCCCCACTGCATGGCTTATTTGTGTCTGCATGCCAAGAACATACTGCTTAACTCATCGGAAGTCATTCATACGTTGATAGCTTCCTATGCATTATCTCACCGACTGATCAGGAGCTTCATCTGAACGTGTGATCATGAGAGAGAGAGAGAGAGAGAGAGAGAGAGAGAGAGAGAGAGGGGGGGAAGAGAGAGAGAGAGAGAGGGGGGAGTATGACTTGTGTTCGGGTGTGTTTGTGTATGTGCGTGCGCGTGTGAGTGAGAAATAGAGAAAGAGGGAGAGTATGTGTATGTGTGTGTGTGCGTGTGAGTGAGAGAGAGAGAAAGAGGGAGTGTATGTGTATGCGTGTATGTGTGTGTGAGTGAGAGATAGAGTTAGAACGGAGAGATCGAGAGAGCAAGAGATCAAGAGAGAATAAAATTTGGAGATTGTATCCTCCCCCCCCCCCCTCTCCCGTAGAAGCATTCTAAGTAAAATGTACTATTGGGTTCAGGGTTCAAGTTCAGAGAAGGCGAGGGCACCAGTCCTAAACCATCCACAAACCGTAGTTACTTATGAGCTGATCTCCATTGTTTGTAAGCACTTTCAGGGAAATCTTCAGGAAAATCATAAGCCCGACCCTCAAATCCTCATCCCGATTTTCCCCCTCCTTATTCCGATGAATCACAGTGAGTAAAGCCTGCTATTGAAGACGATGAATGCCAATAAATCCAAGATCGGGACATCTTACATGATTGTGTCAGTCAAAAGCCTATTCGGGAACCAAGGGGCGGATCTAGGTTTTAAAGGGGGGTACAATTTTTGGGGAAAATACACATTCAAGAGGCAATTCTTTATTTCGCGTACTCAAGGTATGCCGATCTAGGAACAAACGTGATACCTGCAGTGTGTTGAAATAACAAATAAGTATTATTAATGAAAATATATAACAGAGTACAACGGTAAATTTCAGAACGTTGAATATTGCTATTTGAACTTTGGATCAACTCAAAAGCAAGGCCTCAGTCTGTTGCCGGTGGTAATTTGATCAAAATTTAGGATGCACTTATCTTAAAGATATATCTCTTTTTCCTCTCTTTTTCTCCTCTTTTGGTTTCTTTGATCTTTCTCACTCATTTTACAGCTTTTTGATTTTTATTTACCCTCTCTCTCTCTCTCTCTCTTTCTCTCTCATTTCTTATTCATTTCCCAGCTCCCTTTCTTGTCTCTTATTAAACACATTCATCAAGGTTTCAACTTCGGAATCATGATATTCTCATAAAGTTTGCAAACAATATAAATGTTTCTTTTGATCCCGAACAGTCTCTGACGTCGTGAGTTTTTCGTTTGGCTAATATCGAAGATGCAGCTGTCGCGAGCGCATCCGATTCTCAATGACGTTTTTTTTCACATTGTTCCATTCCGAAGGCGGCAAAAAAGTTTTGCGCGCTAAAAGGCACAATCTTACACCGCTGTACTTGCACAAACAGTGTAGTAGCTATCGCTACTACTAGTGTCACATAGTTATGATTATAAAAAGTGTCAATCTTGCGGATGTTGTTTTTGTTGTTCGGACTCAGATCAGATCAGCTATGTTTCTTTTCAACGTTTGATATCAAAACCTTTATTGTTATTCATACCCTGGACAGCAACAGAAGCTGTTGACTGTCTTTCTTTGTGTTGTACCAGTGGATATACTATGTTTGATCAACATTCATCAACATCTTTCGCGATTAACTACATGTTTCTCAAGTTGAAGAACCATAATCCGTCGATTAAGAAATAATCATCATAAACAATCATCGAAAATAGCAATTAGACGTTTGAGATAATCATCTTATTTGCAAACTTGCGTGATTCACCTCACGTGAGCACTTTGAATAACTTAACCTCTACATGCAACAGCTTTAAGAGGCTTATGCAGGATTTGTTTTGACTCATTTCGTTAACCTTTGATCGATGTTTCCCGATATCGATTGATCGGTACATTGATGCTGTCGTCTGCTCGTACTCCCGTTTTGTTGGCGCGTAAAAGAGAGTGTACAGAAGAATGTTTACGACATTGAAGTACATGATTATCCTGATGGTGGTGCTACTCGAATCGCAGGACATCACGGCTTTGCCTCGTCTCCTTGCGGGAAATAACCTAGAAGATGATAGTGACGAAGGTGAGAAAGTTTAATCATCCAAATTTATCGAAAGATAATTGATAAACTTAAAATGTTACGACCCCATGTTAATATTCATTGAAATGATTTGTCTACGATACCTGTAATATATTTTAAAAGTAGGTAAAAATGATTTGATTCGAAAAATTGATAAAGGTGAAAGCAAAAACAACAACAGAAAAAATATTTAAATGTTGTGAGTAAGCACTATGCGACTACAAATCACATCTAGGAGTTGGTTCTTTGGGACGGTTTAGCTCCATCTACGCAAGTAACAAAGTTTTCTAGAATTAAAGATAAACTTGAGTTCCTGGTAAAAAAAGAAAATGAATTCTCACAGAATCTAACGAAACCTAAACTGAATGTTCAAGATTACAAATAAATGTCATGTGCCAAACAATTTTGGAAGAAAATGTATACTTGGTGAGTAATGAGCATAAAAAGATAAGGAAATCAAGGTAGTACTAGCCCCGACACCGTTTGTGTTGTCCCAAATACATCTTCATGTGTACAGTGATTGTTACTTTATCAAGACTGGGCCAAATTCATGATGATTTTGATGACTCCAGAACCTTGCATAACACACCAAAACTTACATGCTATATGATCAACATTTCTGATCCATTTCACACCTTTATCTTTAATTCTAAAACTTCTAGTAATAATTCATTAATTCGTCATTGCGTGAACAGAACCAAAAGTAATAGGCATATATGACATTTTACTGTTCTGTGTATTTTTTTAGCGCAGTGTACATCTTGGCTTATTAATTCTTCATACTCCGTTAAAATTAATGAATTTTCTTTCAAGATATCTACTTTCTATGGATTAAGGCAAAACGAGCATAAAGAAGCAATTATTTCTATTCTTTTATTTTGAAATTTATGAAACTGCTATCCCTAACTGTTTCTGTAACGATTATTGATACAATGTTTATTACAAACCAATCAATGTGGTCATTTCTATTGATGTATTATTATAATTATCATCATTATTATCATTAGTATTGGTAGTAATAGTACTGTGGTAGTTGTACTTACAGTATAAGTAGTAGTAGTAGTAGCAGTAGTAGTAGGAGTAGTAGTAGGAGTAGTAGTAGTAGAAGTAGTAGTGGTACTTGTAGAAGTAGTAGTAGGTATATTTGTAGTAGAAGTAGTAGTAGTAGTAGTAGTAGTAGTAGTACTAGTAGTATAGTAGAATCGTAATGTATTTTCTATATGCAGTGCACGTTTAATTAATTTTTCTAGTCGCCTAGCTTATGACAAAAATATTAATTCAATCTAGAACAATTCTATCAAGCTCCCTAAGCTGTCAACAATGTAAAGCTTATACAGGATCAGTTGTGCTGTGTATGAATATATTAATCAGTAATTGTTTGAGATTATCACGGATTATCTCTTCGAAATGTACCTCATTCGCAACGCACGCAGGCAATTGGATCACAATCGCTATGCCCTTGCCAGCATTGTTGAAGATCTTACAATGAAGCGATCTAAAACGAAGGTCTCGCGAGCTCTGTTCCAAATTTTCAACCTCTGACAATTGATATAAAACATACAGTAGAAATTATGACGAATACAGGCTTCAACAATGCTACATTGAGAATGTACCCCTTTCAACTCTGGCATGATCGAAGTAGAATGTAACACGGAGGAAGGGTGAAAGTAATCCCGATGGGGCCATATTAAGATAATGCACGGTTATACAAGGGTTCTCCATACATGCAGGTCAAAAATATTTCTGAAAATTTAGGTTGCAGGCCACTGAATATTGACACAAACTGAGCATTACAAAAAATATTATTTTCCCGCTTTTTGTTTGTGTTTCTCACAAAGTTTGATCCAATCATTTGGCCAATATCGCTTTTTGTTTCACATTAAGTTTGATCTAATTATTTGGCCTAATAACGTTTTTTGTTTTTCATTAAGTTTGATCTAATTATTAATATCGTGCTTTTTTCTTCAAATCAGATGTGATAACTTAAAGCTAAAATTAGACATGGCGGCCTACTGGCGAGCGAGCGAGGCGAGCCAGCAAAACTTTCATATCAATAAAAATTATTCATATCAATAGTCGAGGCATTATGTAACAAATTTTAGCATAACATAGAAACTTTAACAAATATTTGATAATTTTGACGTTCAACAGCAAACTATGCAAAAGGGGGAATAATTCGGGACAGATGCTGATGCAAGGGGTTCATTGAAGTTTTAATCCAGATATAGAAGAAATTGGTTAACTGGCCCATTTTAGATAGACGACATGAATAAATGCAATAATTAAACAAATATTGCATTTTCTGAAAATAAAAATCCTAAAGCGTGTGCATTGTTGCACAATATGCGTTGATATAATGAGGTCATGATAATCAAATTGGCATAAAATACTTTAATTGAATAATAAGCGCCGTTAAAAATAATCAAACAAGAAAAACAATGACAAAATATCCTAACTCACAACTCATGAGGCGCCGCTGGCCGGAAAATATCATAAAATATAATTGACAGCAGTGTTTTGTTGACAGCTGACCATTAAAAATGTAAATGGGCTAATTGTTCAATTAACACATCAACTGTTTTAACATGGATAGATCCATACACAGTGCTGTGTGATATTTTGAAACCTTAATTAGATATGGCAGTTATCCAAAAACGTTATCAACATCAACATCAACATCACCAGCAACGGCAAAAAACAATGTCATAACAAATAAGGCAACAATAATAGCGAAAAGAAGAAACCAAACGAAAAAGAGTATAAAGGCCTCTTTATCAGGATGAGTGTTTACGCCTTTTAACGATTAGAAAAGAAGTCTTGTATCAAAGTCAGCATGGTGCTCTGCTTATCTTTGAGGCCTGATCAGTTCTGTTTAAAATAAAGTTTATATTTCTTTATACATTGTATAATTATGTTTTAATGTATACTGATTATATGTACTTAGAACTGAATAAACAAATGAAATCAAATAAAATGGAATAAAGAAGAAGAACTAAGTACTGTACAATAGGAATTATAAATCACACCTATATCTGTTTATCCAGGGGCGGATTATTTTCTCTGTTTTCTAAAGGGGGCTAGGGCAGGGGCACATCCTACCTCTATATACTCCTTTTACAGCCCAATGTGTCATGCCTTAAGTACACAAGAAAACTGTGCCCCAAATTGTCTCACTTTTTGAAACCCATCTTTCAGGTTTACACCCCTGCACTTAAAGGATTGTTTTCTTCTATAATCAGTCATAGTTATTTGGAACTGTTCCCCCTCTTTTTTGTTTGTCGTTGTTTTTATTTTTAGTATAGAGTACTGATTTCGCCCGTGTTATAAGTTCCCTTGCCCCCCTCAACATATACATGTATATCAAAAACGTAATCAAGATTGCTTTTTCACTAACACAATTAGAACCAAGAAAAGATTATACAGTATACCGAACACATTAATGTTCCCGTATTCAATAATTTCTAACTTGTAGAAATTGAACGCATGATAACGATACATGTATTTGTTTTTCCCCTTCGATATTTTAAACGCAGGCTACTCATGCGGCGGTCAGCCAAGAAGCAGATTCAAGCCGAACCGGAAACAACTGATAGAGATTATTATCAGGGTCGGGATCAACAAAAGGGGGCACATTTCACTTCGTAGGGAAAAAGGAGTTCACTCAAAGGGATTTAATGGATTTAACAATATGAATAGATAACAATCGAAGGCAAAGCTCTTTTTATCACCCAAGAAGCGCATCTCGGACACACATTGTTTTAGGGGGAAAATTCTATTCTTAAAATATTTTCTTTCAAGGATTAGAACATTTTAGTACATCTCGGACACATTATATTCTTTTCGAGAAAAGCATTGTTCTTAAAATATCTAATTTCAATGATTATAAGACATAAGTAAAATTTGAACACACTGTTTTTGGAGAAAAGGAACACTCTTCAGATACGTGTATTTGCTGTCAATGATTTTCGGAAACGAATAGACAAGTTCTTTGTTTTTTTCTTCTGAGGGAGTATATCTCGAACACGCGAAGGTTTTGGAGGGAATATTTCGGGAAGTTCTTCATAAAATCCTTGTTGCGGTTAGAAGCACATTAGAGGCAGATTAACCTTTATTATGTGGGTAACCCAAATGTTTTTGCAGTGGCTTACCATGTATAACATTGGGCAGAACCACGGTACCTTCTATTTCGATTGCAGGTTCCCCAAATCAATGAAATAAGTAGTAGTTTTAGGGCCATAAAAGTGCTTCATATTGCACGACCATTTTCATAATAAGGAAGAGCATGCCCCCCCCCTCCCGACCCCTTCCCCGACATAGGTACGCCGTAGCAAATACATTATCGCGCTTTAAAGTCCCACTGCACTACTTATAGCTACTTGCGCCCTCTATATAACAAACCTTGCATAATCGGTGACCATCGGTCCCCCATGATCCTCTTTCAATTATTTTAATTGAGAGCTGATTTGATGAGATAACCACCTGTCCAGTGACCTTGCAGTGTGGTCTAATCCCTCATGTACACTAGTACATATGGGCTTTAAAGGAGTTATAAAATAAACTGCCTGTGCCAAATTTGAAAACTTATCATCGCGCTAAACTTCCAAATCCATAACGCCAAATCTTTGCACACCAAAACTTTAAACATGAAATCTTTAAACACCAAAATTCTTATCTTGACTTATACGAATGAGTTGATGGTATTACGTATCAAAATGATCTACCAAATGATTTAGATCATGTATAAACGTTTGTAGTTATTCCTTTTGAAAATCACACTTCGTTAACGAAACAACTTTTCTAGTCAATGGAATATCACTCCCAATATTTTCCCGATGAATAAACTTTATCACGATAATATAAAATCACAATATTTTGTTTTCCTTTCATTCTTATTATTCAGAGAACTCCAGACCAGTGATACCATGGAACTACAGAGCAGACAAAGGTAAATTATACCCCCAAAAAGCATCTCTTTTTGTCGAAGATTTCACAATAAAATAAACAAATCCTGTTTATTTTGGCTTTAGTGTCTATATATTACAGCGAATATGAATTGTATACCTCATTAAGTTTGAATACAATGTTAAAACTGAATTTAGATGTCAGTTTGAAGAACCTGAAAACTCAAAATTAATGTTCTGAGTAAAATTTATGACATATAATTTTGATATTGACTACAACCCAGATATTTCTAACGCTTTAAAAATAATAAAAACATTTAGGAAATATCACTCTCAATTTTTCAATGGACAGATATATTTTGAAAACGGGTTAAAACGTCTCATTATACAAGACTGCATAATATAGGTCTGTTGACTCTCCTTTGATTACAACTTAGTACTTGCTATTGAGGAAAGAAAATGAGGCCAGTAATATAGGCTGCCAAATATTATGATGAAAGGCCTCAGCCTTCGTCTGTTAGTGTGAGTCATTACAGTCAGACGATAAGTCTGTATGCTAATGAGCAAAGATGCAAGATTCATCCACATTCTCTCGTAGCTAAATCTTGGATACTGTAAAATCTCGTTGACAGTGAGATTTTTCTTTATGGAAGAAAAAGACCCTACCTTATCATCCATTGAATTATTTGAACATTTCAATGATAAGAGCAAAGGTCACAATTTGATATTCTACGCTTCATTTTAATAACGGATTTGAAAAAAGGTGACATTTTAGGAGTAAATATCTAGAGACTTAGATGTTAATCAAATTGGCAATTGGATATCACCCAAGGTCCTCACAAATGGGGGCAGATGTTCCCCTACCAGTGTGCCGGGTCGATGCAGTCCCCCATCGCTATACAGACCATCAACACGAAGAGGAAAGAGTGGGCCCCCCTGGAGCTGAATGGGTACGGCGATACCGACGGGAAAAGGATGACTCTTACGAACCTCGGAACTACAGGTGGGTTAATGTTGGCAGTGATGCGATCCATGAAGCTGATGAAGGGACGGTGGTGGATGATGATATTGATAATGGTGGTGATGATGATAAGGACTATGGCGACGAATGTTATTATGTTCATGCTGATGGTGATGATGATGGCGACGATGATGGTTATAATGATGACGGTGATGTTGATGATGACGGTAATGATAACGGTGATTGTGATGATTATGAAGATGATGGCAATGAATAATAATTTATTTCTTGTGATGTTTATGGTGGTGATGATGATAATAACGATATTGGTGATGATGATAATAACGATGTTGGTGATGGTGATGATGATGGTGGTGATGATGATGATAAGTATTATGGCGACGAATGTTATTAAGTTGATGCTGATGGTGATGGTGATGATGACGATGATGATGGTTATGATGATAATGACGATAATGATGGTGATGTTGATGACGACGGTAATGATTACGGTGATTGTGATGATTATGAAACTGATGGCAATGAATGAATGATTTATTTCTGCTTAAATTCTTTAAATTTCTTTAGCAATGCTAATGTTGGTAATCATCATCTAATTAGTGGTAGTCATGATCATAAATATTTATCGTACTTATCATTGTGATGATGGTGATGCTAATGATAAAAATGATGAATATAATGTTGATGTTTTGTTTCTCTTATGAGAAAGGCACATCAAACTCTTATTTATTTAGATTTTATTACTGGATGACCCTTTTTGGATCCGCCACTGTAACAGCATCAGCAATCAAATCAATGAATTTAATTTCATTTCAGATGGTGATATACAGTTGTAATTAACAATAACAAACATAAAAATAATCAAATGATAAATTCATAAAATGTATTTCCATTTAAAGAGTGATTATTAAAGAAATTACAATTTTAATCTCTTTCTCAAGTGGAGCTTATGTTGGAGGGCAACTATACGATCCGTGGAGGAGGACTTGGGGGCACCTATGTAGCTGACCAAGTGCACTTCCACTGGGGTTTCTCCAACGAGCAGGGATCCGAACATGTCCTGGACCGCAGAAAATATCCCGCAGAGGTAAACTCGCATGCCTGGTCGGATAAGATCATTTCGAAAGCAATTACTTTGTATCCAGTGAAAAAGGCGTTACATGAATTATTATTATGATATGTATTCTACAGCTATCAATAATTATACAGATCCACAACAGCGTTATTCAATGAGAATGTCGACCTTGGCAAATTTATTTTGTCTTTTAAAGAAGTTTTTTTTTCAGATGCTATCCACCCGCTTCGAAAATGTATATAATTATTATTCCTTTGATAATATTTGTCTGTAAACATGTGTTGGATGTATTTTGATTAATATTCCTTCACTATTTTGACTTTCGTTTTGAATAGATGCATATTGTTCACCACGAGCAGTCGTTAATAGGAGATAGTATCTTTCATACACCAGGCGGGGTAGCAGCAATCGGTGTCTTCATCGAGGTCAGTACCTACAGTGGTGATTTCTTTAACAGTTTTTAATAGTTTTCCATGTTTCATGTCACCAAAAAGTTCTAAATTTCTCAATAATTGTCCAATTTCTTTAGATCTGTTAGACTGATTGTTCTGCTTGTATCAAAACAAGGTAATGCTCCCTATAATACGAGCAGTACACAGTGCTTACCTTTACAGGAGGCAAGCGAAAGGAAATGGAGCAAAATTTCCTCAAATATTAATCTGATATCATAAAGATTATTGTACTTGAACAAATTCACTTTTTTATTTTCGTGTGCCGGAAGTAATCGGAAAAGTGTCAAATTGCAGGTTTTAGGATTGTAAAATTAAAATTAAAATTGTTATTATACAATGTAAGCAAATGTCTTGACACATTAGGCTTTCGTATTCATATTTTATCAGTTTCTGTTCAATTTTTCTCTTGTTAGTTCAAACAAAGAGTAAAACATTAAGGATATTCCTTTGTGAAATAAAAAAAATCACTACTCAAGCTTTCCAATGATGTTGGCGGCTTCGAACCTCGGACATCAAAAGTAACAGCACACCTGTAGATTTTATTGTGCAACCTTAGAAAACGGCAACTGCTTGAAATTATTTGTTGCCGACTGGGACTCCAGCTCTTCAAACTCCTTGGTAATAAGAATCATTTCAATGTATTTCAGAACTGTTGTCTTGTTATGAAATCATTTACCCCCCCCCCCCCCCCGGCCCCCCTCCTGCTTCGTAATCCTTAACCATGTTAATACCTCGATCACGTAGCCCTCTGTGATTCTGTGATTCTGTAATTATTTCACTTTGTATTTTTTTCCCTCGAAGATCGGTGAGAAGAACGAAGCTTTTGAAAAACTAGTGAAACACCTAAAAGAAATCAAATTTAAAGGTAAAGTAAATTTGTATATGTTATTCTCTTTACACAATTAGACTGATTGGAATGATTTAAAACAAATTTGATGGTTTCATTGTTACAATCACAAGTTAAGGGGATAGCCTAGCTGTAGAAGGTGTGGGGACGTTTGACCAACGCCATTCAATATTTTCTTCGGCAAAAAACACAGCAAAATTTTCATAAGCTTTTCTCAAATGTAAAATACGACTTTATTGTTTTTACTTATTTCACCTGCTTTTATCGTTTTTAGGCTAATTCGCCATAAACTACATACGGAGCAACGAATGCCAGACATCTTGCAATGATTTAGTCGGTTCATTCTTTGAAAGCTCCACTGCACTACTTATAGCTACTTACGCCCTCTATATAGCAAACAATGTCTAATCGGTGACCGTTGGTCCCCCAAGGTCCCCTTTTTCTAATGTTAATTGAGAGCTGATTTGATGAGATAAACACCTGTCAGTGACTATGCGCGGAGGTCTTATCCCTCCTGGCCAAACTAGTGCAGATAGGCTTTAAACATTATTTTCATTAATCCTTTTTTCACAAAACTTTAGACGAATCACAACTTGTGACCGAACCTATTCGACTCACCGAGCTTTTCCCTAAGAATCGAAGCCAGTTCTACCGTTACATCGGCTCCTTAACCACGCCCCCATGCTATGAGGTAGTCACGTGGACAGTCTTAAAACAACCAATCACAATATCTCGGGAACAGGTAAGAGAGGGCGCGCTCTAAAATGATGACAATTCAAAGTTAAATGAATTTTATGATCGCAATGTCACACGATGAAATGTGTTAATCGGGCAGCAACAAAAATGTTGATTGTAACCCGCGAGCTACATTTGACCAAGGGTATTATAGCTGAACTGATAACAAATCAGGGGCGGATCGAGGTTTTTCTATCTTTCTCTTTCGGACTACTCCTTTCTCTGTGTTTCCTCTATATCTTTCTCTGTGTTTCTCTCTCTCTCTCTCTCTCTCTCCCCATGCATCTCTCTAGGCCTATTATGTATCGGTCACTTTTTTCTCCTCTCTCTCTCTCTCTGTAGTTCGAAATGAGGAGGGAGCTAGGAAAGTTCATTTCATTTTTTTTCTTTTCGCAGGCCCTTTGATGGGAGGGAGGGACAATTGGCAACTACTCCTATGCCCCCTTCCAGTATTTAATTACAACAATAGCCCCTTGTTATCTCTGTCTCTAGTCTCATTCCTCACATCTTTGTTTTTCCCTCTTCTTCCAGATGTCTGCATTGCGTGGTGTTTTCGAGACAACCCGCCACGCCTATGTTTACCGTACTGAGACACCCATATTGCTGCAGAACAACTTCAGACCTGCGCAAAGCATCAACGGTCGCGACGTTTACCGGTGCGGATTCTGAGGGAAGGCCGTCGATGGACTCGATTGCGTTTCTCTGCAATAGTTCACAAAACGACGTAGTACAAAAACACACTTTGAAATGAAAAGGTAAAACTTACCTATTTCAACAGATGAGGGATTACGGAGCTAGCGCCTGGACGTGTTATTTTCCGCCATAGTAATCAGCATTGTCACCATGTTATAGCAACGTTCTTGATTGTAGGTTTCATTTATGACGCCTATATGCCGTCACAAAGAAAGCAATTTGTATTGTCAATAAAAATTATACTCGGAATATGCCATTGTCACGTTCGCACATGACTGTATTTCAATTAGTGATACACAAGGTTATTGAAATTTGTATTTTGCTCTGGAAGTTATAAAAAAAATACCCTCCAACTTTATTTAGTAACTCAAATATGCTTAATCCAGGTCAAAACAAACCATACATACATTTTTAAATCTAAATAATTATTCCCTCCTTCAGATGCAATGTATCCAACATCAGCTCTGAAATTCTTCATTCTATTGATAGAAGAGGGTTAAATTTGGTTTATCATAATAACCCAACAACTGGACTCGCTCAGTTATGATCATAATTATGTTAACAACAAATAATACATTATGTCTTTACCTGTTTGACATGAGGTAATAGAAAAAACTCGCTATGTATTTGTATGTATATTATGCTGAAATTTACTATCTGTGTGTTGATACTTGATAGCACAGATGTCGAGCAAGCCTAGCTATAGCATACTCCTTCTCTGTTAGGACTTTTGTTTTTGTCGTGGTGATTACTCAATATGTGTTGTACATTTACATCCTGTACATAGTTTATTTGTGACAAACGTTGTTGTTGTTGTTCTCTCTCTCCCTCTTTCTCTCTCTCTCTCTTTCTCTCTCTCACTCCCTCACTCTCTCTCTCTCTCTCTCTCTTTCTCCCCCTCTCTCTCTCATGTTCGTAATGTAACCAAATTTAATGCACAAATCTTTGTTATGTCCCTCGTTACAAATTATTTCATTCACTTGTTATAAATAATTGTAGTTCAATCATCAGAAAGTGAATGGAATACATTCCGTGTTGTTAGGTAGGACCAAAAAAAAAAAAAAAAAAATCCCATGACTAACCTAAAAAAGCTGACCTTACCCCCCCCCCCCTCCCCCCCCCCCCCCCCGACGAAGCAAAATGTCAAATTTTCAAATTCTGAGAGACCAAAAAAAAAAAAAAGTGTCCTCTTACCCTCGGTTTAGAGTTTAATCTGACCCAATTAAGTTAAGAATTCAGTTAGCGTAGGATATTGACCTTGGGGCACTTGTGGTCGGAGCATGTGTTGAACAAGGTTCTAGGACACCTTCTTCCCTGGACATCCACCCCAGATAACCACACCCAGCCAACTACCCCCTAGGGCAACCATCCTCTAGGACGACTACCCCCTGGACAACTACCCCCTTCGACAACCATCCTCTAGGACGACTAGCTCCTGGACAACTATCCTAGGGGGTAGTTGTCCGGGGGTAGTTGTCCAGGGAATAGTTGTCCTGGGGGTAGTCGTCCTAGAGGGTGGTTGCCCTAGGGGGTAGTTGGCTGGGGGTGATAATCCAGGGTGGATGTCCATGGTGTAGTAGTTGTCCGGATACGGTTGAGCAACCCTCAATATTTCTGGCTGTACATTCATTTAACCCGTCATCTTTTGTACATCTTTGTATCAGTTTCCAACAGTTTCGCTAATGAAAATATCTTGTCGTTTAAAAGAAAAAAAAATGTACAGCCTTGTAATTGCTTTAACATTTGTTTAATTATGATGCGATGTAATAAAGGTAGTCATTGTTCAAACTAGAATCGAGCCGATTATTATTTTGTATTTATATTTTTTGTATTCATGAGGAAATTTGATTTACATGGAAAATTATAATCAAATCAATTTATCAAAAAAAGAATGGAGACCAATGGAGAGAGATAAAGAAGAGAAATGAGAGAGGGAGAAAAAGAGAAAGCAACAGATAAATGTACATACATGTAGCTATAGAAATTCATGGAAAGAGAAAGAAACAGAAAGACAGATACCCGGTAGACATAGTAAGTGAATACATGTAATAAAGTATTTGACTCTAATACCAGCATATCACTAGGTGACCATGCATAGATTATGCTCAGGGCTTTAATTTGTCAAAAATATAGGGTTAGCATCAGGGCTGTGATTTGGGTTAAGGTTAAATTCAGAGTTAGGTTAGGGTAATTTGATATAATGCTGGATCAAGGGGTGAAGTTAGGAACTTGGTTAAGGATAGAAATTTGTCACCAGAGGTGAGAGCCCATGGTCATACCATCCTTCATACACCACCCAAATACAAAATAAGACTCAATGACACTTTGATTTAGTAACACGTAAATAACATGCTTTTAATAACATTTCAACTGAATCTTTCTTTTCAGTCCAACTACCAACAAAATGACCTTCTTTAGAACAAGTTTAATTACAGACAGTGAAAAAAAGGGAACAAAAGTATTTACTTGGAAGTACTACAAAAACCTTTGTCTTTATGTACAACCTGGCTATTTACAGAACGAGTAATCGAATCAACAAGTTTTTAAAAAATCATTGTGCTTTCCCAATAAATACCCACACTTGGCCCGATGATAAAAATCAACTGTCTATCAATAGCACATATATCTAACTTGATCACAAATAGGATATAAATAAATCCCAATTTGTACACTTTTAACTCTCCTTTTTACAGTTTTTTTTCTTTATACAATCAATTTACAAGAAAATGCATGTTGATTTAACATACAGCGCAACTCTACATATCTTTGGAACCTATCGATAATTTTGATTTTCTTTTTGAATGAACAAATATTACAAGACACTGGTGCCAAAAAAAATCCTTTCTTTATTCAGTTCTTATGATGACGTTGTACCTTAAAGAATATCCTACAAGTAATCTATGACCTGGTCTTTTTGTTGTCATTCTGGCGGTGTAACTGGGATTTAGCTACAGAATTATGGTTTATGAGATGAGGTGAACTTTTGGCACTCTACAAATCTAAAGAACCAAATGTATACACTTAATCACTTTTTCATCGACCATGTCACAATGCTTATCAGTGAGTATTTTGCCTAAAAGTCGGCTTGCAAAAGTAAAAAGCTTAGATATAATCTGAATAAGATTTAAGACATTTTACTTAGCCAAGCCAAATGCTAAGTAAAATACTTGCTTAATCTGCCTTCTGAATTGATTACGGCCCCTGGGACTTGAGCTACTACCCTTTCCTGAATACAAACCACGAGGATAAATTGTCTGTGAATTTCACAACCAACCAATTTTCATTGAGATTTATTGGTTTTGGACATAACTGAGATAAACAGCACAAATGTGTACGCAAAACCTTTGCCTAGTTCAGAGTGATTAGACACATGTCTTCCCCTTCCTTTTCCATCACGATATGAAAACGCATCATAAAATTTGTCTTCAGCATTTGTATTGGTAATTTCACCATTAGCGGACACCTAGACAAAATCTGTAAATCTCATAAATTACTTTCTTGTACAAAAATATGATAACACTTGAATAAGATTTCTCAATTTTACTCATGTCCATCATAATCTCATAAATATATTATTTTGCAAATTGAATATGGTTTGTTTTCCAAAATCATTCATAATAAATAAATTCATGAGACCATCATTTAAATCTTAAGGCTGTTCCTAGTCTGTTATTCTTATTTGAGACTGTGAAAACAACGAATTCAAGAAACGCAATAAAAGGTAACATTGCAAATATTGGTCATATGTTAAATTCCACAATTGAATTACCATTGTTTATTCCTGAAGCTGGGAAAACTGTTTGGCAGAGACAAAGAAAGGCTCCCATTCCATCACAAAAGTTGAGATGTGAAGTAGAAACTTTATATATTAAGGTTTTTTTCTTTCTTCAGAACACTACCACTGTCCTTTTTTTTCTCCCATGTATTCAATTATAAATATATTCATTGTTTCAAAGAGAAAATGTTGAAACAAAGTTTTATGTGCTCTTCATCTTTTAAAAAATCTTTTCCCAGCATCCAAGTGACTCACTTCAACCTTTACTGATGTCTTTGTATTCAGTGTTTTCTTGATTTTGTCTGTGCCAAATAAAATAACGATACTATTCGTGAAGTAGTCGAAAAGAATGCATTACTTTTCATTTGATTAAAATAGGGGGACACAAAACGTGTCCGAATGAAACATCAACTTGCAGAGATTGGTCTTGAAGTCCACACTAATTGGGAATGTTTTGGATTGATCAGAAAGCACCATGTAATAACGGCTAAGTAAAATAAAACACAAGCAATACAGACTCTCATGCAATACAACAAATAATATCCAAAACAAAGTTAGAGATAAAGAGTTACATATTTCATCTTCAACGTATTAAGAGTGCTGCAATGAATGAAACCAGCTAATCATTTACTTTCTTGGACTGACCGTAAGTATAATATGGACCATGTCAGACACTGTAGCGCAAATTATTCTTTGCAGTCAGTTCCTTCGATTCCAAGACGAACTGCAACATTAATCTACTCAAAAAAATAATGCATTTTTTCAAAAATAAAGGGACAATGAATCATCTTCCTTCCATATAAACAGATACAGCCAAAACAAAGCCATGGATTTTGAAATCATAACAGAAAAAAGCTATGTAAATTTTTTATAGAAGTCTAATCAAGGTGACAATTTTTTTAGCAATGCAAGTATCTAATTTCCGATAGAACAAATTTCTTGTCTGCCTTCATTATGCACTTCATATCACAAAAAGATAATCGCATGTGACAGAAAAATCTTTGTTCCCAACAATTTTCTGAAGAACGTTGGAGAAAAATCCTACATTTTTATAATTCTTCTTGAAATGGAAAGCAGTAAAGATAGGCCTTGTTGTTTTTGCTTTATGATAATCACAGCAATACAAAGTTTTCAATATATTTTGAATATTTCTTCAAAACCAAGTTAAAGTAAGTAAAGAAAAATGTGAGAAAGTTCTGTCTTATCATATTTGAATATTTCGATTGACTGTCTGCTACGAAATATAATTCAATAGCAGAGAGTAATGAGAGAGAGAGAGAGGGGGAGAGAGAGAAATAGAGAGATAGAGAAAAAAAGAGAGAGAGAGAGAGAGAGAGAGAGGAAGAGAGAGAGAGAGAGAGAAAGAATAAAGTTTTGTTCCTTAACATTGTAGTACGTTGAACCCTCAGAGATGAACTGAAACACCATTGTTGAAAGCATATGGGACATCAATAGAAATACGACTTCCTCTGAAGTCCATAAATCCAGGACATAATACGTCTACATCCAGAGTTGGGGCAGGTTACCGATCTCATCACTCAGCTTCCTCCTGAAGATGTGATGATTTACCAGTCTGGGTCCCCAGAGTCTTCCTCCTCGTCATCGTCGTCTTCGTCACTGGATTCAATGTAAGGAGAGGGAGTTAAGGAAGTCATAGAGAACATTTTTGCGTGTGCAATTAAACAATTTTCTTACTTAATTAAGATTACTTACTTTCACAATATTTTACTTTACTTAATGATTTATTTAATGTATCAGTCATCACCATCATCATCATTATACATACATAATTTTACTTTACTTTATTTACTCCATCAGAATAGCAGTGCCCATATCTTCATCCCGCTAGACAGGCGAGACATGATTCATTTTCCTGAATAACAATTCTGTAAATTAAATTTTTGCTCTATGTGAGGAGACATCTCTTTAACAAAAAATAATCAAACTTGATACATTACAGGATAAATCAACATTTTAAAAAGTATTTAAACAGACATCTCCTACGCAGAAGAGCCATTATGGTGAATGCTGGTGTTTGTCAAAGGATATTCTTCTCCTGCGTTTCTTCTGTGGCTTTGCTTTCTTTGCACTCGCTCCTCCCCTTCCTCCTCCTTGCCGGCTTCTACTTCTTGCTGGTGTTCGTGACCTCGCTCGTGGCTGATGGGAGAAGTATAAACATAGGCAATGGTTTTTTACAAGTACTGGGGGGTGTTTCACAAAGATCCTAAGTTGATCTCTAAAATGGACTTAACAATTATGGAAAGCCGCTAGCACCTTTGAAAATATTTTGTAAAAGATATTTTAAAAGGCATAAAATGTTGTTCCAAATCATGAATTCATATTTTCTTTTTTCAAGGATATTTCATGTTCTTGATGTGGAATTAATAAAAAGTCTGAAATACTTTAGTTTTCACCTTTTAATATATATTTTTTAAAGGCTACAAATGGCTCTCCATAATTTTTCAGTCCAACTAAGGATCTTTGTGAAACACCCCCCTGATATTATACAACAAACTGAATAAATTACAAGAATCCACTCGCGAAATGACATGAGCATTTACTTTTAGATAAACTTGGTGCATTACAAATCTTATATACAATATCTTATAGACTGCATTTTTGTTTCCCTTGAATATGGTTCTTCATTGAAACCTATACATAAAGACCACTTTTCATGTCTCCCTTGAGCGGTCTTTATACGCAGGTTTCAGTGTATAACAATTATATTCTCATAACGACAGAAAATAACCTTTCACGTATTCAAACCATAATGAATCATCACAACGAAGAGTCATAATACATACATGCCAACATTTGAAAATCAGAAATCTGTACAAATTATGCTATTTAAAAAAAAAAGAGGAACAATCCTAACTCTCCTATTCAATACTACAGACAAATTTGTACAGGAAGAGGAACACCTGCATTAAAATGATAATTATCTTCTCCCAAAAAGAGGAATGTTCCTCTTTAATCTGAACAGTTGGCATGTATGAATAAACTCAAGCCAGTCGTCCTTATTGCATGTTATGCCATGGAGCACATGGTTTCAGTTAATGTGAATATTAACAAGGTTTAATCACTTTGTTCATATTTTTTTAAAAATCATAACCACAGATGTCCTTCATAATAAACGATTTGGATAACAAAAGGGTTCATATCCTATGACAGCCAGTGTACAATATCTATGATTGAATAGTTTTGAGGGGGATATTGGAATGCATTACCTGAGAATATTCATATTGCCCATTTGAAAGAGGGCACTATGGCTATATTGAGGATTTAATGACTGTTTAATAATAGATATATGATGCTTAGAAATATAGTATTAAGTGTTATACAAAGGTACCTACAATCAAACATACTTAATGTCAATGACCACCAAAATAGAAAGATCATCCATCTAAGAGCGACATTTTATGTTTCCCCTTGAACACCGATTTTTTTGTGAATTGAAGGAACCTATACATAAAGTCCACAACACAACCTTGAGTGGTCTTTTTTTACTCCATGGAAGAACAGAGCCATTAGATTAATGGCTCTGAAATGGACTATTAAACCATTTTATCATTCTATTATTGTTATATAAGTCTTTGATTTTGTTATATTGTGTTGTTTTTTATGATGATTTTCGGAAATAAAACAAATAAACAAACAAACAATACACAGGTTTCACTGTATTATCATCCTACCTTGGCAACAGGTACTGGTGATGGTATGCTTTCCTCTGAGGATTCGTCATCTTCTGCAGAATGTTTCCTCACTTGCCTCATCCTACTGGGAGGGATGTGGGGTGGTTCAGGCGTCTTCCTGGCTGCTGCTGGGCTCGTCGACACGAGCCCTCCTCCTCCTGCTGGTGTAGCCCCGGCGGCACCATTGTGATTGGTTCCTTCCTCTTTAACTTCTTCCTTAACCTCACCATCCTCACCAGCCTGTCAAGAGGAAAAACAAGAAGTGATTTGATTTGATCTAGGGGGTATTTCACAAAACTTGTCATCAGTGCCGAATGATAGTTTTTGTTATAAGCTACTGAAATCCTTGCTTCTGATTGGTTAACAGCAGCTTCGTCAATGATTTTTGTAATTTGTCATAGAAAAAAGGCTTTGTAAAACGGGTCCCTGATTTGACTTGGGGTTTTGATTTTGATAATTGGAACAACTGCAGAAATGCCCATCTCACAAGTAATTTTAATTCTAAACCCTAACCCTGATAACATCTTAAACCCCAAACCATAACCTTAACTCCAACCATACTTGTATCCCTGACCCTACCCTTCACCCAAATACAGTGTATTAAACAGGGTGCGGAATTCTGCAGTTAAATTGACTTGGTTCTCATCATGGTCATTTGATAATTGGAACTGCAGAATAGCCCATCTGTCAAGTAATCTAAATTCTAAACCCAATCCTGATAACATCTCCAAACACCAAACCATATCCATAACTCTAACCTTACTTGTACCCCGTACCCTACCCCACCCCAAAATACAGTGTACTTATCCGTTGCGCAGAATTCTGCGGTTAAGTTTTCATCATGGTCATTTTCACACTTGAAGACCTACATGTAAATGACTAGTAAATATATGAACATATGTGTGTTATAGAGAAGAACTGCTACATACAAAACTATTTAGAGATAATTCTGAATAGTTGAAATGTGTCCCACCTACAATTAACAAATTTTATCCCACCAAACAAAAAATACCACCGATCGACCACTGATTTATGTTTCCACCTGGCATTGCTATGTACATTGTCTACAAAACCATTTCCCATCAATTTCATTCCATTGCATCAAGTTAGGGGGAAACTGGAGCACATTATAAGACAAAACAAACATTGTCACAAGAATAGAGACACACAGATACTAGACAAGACAAGAAAGGATGGACAAAATAGTTGTAGGGGATCTGAAGCTGATATTGTCCTCATGGTCCAAGCAAAGAATCACCATAATGTCAAGAATGTTCTTGCTTGTAATGTGATTGAAGTATCAACGATTTTGGAAGAAGAGGCCTACCTGGTTCCGGACTGGAGTACCCGGTCCTGATCCAGCCTTTGGTTTAGCTCCATCCTCCTCTTCATCCTCACTGTCGTCCATCAGTTCCATCAGCTGCTTGAACTGTATCAAGGAATCATAGTAGCAGATTAATAGCATTAGACTGTATCTCATTTACAGGTAAAACAAAAACTTATCAGTCCTTATGATGTTTCTTATAAGTTAGTCACACATATTGTTTCTAAATTTTATACATGTATCTCACATTCATGTAACGTTGTCTGTATAGAGCCACAATGGCATTGATCCATATTACTTTAACATGGACTTAGCACCCTTGTGACCCTGAACAGACGACTTGTCTATCATGTATTCTATCATAAATAATGTGATGCATTAGCCCTGAATTGTTAATAATAATAATAATAATAGAACATGACCTGGACTTCCTCTCTTTGTTGTTGATGTATCTATAAAATTGTACATTATATACCATTACTTTCTTTATTAATAAAGTGATATTGAAACAGAAATGTTTGAATACATTGGTATATGGAAAAAATACCATTTACGAACTCCGAAAACTCTGAAAAGAGACACTGGAAACATGACAGCTCTTGGGATAAGCCACTGTTACAGTAAGGCAGTGTTGGGTTCAGGATTGAGTTTAATTAATATCATGTAGTAAGTGTTAGAAATTAAGAGTTAGAAATTAACTGCAGAGCAATTGTCGCCGGAGAATGCCTCATGAATCTGATTTTAGGTGGTTAACAAAACCTAAACCATTTTAAAAACTTCAATACTGAAAAAGAAAGTGGGCACTTACATCTAAGTACTCCTCCACGATGTCCCTCTTCTCTTGCTCACTGAGAGGTCCTTTAGGCTGGCCCGTCCTGAGGAGATCCAGGGCTCTGGCAGGGTTGAAGTGAACCAAGGACTTCCTACTCACGGCCTTCTCGTACACCTTGGCTGCCTCCGTCGGCGAGTATCTGTGTATTGTGCTGTGAGGGGATTTACAAAGGAATGGGCATGGATAACGATTTGATTTTTGTTTTGTTCATACAGCAAGTCAACATAAGTCTTTGGCCTGTATTTTTATTCCCGGCTTTTCATTTTCTCTTTGAAAAATATGATTGTTTCAGGAAACATTTACACACTAAAAGAAAAATCTATCAATAGCAAATCATTAGCTCTATAGACTGGATTTTTATAACTGACAGGTCTTAAGTAAAGCAGTTATTACCTGAAGACTTCAAAAGATCAGCCCTTGAGAGGGAAATTTATTCTTGTCCTGTTCCATAACAGAACACTCCTTGCTATCTGGTTAGTTGATAGCTAGTTTTTAGGTTGACAGCTTCTGATTCTCAAAGCTTCAGATTTTAAGTTTTCAGAGAGCTGTTACTCCTCTGAGAGACACTAAAATAGCCTATAACTTATATTGTAATCTACGAGTTAAAAGCTTCTGTTAAAATATAATTCATCTATTTCATTTTTCACTTCTGACTTGGTCTTTTACTTACTTGTCCCTGAATCCATAGAGGTCTTTGAGATGCTGCTTGAGTACCAGTAGCATGATGACGGCCTGAGACGCTACACAGCACTCCAGTAGCTGGGTGGGTTCTTCTGGGATTCGCTCTGCAAGGAACAAAAAGATGATTTAATTTGTTTGACAAGTTAACTGATGTAATAATATTTTGCTTTTATTACCCCAGTCATTGGATCTACACTCCCTGGGGAGCATTCCAGCCAGGCGTTTCTTGACGCTCAAAAACTGTTTGACCAACAATGACGGTCGCATCCTACCTATCACATCCTATTAGATGTATTTAAATCTCAAGTCATTACTTATCAGACAAAAACTTACTAGTGAAATCAACGGTTCAGTAGGAGTTAAGATCCCAGGTCAAAATCAAAGAAATCATAAGGTATGGTTCTTATAAGCGTATAAGGTAGAACAGATGTAGAATTAGTGGTTATTTTACTCAACTGCTGAGAAAGCATAAATACTTGTTAGTAACCAGACCACTGCTCTACCAACTGAGTTATCGTGCCTCCTCTTATAAGCGTATAAAAACATAACCAAGACCAAGGGTGGGAGAATTTCAGAAAAAAAGTTCCCAACCCAAAATGACAAAGACGAGGTTACCGACAATCGTAACAATTGGTAGCATATTATCAGAAGTGTAAAATCGCTTTGGTCTTCACAAACCTCTCCCTGGGAGGCCAAATGGCCATGTTTCACTTAGCTTGCACCAAGGGTTAAACCAAGCCTGCTGAGAGGCATGAACTTACCGATGAGGTTTTCAGCATCGTCCTCATCATCATCTTCAAAGATCGCCCTACTGGCTGGTTTGGCTGAATCTGAATTCTGAGATGATCTTGAGGGCGGTCTGGATGGCTGGTTGCGAGAAAAGCTCTGAAAAAAATAAATCATAAAATAAACTAGATGGAACTTCGACTGCGCGCAGTCGAAAATGATGCCTCCGTCATGGAGCAATTTTACAAACCAAAACAGAAGAAATTTTTCAAATCAATTTCAATTGTAATCCATTATATACATATATGACCCTTTGATCTTTGACCTCATGACCCTAAAATCTACTCAGTTCATTGGCTCTGCAAGATGTCCTGAGTTAAATAGTAATCCATCTGTCAGTTCTAATGAGAATGCGTTCACAAGCTATTTTTGCATACATAATGAGCCCATGACCTTTGACCTTTGACCTCATGACCCAAGAATCTACTCAGTTCATTGGCTCTGCAAGATACATACATGATCTAAGTTTGGCAGGAGTCCATCAATCTGTTCTAATGATAATGCGATCGCAAGCTATTTTTGCATACATAATGAGCCGCATGACCTTTGACCTTGACCTCATGACCCCAAAATCTAATCAGTTCATCGGCTCTGCAAGTAACATACATGACCTAAGTTTGGCAGGAATCCATCAATCGGTTCTTGAGATAACGCGATCACAAGCTGTTTTTGCATACATAATGAGCCCTGTGACCTTTGACCTTTCATCTCGTGACCCCAAGATCTAATCAGTTCATCCGCTCTGCAAGATACATACATGACCAAAGTTTGGCAGGAATCCATCAATCGGTTCTTGAGATAACGCGATCACGAGCTGTTTTTGCATACATAATGAGCCCTGTGACCTTTGACCTTTGACCTCGTGACCCCAAAATCTAATCAGTTCATCGGCTCTGCAAGATACATACATGACTAAAGTTTGGCAGGAATCCATCTATCGGTTCTTTAGATAACGCGATCACGAGCTGTTTTTGCATACATAATGAGCCCTGTGACCTTTGACCTTTGACCTCGTGACCCCAAAATCTAATCAGTTCATCGGCTCTGCAAGATACATACATGACTAAAGTTTGGCAGGAATCCATCAATCGGTTCTTCAGATAACGCGATCACGAGAACGGGACGTACGGACGGACGGACGTACGGACGGACGGACAACCCGAAAACATAATGCCTCCGGCTACTTCGTAACGGAGGCATAAAAACAATCACAAATGGAAGGATGGAGTCCTGGAGAATTGATTTATTTTTATATTTTAGGATACAACGCTTCTCTTTATCGTCAAGTATGCAAGACTCTTGCCTCACAGATGTTCTCATTGCATACATCATAATGTCTTGGTGCAATAAATTCTTGTCAAAGAAGCATCAAAAAACCAACAATCAACAATCAAAGAGAGAGAGAGAGAAATAATACGGAAATAGTGATTATTACTTACATCTTTGAAAGACTGTAGTAAGTTTGCTCCTGATACAGAGACTATGATTTCTATGTGATGCATAATGAAGAGAGGTTCATCTTGTGCTGCGTATGGGAAAGATGACAGGTTGTCAGCCACAAACACCAGCAGCTTCAGGTCACTTTTCTACACAACAAAAGAACATACAAGAGAGATGTAAGGAATTTTGTTGGTCTTAACAACTGTGATTATCCCAACTGGCACCAAAGTCTTCTCATGCTCGACTATCAAAATAGACCCCTTAAAAGAAAGCACATACCACAAAATATTACTAACAGCAGGAATTGAACAGTTAAGCAAATATAAACTGACAAAAGTTGGTTATTAATTTTTTTGGTTAAATTCCATTGAAGATGATGACAAATTTATCCATAAACATGTAGAATACACCATCTATAAATGTTTTAAAAGGTAAGGAAAGCTTTCCTGTTGCCTCCCTTCACAATTGATATTCCATTCAATCTTAATATGCTTTATATTGTCAATTTCATCACAATAGGTGTGTCTTGGAAGGACAGAGTTTCGAACTTGGTGTTGCATCGAGCTCATGACAAACGGGTGCTTCAAACGAGAGAGACAGAAGAAATGAGGGGAAGACTTCTTAAAGGCTTTCTAGATGATTTAATCGCAGAATGTGGAGCAACATGATATAAAACGCTGAAATGGATGGCTCAAGACCGAGGTACTTGGAGAGAGACTTGATGTAGAATTCTGATTGGGTCATTGAATCTGTCATAAACTGACAGATCACTATTGATGATGTATGTATGTATGAATCATTGCAGATGTGTAGTTCACAGGCCTTTACTCAAGTGCACACATATCATATCTGTCGTAGAAAATACAAGTTCATGAACTTATGACCTTAAGTTGAATTAATATGATTGTCTGAACTCACCACATGCTCATCAAAGAGACTGAGTAGACTGAGAAGAATGGCTCTCCGATGTGACCTGTTGGACCTGATCATTGAATAGAGATGACTGCAGAGGGCATAGTGATGGTTGTCCGTCTCCCTCATACCACGGATGTACTCTTCTGTCTCAGAGTTGAGCAGCTCCTGGAGTTTGTAGGCCATCTTCAGACCTGCCAAGGCCTTCATCTACAGAGAGAGCAAGGGGAGAGATCCAACAGGCATTACAAACCCAGACGATATACATGGTCTCGCAAGATATTGCAAGACCCCCATTGATTGTCAGCATCACAATCATTGTCAATATCACTGTCATTCTAATCATCACTGTCATTTTAAACGTCACTGTTACCATCATTGACAATGTCACAGTTATCATCATTGTCAATGACATTGTTTTCTTCATTTTCGTTGTAAATGTCACTGTCAGTGTTATTATCGTTATCATTGTCACTTTCATTGTTACCGCTATCATCATTATCATTCTCAAAGTCATTGTGAGAGATAACAAGTCAAAACAGTGCTCTACTTGCCTGTATGAAGCCTGGATATCTTCTGTCTATGTGTGTCAACTGCTGGTCAGCTTTCACTCTGATGGCAGACTCTGGGTCACTCCCCATGGCAACAAGGTAAGGTACACACTGGGTTGGAAGAAAACGTTAAAATCGGTTGACTAATTATTTGAAATGAAAATGTATTTTTAAGTGAAATCGTACAAATTTGTGTTAATGTATTGAAATTGTGCAAAAGGTTAAATTGCTTGTTCATGTAACAATTGTTCTTGAAATAAGCATGGCATTTTTAGAAAAGTTGTCAAAATTACTTTTTCATTGCTGATCAAATGTTGATTATGGAGTTGTTTGGATTAGAAGTTACAAACAAAATGAAAAGATATGCTCGAAAATCACTACACCGCAAAGAAAAAACACAACAATTCACCTGAAAATAAACAATGACAAATTGGAGCCTTATACATTTGGTATACTATGAAGCCAGAAACAGAGAATTGGCAGGATCTGAATGCGGAAAAAACTGAATGCATCCATGCTTGAAAGTAAACTAGAGGTAGTTACCTGAACAGGATGAACTAGACCCTGTCCTAGCGTTAGAACGATGACCTGTAACGATGCCATCCTGACCATGGATTGCTTGTGTAGCATGCATTCCATCACTTGCTTCAGGTACATCTGCATTACAGAGCTGCTCATTCTGTAGATGGGGATAAACAATGTTACACATTTTCATTACCATCATTATTTATCAATATAGACATGGTCTCAAGGAACTTTTTGAACTGTACATGTTTTAAACTTTCCAATGGTATGTGACTGTTCCTAGTAGAATACATTTCTAATTTCTACAAATAAGCATTTTGCCCCATTTTACATGAAAAGGCCTATTATTATAATCACCACATAGCCACCATCAACACGACCACCATCACTTGAATCATCACCATGACCACCACCATGACCATCATCATCCTCATCAACATCACTTTCATCATCATCATTATCATCAACATCAACACCACCATCATCAATATCATCTTCACCACCACCACCACCATCATCATCATCAAAGAGCATACACTCCCTACACAAAATGAGTTTCTAGAGGTAAAGTTGTTTACTTACCCAGATTGTACATCACCCATCTCCTTCAGGTCTTCCTCTTTGGCATGTGCTTTCCCTGAGAACAGATAATACGAAATAAAGACTTTTATTGACTGAAGAGCAAAAGACAGAATTCAGAAAGTAATCTTTTAACATTCAAATGACATCCTCGCAAACCAATGATTCAGGTCTCAATTTCCAGCATAAAAAATGTGCTTTATTTCGTACCCTTTTTACAATGAAATGAAATGTGTAAAAAGCGGTAGTATCTCTACTTCCAAGTTCTATACTACATCACCGATTGTATCAGCAATAGATTTGTCACAATACACAGTTTTAGGCTCCTTATAGACGCGCTTTGTTACTGCAAGAAAAAGGCGCTGTACCGAATACTCTGTGGATCGGATTTATCAAATACTCTCATATCAGTAGAAGAAAAAAAAAAATTACATAAAAAGACTCTTGAGAAAGTTTAACACATCAGGGTCGTGTTTCATAAAACTTGTTTTCAATAGCAAAAGCTAAATTTCTATGACAGACTTGTTCTCACAAAGCCTCTCAGCCAATCAGATGCCACAATTTTAGTAGCTTAAGAATAACAGTTATTGTAACTTGTTATTGATATCAAGTTTTAAGAAACGGGACCCAGGTGTGAGTGAGGCTTAATAGAATCCATTCCAAATGAAATGAATAAGGAATGTGGTCATGTCAAATGAGAGGAACTTACATTCTGCATCTGCTTGTCTCATCCTCTCATCCTCTTCTACGAGATATAAGTGAAGATTTCTCACCACCTGAAAGAATATGAAATAGAATACTAGAAATGACAAACTACATCAGCAACCTTATACAAATGAATGATGAATGGCAATTTAACGTTATCTACAAGGCCCAGCTTTTTTGGGGTGATGTCACAGCCCTGGGTAGGGTAAAGGGAGGATAATTGAATGCAAGAAGGGTATAGCACAAATTAAGCTCACAGCACACTACACGATTTGACAACTACATGTATCTGATTGTGGAAGTATTTGCAATAGCATTTGATGTGAACATTCAAACATGTCAAATGATAACGATCTGAATAGTAATGAATGAATAATGAATAATAGAATCTAAATTTTAAGGATTTCAAACTTTTTCAGAAAACAAATCATTTGCTAGAAACAACTAGTTAACTGATGCAAGACACTGATGTAGTGCACTTCACACAGTAACCAATATTGGGGTTTACAAAAGGAAAGAAAGTAGTGAACTTATTCAACCCTTCACATGTCACGAGTGCTAAAACTATGGAAAACAATTGACGTTCAACCAATCAATATCCACTCTAATTGAGCTGCACAAAAACTGTTTGATTACATTGAGCATTATCTTTACAACAGAAATCTCAAAAGAAGTGGAAAGTAGATACTGGAACCGTTCGCTCCAAAAGAAAATATGGCAAATAGAGAGATAACAAGCACGGACAACTATAAATTGTCAGGGAGAGAAGAGACTCACTAGGCACAATTGCTTGACCGATATGTTAGGATCTGTGAGGACTTTTCAGTAGAGGTCATTGGATTTCATTTAGCATTAACATTACAACAGAAATCTAGAAATCAGTGGAAAGTATAAGCTGAAGGTAAATTTGGGAAATAAAGAATTAATAAACATGGACAACTATAAATTTAGATGGAGAGAAGAGACTCACTAGGCACAATTGCTTGACCGATATGTCAGGATCTGTGAGGATCTTCCAGTAGAGATCTTTGACTTCAGTGGTCAGCATGAAGTCTGCATGGCGATTGCACAGGAACCCCAGGCCGCTCAGAGCCTTCAGCTTGATGTCTTCATCCTCCCGGTTGCAGAAGTAGAGCAGGACGTCAAACACCCTGTCCCTCACCGGTATCTGGGGATGACAAAGCATGAAGGGAAATGTATTCATTATCCAGCTTGTCCACTGTAGAACCATTACGACTACATGAACATTTTCCAATCAATAAGAAGCAAGTCGATAAGGTGAATCAAACTGTTGTGCTTCTAGGACAGTTGTTCCAGGCTTCATTTAGTCACATACATAGGACTAGAGTTAGGGTCGCAATTAGGTTTTAGGTTAGATTTTAGTTCAGAGTTTTGGGTTAGAGTCAAGGTTAAGTAATGGGTTAGAATATCAGGATAGAATTTCAAACCAAATATCAGGTAACATGATACTTTTGAAGTAAAGATGTCTAACATATTGCTGAATTCTTAACCTCAAGACAGTGAGCAAATGCACCGCTCATGTTAATTCTTCTAAAAGCTAGAATCTGAATATAACTCACCTTGGGTGACGATTTGGAGTGCTTGAGCCCTGCATCGAAATCAAAGTGTTTGCAGAAGAGACCGACGGTGAAGAGAGACCTGAGTAAGACTGGCTTGTTCTTGCTGATAGGGCTGTCCGAAGTTGAGTCATGGTCTGTCTTCATCTTGGCTAGAATGGCTGTTCCACAAAAGAGAAGAAATCAAATGACATTAAAATCATGGTAAAATTATGATTGAATTATACTCATTAATTACGTGACTACACGTTTGGGACAGGAAGAAGAAGACTCAATAGAAATTCAATATTTTGAAAGCAAAATGGGCTTTAAGAAACAGGAGTCCACCTATTAATAGCCTCACATGAACAAATACAAATATCTTTTATTGGAGAATGAAAAAGAATTATGGTACAAGATTCACCTTGTTTAAAAAGTGAATTATATTCTAACCTGCACATGCCAAGATTTATGTACAAAATCTGTACAAATCTATAGTGTAGTCCCACATGTTGAAATACATTGGGGCATTGGACTCCAAATAGTTCAAGACAACCTGACTCTGGCTTTAAGAGTCAAATCTGTTTTGACTCGGGCCTAGTTACTTTATTAACTTCATTTAAGTACAATAAGCTGTTCCTTCATACAACTTTAATTCTCAAGTTTTTTCAGTTCTTCCCTTGGAGAAAGTAATGTAATGATGCGGAGTCTTTACACAGAGAACACTTACTAAAGTACTTTTGAAAGCAGTCTCTGACTAGTCTGTAGTTGTGAGTCACCCTGTTGACTATTGCCCCTAGACAACTCACACAACTCTGAAGCACCTGTTTCAAGAAAAGATAAATAAACATGAAAGTTAAAATTATTAAACATAGATTTTTAAAGGGCATGATCTTGGATGGGGGATATGCGTAACTAATGAATCTAGATGGTCAATCTAGACGACAATAATAAGAATGAATGTCCATCAAACAAAATTGATAAAAGATCAAAACTAAATGTATGATTTATTTAAATGGCAAACTTACAGGGAATTGCTTTCTATCATTATAGGTATATCAAAACATTTGAGGCCATATTTAAAACTGCAACTCATTCATGCATATTTTCATGAACTTTGTAAAATGCAGATTTTCATCAATTTTGTACAGGGTTCAGATTACGGACGGATTTATCTTGCAAAAACCTCACTAAAAACAGAGATTTCTTACAATTTTCAAAGTTTCTTTGTTGTTAAAGATTTTTATCTTACTTACAGTATTCATAAGAAAACGTGTTATTTTCTCACCATTTGTCCATGTTTGAGGATGAGCCTCATCATGTCTTCTTCCAGGCTGGCCAGAAACACTTCACTAGGATGGTCCATCAGAGGTACAACCATCTCTATGATCTTGGCAACATTGGAGATCACCATCGTTTCACGTGCCGTCTAGGATGATGATGATGATGATAGAGATAATGATAAGGATGATGATGGTGGTGGTGATGGTGGCGATTATCATAATTATGATGATGATTATAATAGCATTCTGTGCCCTTCCAAAACACTTTGATATTGTGGCAGCCAATATGAGCTCAGAATTCTCTTTTTAAGGTATAAATCCGTTCAGGTGGGCAACTCAAAAATGTTGTTTGTGTGTAGGGAAGGGGGAGGGGGGATAAGCATGTTAAATCTAGACACATCTCAGTGATTCTGCTCTTGGGTAAAGATTTCATAGCTAAGTGTAATCTGTTTGTTTTATCAGGGCTTGATGCTAAACATGGGTCCAGGACACCCTGGCCTAAAAAAAAAAGAATCACTCCAGAAAACTAAAGACCACTAAAATTGCAATCCAGGCTCCCATGAAAAATTAGCCTTGAAGCCCTAGTTACAAGTAGACATGTTGTCTAAATCTTCATATTCATCAACAACCGCAGAGACAGCTAACTAAATACTCACTGCCACTTTTGTACTGAGGTAGGGTTGAAGAGTGGTTGCGTGAGCCACCATCAGCGTCGGCTTGACCTTGCTGAAGAGATACAGGGTCTGGAGACACGAGACCAGTCTCCTGCTGTTGGCCTTGCCCTCCTCCGAAACCTCGGCGGAGCCCCTCTCCAGCCGAAGCACGTGCTCCACCAGGCAGTCGGTCACCTGCATACACGCCTTCTGTACTGGCTTGTAGTGGGCGTCCACCTCACTTTTCAGGAGCTGCAGCAGAGAAAGATGGGGGAAAATTTGTTCAGATTGTCTAGTGAAAGAGCTTTAACATGATGCAAGAAATGCAATCCATTTTGGTTCGTCGAAAGTGCTTATAATATATTTATATTCGACTCTAAATTTGATATGAACAGGTAAAGAGCAGTCAATAATTGTACTTTTGTAATCCTCTAAACTGTTTTAATGGCCATGAAAAAACAGCACCTCACCCATCTGATTTTAAACCGGATTTACATTGATCTCAGGGACTAGCAATTTTTGGAGGATTTTTTTTTTTTATCAACAACAAAAAAATCAGGGGAAAAAAATATATAAGAAAACCAATCAGGAAATTCTCAGACCTGATTTCAAGGAATAATTCTGCCCAGGTACCTCTGTAACACTTCGGGGAGAGTGGCAATTTTGTGGATTAATGACTTTCCAAAAGATGGGATTCGAACCTTAAACCCTTGAGATTGAGAAGTCAAGTGAATAAACCACTATACCACAACACCTCCACAGAACCACTATGAATCATGCAATATCAGCATACAATTTACATAGTTTAATAATTGTCACCCAGAGCCATCTATACACAGAGTTTGGCCAACCCGGTTTGAGTTGGTCACAACATGACGACCACTGCTTTGTTTGGCAAGCACAAAACAAAAGAATATACGCCATGTTGTGACCCAGTGAAACCAAGTTGGCCAAACTCTGTGTATAGATGGCTCTGTTGTCACCAATCTACTTACATTTGTAAGGAGTTGTTCTAGCCAATCATAGCCTGTATCTTTACTTGCTGCTACCACTTCAATGATGTTCAGAGCTCTCTGAAGCAGCAGGTTCTTGTTCTGATTCGGCATCGGGGTGAACCACATCTTCTGAAACGTCTCGTTGACCAATTTCTGCAGATAACAAAAACAGAACATTTTATCTAAAATAAATTTATTATCATATTAGATTGATGTATTTCTCTTGTAACAAGAAATTGGTTTGAAATCTTCTGAAACTAATTTCTGCTGATAATTCAAACACAAAATCAAGTAAAACATCAGATCTCATAGGAATATTTCTTATGTAATTAGCATATTTTATGTATTTCTCTTGTAACAAGAAATTGGTTTGAAATCTTCTGAAACGGGTCATTCACTCATTTCTGCTGATAATTCAAACACAAATCAAGGACAGATCTTGTAGGAATATTTCTTATGTAATTATAATTTAATTGGTGTTCAATGAAGGGTATGAAATGAATTACTTTTGTATCTCACCAGTGTAAGAATATTTCATTGGTGTATTTTTCTCTCAATTCAAATATAATTAGTGTCCAATACAAAGTATTTCAAGACATATTTAAAAAAAAAAAAAATGTTTTAACGGAGGAGAAACTACACAATCTGTATTATACAACAACATGGAAAACACAAAGACTCCTTCACATCAGCCGCAGTAATCCACCACAGTTTGTGTGTACTAAATAAGTGGCAAGAGGGGATTAAATAGGTAGCTTCGTGCAACAAAGGTCCCAATAGTAAGCTGTCATAGTATTTTGTGGCATGTGAACAAGGCTGAAGAAGATGTTCTTGTTTTAGGTAAAGAAGGCCTAGAGAATCTTGCTTTGACAGGGAAAATTGTGGGAAGGAGGAGTAGGGGAAGAAGGAGGATAGTTTGGATGGACAGCCTGGAGAAAAACAGAGAGGAGTGAAGGAACTGGAAGTGGTACTAATAGAGAAGGGCTAGGAGCTGAGGGTTGTGGAACAGCATGATCGCCAAAGTCAATCGATAAGGCACTGAGAGAGAGAGAGACTTGTTCCTACCTTGATACCCTCCTCATCGTTGACCCTCCTGATGATGCGGACGCAGATCTCTGGAATCTTGGAGAATTCAGGTTGATCAATGCAAATATCCCTGAGAGTCTTGATCACCCGTTTTCGCACGCTGATTCCAGTGTCCTGTTCATGGGATGAGAGCACGGAATTAAAAGAGTTAGCTGATACAGAGGTACCACTTGATAGTACAGAACAGAATATAGCTAGAGTATTCAGAAAAGCATATCAAATTTTGTCCAGGATAACAAAATAATGTTCTGGGCCCCCGTCTTATAAATAGTTGCTCTTGATCCAAATCAATCGCAAGTCCTCCAATCAATCTCAAGTCCTCCAATCAATCACAAGTTTGCAGTCTCCTATCTTCTGTGTACATAGTTGAGATTGAAATCAACTGCTAATAAGTTGCATCAATATCAACTCTCTATAATAGTCAAATGATTGATATGTGTTAGGAACTGTGAGGAAGTAATTACAGTAAAACCTGTCTTTAAAGACCACTCAAGGGAGATAAAAAATGTGGTCTTTGTAGACAGATGGTCTTTCTATACAGGTGGTCACTAAAGCAGGTTTGACTGTAGTAGTTTCATGTAGCACATAAGAACTGGGCTACCACCACTACTACTTCTGCTACTGCTAACTTACCAATATTCTTTCGATGAGCATTTCATAGTACTGATCTGTAAGCTCAGGCTGCATCAACACGAACCTTCCTACCAACTCCACTGCTGCTTCCCTCACACTGGTTGACTGATCCATAAACCGACAATGAACCGTCTTCTGCACATCAGCCTAGCAACACACATAAAAAGAGAAAATTACATAATAAGAAGAAGAAGAATTGAAAGTGCTTATCTTCCACATAAAATCAATCAAGGATTTACAAAATGTGTAAACAAGCAATTATAAACATGTAACATTCAATAGGAAGTCATGAGTCGCTTCTTCAAATTTTTGTAATAGCAGATGTCTTTCCTGGGCGACATCTACTATTGGTAGATAATTCTCTTTTTCTCAAAACACTCTTTTTCTTTAAAATCATTCCTACAAAGCAAAATTCTTACCCTGGCCAGTATTTTTGGATCTGCGGCTACTACTTGTGATAGGCACTTCATAGCTCTCGTTCGGACTGCGACTGCTGTTTCATTCAATACCCTCAAGATCTGAAGAAAAACAAACAGGATTTTCTTTTACCTAAAAAAACTTGATATGGCATTAATTTAATATCCTTGTCAAGGTCAACAACAAAAAAATATATACATTTTTCTTTCTTAGGTAAATAGACATGGCACTTGTTGTAATGTTTATTCAGAATATTATGTATAGGTAAAATGAAATGCAATGTACAGCAGCATAAGAATACATTCAAATGACTTTTGTTTGAAAGTAGTACATCATTTAATACAATTACACATGGATCTGCATTTGTTATAACCTTTCCTTGGACAAATTGGAATATCACATTCGCTAATTCACACTTACACTTAAAGAACAACTCATCGAAAATCATGAACGCATGCTGCTGGCCAAATGCACAAAAACATTACTGGGCAAAAGCAGGAAGGCAAACTTCTATTGCATCACATATTTCATTATCTTTGCTTGAAACTTTACCATATAATTTAAGGTAACATTTTCTTTTAACACATAAATGATCAACGTTTTTGCTGGAAACGCTTAGTTTGTTAGTAATGTTTTAAAACAGATTAACCCATGAATTCAGGCAAGGATGAGAGCTTCGAAAAGATACTTACTTGTGTAAGATAGATATCAAAACTCTGTGAGAATGGTCTTCTTGACGCAAGGTACCTCACTACAAAGGCGGCACTCTCGTACGTGATGATGTTCCTTCCTTTCCTGTATGGTAAACATTAGAAAGGAAAGGTTGAGGATGATAAATAATAATAATGAATTTATATTCCAAGGCGCACAATTTGATTACTACCCCGGCTTTAGCCTAGCTGCCATTACGGCGCTGCCAGGTCCTGCCAGGTAAGTTTTGGCTAAAGTAATTAAGGGGAAGACTGCCTTCTTTGCCTACACATCATGCATCAGCTGGATAAGCAGGACAAAATAGAGAGTTCTCATTTCATCATAGATACATACAAACATCTAAATGTTCACTATCACAAAATCCAACTTCAGACTTATAATCATCCCTAATACTTTCACTTTCTAAAATTCAAAACTTATCAATAAACATTATCCACATCAATATTATTTTCTCCAAATCCTCACTTATTTGGCCTTCTGATTTTTCTGCTTTTCACGTCAAGAAAGTTACTACAATAATGTTAGGATTGCCTTTCGAAGAGAGTGTTTAGTACCTTTTCATATGGTATAAACATTCCCCTCCTTCATAACCATTTCTTATTCCTGTTATACTAGGGCCCCGATTACAAGCAGTCTTGCTTCTCAGGGGCCCTGGCCATTATTTCTTTTATGTTGTTGTTCTTTGATATTATTCTTCTTTTGTATTGATATTTTGTATATTTTGTTGTTTTTAAATGGTCAATAAATGAAATGAAATTATAAGGAATCTAATTATCATTAAAGGCAATATTGTATAAGTATATCTTTATCCTCACCTAATGGAACCAGAAGGTTTTTTGACCTTGATAGAATAAAGAAGAAACTTTTTCCTCTTCTCTGCTGCTCGTAAGATATCGGCTTTCTTGAGGTCATTGTCCCGAGCCTTCTCCTCTTCCTCCTCATCATCACTGTCGTCGTCGTCTTCGTCGTCATCGCTATCCTCATCGTCGCTGTCTTTCTTCTTCTTCTTGGACTGAGGTGCTTTCATGGTCTGTTCCACCTCGGCGTTGGTGTCCCGGTACCACTGGGCAAGAAAGAATTGCCTTGAAAACTGCAAGAGAGAACAAGAGAGCGAGAGAGAGAAAGAGAGAACCAAATAAATATGAGTGGAATCGACATCAAACAAATATATTCCCAAAACACATGGACCCTTAGACACTTTAAAGGCAGACTGTACTAGTTCAGCCAGAAGGGATTAGACCACACAGAGAGGTCACTGACAGGTGGCTATCTCATTAACTCAGCTCTCAATTAAGATAAGAAAAAGAGGATCACGGGGGACCAACAGGCACTGATTGGGGAAGTTTTCTACATAGAGGGATCAAGTAGCTACAAGTGGTGGCTAGTACAGTGTGGCTTTAAGAGAGAAAGGGAGAGAGTTAGAAAGAGGAAGGGAAGAGGCGAGCAGGAGATGGGGGGGGGGGGGGGGGGAGGAAGGAAAAGGAGAGATAAAGAGAGAGAGACAGAGAGAGAGACAGAGAGAATGAATGCCCATAGGAATTGGGGCTTCAATCAATGGAAAACCTAAGAAATAATACCGACATAAGATAATCAATAGATCCCATGTTTTCCTAACCCCCAACCAAACAAAGCCTTTATATCTATACAGATCACAGATCCCTGACAGAATAGATCTGTCATGAAAACTGTCTGAAGTAGGGGTATATCTTATTGTTTCCTTACAGATGACATTTCCAGACGGATGTGTACGTATACATAATAAACAAACATTCAATAATGATAAACATAAGTTCAATATACGAAATGATGTGTACCTAAAAGCCTTGATATAAATAACGAAATTACAAATATACAACCAAATGATGACATCTAAGTCAGTTCCAAGAAGATCATTTGCCTTTCTTACCAAGATTGCTGGATCATTGCGACTGTTGTAGCTGAGGTAGTCTACCATAGCCTGTTGTAGGTTCATGACATAGTCCAGTTTGTCACATGGTTTCCCGTCCCCAACTGGAGACTCTCTACCTCCCCTCATCTACAAGAGAAGAAATGATATCAAATAAGCATATTTCTTTGAATATACAACAATAATAATGACTCAATAACAATGCTAACACTGAATCAGATAATGCTACTACTATTTCTACACCAACGATATAGTTAACAATATAAACACTTTTTTTTCTCGGTACAGTATATACAACACATTGGTTCTGTGAACATGATTTTTGCAAGGCATTACCTATACTCATCACTTAGAAAACGTGAAAACCTGAAATAAATCTCATTTATTCTGGGCAGCGCAATACCAGAGAAAACAATGTGAAATAACTCTATTATCATTAAAAGTGTAGGTTACTAATACAACTTTCATACTGTATTTTGAAAATCCACTAGCAAAAAAAAGAAAGAAACACAATGAACACAAATAAAAGACCAACACAATAAATAAAATTGAATTTGCTCCAAGCCTTTTGAGTAGTTTAAGAATGATTTATGCAGCTCATTATCCACTTCATTCCCGAGAGGACATTGTTAAATAATAGCTATACAACAAATAAATATATGGAAAACATTGTAAATTCTTTAGACGGTTGAATCAAAGCTCTTGTATTAAGCCAGATTCTTCCCTATAATGGGCGACTTTTGTAATGTAATCAAATTTAATGCTTGAATGTTTGCTGAGTGCCTTGTTTCAAATAATTGTATTTTAACCCCCCCCCCCCCCCCCCCCCCGGGTAAAAACCTGGTCTAAAATAACCAGGTTAAAATAGGGTTAATAGTTGGTGTGCAATTGCATACATTAGGTGTTGTTACGTAGGACAAGCCATAATAGCAACAACTTAAGTATGCAGTATGCAATTTGCAATTTGACTATCGAAATGCAATGCAGGTGATTGAAATAACTTTTAACGAGGCGCGTAACAAAGATTTGAGCATTAAATTTGATTACATCATGAAAATGGCCTGTTGGGCATGTAAATCTTCCTATTACCTCTCTGACGATGGTGTTGAGCCTGTCTTCATCCATCACACTTGATATGGCATCTTTCCTCAGTCTGCTCGCCACCTGGCCAAGATACTCAAGGGAAGACACTCTCATCGACATCTCATTCGAACGATTACTGAACTGGTGCATCTGAAAATTTGTCAAACAGAAACAGAAACATTCATGACAAAAAAAGTAAAAGAAACAAATGATAATGAAATCATAATAACTGATTTCCCATATCAGAGGAACTAGTATTAGGCAAGCATTTAATCGCTAAATTAATTATTATCTCAGAAAGTGGGCCAATACTATCAAACAATATTCATCAAATTTTCTGTCCCTTATAATGAAATTATACAAGACCCAAATCAAAGTAAATACGTCAAATAAACTTCCTGAAACTTCCTTTAATAAAGACATTTTTGCAAATAATATTTTGCTCTCTATATATCCTTTATTTGCAAATCATTCGAAATAATAATACTATGAAACCAGTAACTTTCACACATATGAAGTTTTAGCTGATTGTATGAGTGGGAAATTTTCGCAAAATTTTCATGCCACAAATCAATTGAATAATTATTGACAAAACACTGACTGTTTGCAATCTTGAAAGTTTTCTCGCAAATATCACTGTTGTTTCAAAATACATGGAAGTTTCATGTTATAGAGGTGTCTGATTTAACAATGTATAAGTATTGTTATCATGAGATTGGATTTCAAATACAAATAAAAACACAAACAGATAGATAACAATGGTAGAAAGAATGTACACATAGTCAAAGAAACTGTCGCGTCTGATACATAAATATATGAATAACAAAGAACATCCTTCTATACACAAAGCCGTGAGGATCGGTCGATACAGAACAAGAAATCAAACATACCAGCAATCTCCCGAGTAGACTGAGTAGAAGTTCTGATGCTGGCCATTCAGGCTTGTTGACTGCCGAAAGCAGATCTTGAACAAAGTTCTCAAAGAGCGGCCTGTAGTCTTCCTCGTCCTTGCTGACACACCTAAGACAACAAAACAGATGGTATGAACGCTTGGTATCAAGGTGTCTAGGGGGGTGTTTCACAAAGATCCTAAGTTGAACTTATCTCTAAGTTGGACTTAACAATTGTGGAAAGCTCTTAGCATCTATGAAAATATTTAGTAAAAGTTATTTGAAAAGGCATAAAATGTTGTTTCAAATCATTCAAATTTTCTATTATCAAGGAGATTTTATGTTCTTGATATTGAATTTATATAAAGTCTAAAATACTTGAATTTTCGCTTTTGAATACATTTTATTTTAAGGCTACAAATGGCTCTCCATAAGTCCAACTTAGGATCTTTGTGAAACACCCCCAGGTCTAGTGGATACGTCACCAGACTGTGAATCACATGGTTCACGGTTGAGTCCCGCCATGGCACTGATGTCCTTTGACAAGACATTAATCTACATTTGCCACCCTCCACCCAGGTGTAGTAAATGGATTCCTGGTAGGAATATTTATGTAGTGAATGCTTTAAGCATGTTAAGGCAGCTGGGCTAAAGCCATGGTAATAAATAATACTACTCGTTTGGACTAGCAAAATGCGGGGAAAATTGTGAAAAAAATGTCCAAAACCTCTTTAGTATCTTCAAATCATAAACATGGATTTACACATATGGGGCTAGGTATAGTTTTACAATAAAACTTTGGTCCAATGAATCAGTAACTGATGGAAGCACTTACTTTTTCAAGAAAACTGAGAGAAAGTTCTGCCCTGTTCTCACTGCTGTCTCATAGGCATTGACTACTAGCACACCTTGGTCCGTCTGTTTTGAACATGAGGGATAAAAGGTTGCATTAAAAAACAGGCAATCAAATTGACACAAGGTGAGATTTCTTCCACATTTGTAACTCATTACCTATCATAAATGTATTCAAAGTCAAAGAAAATGAAATCGAACACATATTTCAAATGATTTTTCTTCTAATAAATGCAGTATCATCTTCTTTTGTTACTTTCATTCATCCCTAATGTTCTTGTTGACAAGATCATTTGTTATGTAATTTCAACCAATTTCTAAACAAACAGCCATTAATAGCTTTTAATAAATGCATTATAATCTTCATTTATTCAACTTAATTATCATCTGATGAAGCTTTTGTATTCCTTTTTTCATTCATTCCTCTGACTTACAAATTAACAAACACAAAAAGCTAATTAATATGAAAACACAGAACATGAAAGCCCAACAAAAATCCCACAACATTGACTATCTCTGAAGCCTCAGTATTCCATTGCACTAACTTTTATTAAGCCTGATGTGCAATCTGATAAAGTTTAATTTAATTGTCCATTAATGCATTAATGTCAAAGAAAGCAACAAGAAACAAAATTTGTCGGTTGAGAGCCAGACTGGTGTTAACTCTGTACTGATTCTCCGCAAACTATGCTTGAATTCTGAAACTAAGAATTTTCTGATGTACCTTTGAACCGTCGTCATCAACATTATCATACTGATCCATTCCATCGCCATCTGGGGTTACGAACACAACTACACCTTGAATGAGTTGTAATACAAGAGCAGTCACCATCTGAATGTTGGTTGTGTTGTTCAGTCTGGATGGAGGGTAGAATACAAAGTAATGATTAATTCATAATCAAGGTGGAACATATTACATTAGATTTCAAATTTTAATACGTTTTAATCTCAAACCTCTGGATTAAATTTCATTGATATGCATATTAAAATGAAGATAAGGTTGAAACTTCCACAATATTGACATATAATGGTCATTACAATCCAGTTTTTGGTAGACACATGTTTGAGACATTGTCTATAGTTTCACTGCGAATCTTTGATGGAATACATCATTCACAGAAGAAGAAAAAGTCATCTACCTGAAGTTTCTGAGGTTCTTTTTACTCGATGGAAGTCTGGCAAGAGAGGCAAAGATATCCTCCAGGATGAGTTGTCTGTGTTTCTCGTACCTTGAGAATACCTGAAGGAAGAAAGAAATTACATTTTCAAAACTTCAGCTTGTTATTGGAGACAAATCCTCATTATTATACACATATTTCAATAATCCTATAGTTGCATCTATTGACAATAGGCTGTGAGTGAAGAAAGTGTCAAAAAATTATAAATTACAAGTATTAAAAGAAGAAACACAAATTTAGGGTGAAAGGGTTATTAATGTTCACAATACATTATACCAGTTAGTTTACATTTACAGCAAAATTCAGAGCCATAATATATATATATATATATATATATATATATCATACTTCCATAGTTCAGAAACTATGCTAGCATTGTTTTGTATAAAAACAAGTTTTTTAAATTTAGAATCTATTAATCTGTGATTTTACTGAAAGAAAAAATTCTGACAGTGGGTTTTCAATCATTTAAATACACAAAAATTATGATTCCACCCCCCCCCCTATGCGTTTAAAGCTTTGCCAGAAAAACATTTAAGGAACTCCTCCTGTCTATCGAGTGATCCCTCAAACTTAAACAGATTGTCTTATCCTAGATTTTATTCTATACTTACAGCAGCGATCAGCTTCAGAGAGTTGAGTTGAAGTTCACTAACATTCTCAACAAAGAAAGGTGCAGTGCCCATTGAAGAAATCTATCAGAAAATAAAGAAAAACTTAAATCATTAAGTCACTGCCACTGATTTCATTAATAAACTTTATTCAAACAGAGAAAGCTGAAATATGAATGCAACAAGAGGTATTTACAGCTGAAAATAAAGGAAATCTTGTGCTTCTTGGATAAAAATTTGTGTTCAAATGCAAATTGAACTTTATCCAATCAGGATCACATATTTTGGACTTGTGTTTTTATGCAGTCCCGACTTTTTAATGCAAGAGGATTCTGGTATCATTTTCATCTTATCTTGTTTAAAGTCATGTGACATTAGATCCCCTAAATATCCACTTACCAGTAGCACCGTAGAATCGGTGAGAATCTGGAGGTTTAGAAGCTCGGCAAGATTTGCGACAAGCGTGCACAGCTTGTTGTACACCATAAGAACAGACTTCTCCTTCACCTCGCCTGCCCTGGCTCTCTTCAGCTTTGTATGCGTGGCTATCACTTCTGTGTCATTGAAAGAAAAACAAGTTATAAATTATGGCATGTAATCAATAATGAACACAGGAATTAGCAACAAATGGAATATTGATTTTCTGCCATCTATTTTGCGAAAGTATTCAGAAGGCATTACTTTTAAGTAAACACCCAAACCATAGTGTACCACCTAAAGTCAAAACTGCTTTAGCGACCACCTGTCTATAACGGCTAAAACTTTTGTTTCCCTTGAAAATATATCCTAGAAAGATGTACTGAAGGAACCTGTACATAAAGACCATCTGTCTATAAAGACAACTTTTCTTGTCTCGCTTGAGCAGTCTTTATGTACAGGTTTCACTGTACCTAATCACATTATAGAATTTATTGAAGTTTGATGAACTGTATTTCTGCTGAAACATGAAAGGGTATATTCTGCTCTCTACATATGATACATAAACTGCTCTTTGTAATATGCACTACAATCAGCATAACACAGACCTAATTATTATCTGTTTGGACAGAATCATACTAGCTTTGAATATCTAGTTATTAATATGTTTAGTTGCTTATATTTTCATATTCATCTCCAGATATTCTGAACTGTTCTCACAAGCGTTATTATCATAACCCTATGGTAGATGAACTGCCATTTAAACCATTACCAACAGGAAATTGGAGGACCCAGGACTCAGCCAACAGGAATGAAAACATTCAGTAGTTAACCAGTTATAATGCTCAAAATATTTAAGCAGCATTCCCCCCCCCCCCCCCCCCTCCCATGTTCATATCTAAAAGTAGCCAAAGAATCTGAATAATATAATGGATAATTCTATGCAACCACCGCTCACCTTTCTTGGGGTTCACCCTGTAGACGGGGTCAAACTCCGGGTAGATGGTGTTGGTGAGTTGAAACTTGGCCAGCTGAGACAGTCTATCGATGACGTCCTCAATGAAGACCTCCTTGGGCATGTCTTCAGAGGTCATGATGTAGAGGGCTATGAGGGAGGAATCAACTGACCGGGTCACCCGCTCCATGGTCACTTCACGCCACAAGCGCTGCTCGCGAGGGTTCTGCTCGTCCTGTGACAAGAAGGGACAATGGATACAAATGTGTTGACTTCTCAGGCAGTGTTTTAGTGTTAAATTGGCTAAAAATAATCTACCATGGAAACAAATTTCAAACTGAAGGTGAGAGATACTATTCTGGATGAAAAGTATACCTTGTTTAGCACATGAGACAACTATCGATTCTCCTGCGATTCAGTGCAGTTATCTCTTTCAGTCAGAATGAAAGCCTGAATTTGCTTCAAATAGTAGACAATCGCATTACTTGTCTGACGTCACTGTGATTCTGAGTCAATGAGATTTTCCTCCTCCAATGAAGCATGAAATTCTTTGCAATTTAGATTTTATTAATCATATGACTATTCAAATCCATTGTCATTAAGACTTTACATGTTTGAACGTTCATATCAAATGCTATTGCGAATTCTTCTTGAATCGGATCATAATCAGATTGTACAGGGTCGGGTGGCTTTAGTCTAAACACAATGTTCAACATCGAAATATTGGATGGGGTTTGGATCCTAAATTCAAACACATTGTACAGCACTCATATTCTTGGGTGTGCTTTGCCAACCACTGAATGAAAAAGGTTAAAATGAGAATTAATATGAGCTGATATGATTTACCTGATCATTTGGATTGAGCTTTGTACCATCTCTGATATTCCTTTCAAGGATGTTCAGTAACCTCACTAAGCGTTCAGTTCTTATCTAGTGAAAAGCAAACAAAATGGTGTTAGTGGGACCTGGGTGTGGATAAAACTAAATCTATTAAAAAAGTATCACTGGTATATCTGTAAAACCTAAAATCATATAAGAAAATACAGTTGGTCTTTGTTAATGATTACAATGTTTAACAACAACAGAAGTCTTTGGTGCTTTTGGCTCTACTTATTATGATCATGATTACATTTGGCATCATCTGTGCCAGGGAGGGGTCACACAAATTTTAATCACCATACACTCAGATCTCTCCTCCCGTTTTACCTGATTGAGACTGTTTTATCTGATTGCGACTGTTTTGAACCCTCTAATGACAACAGCAATGTTTGTTTTTTTCTGTGATATTTTCCCAAAGAGGATTGCCCTAATGTCACAACACATCAAACAAAGAGATAATAATAGCCAACCTCAGCAACGAGGAATTCACAAAATCAGCAGATGATTGTAGAACAAACTCTTTGACAAGAATAATCATCATTGGCTGGCTTGCATTTATCTCTTTATTAAGAAAAATGTCCTCTAAACAAATATGAAACCATCAACTTCGACCTGTTCAAATTTGCACAAGATTCATGCAGCAATATAATTGAATCATATAATTGAATCATAACAGTAAATTCTAGTAATTCATGAAGCTTAGATATGAAACCTTCTGTCCTTACCAATTCCTGAAAGTGAAAGTGAATATCACATCCAACTTTTTGGATGATGATGTGATATAATGCCTCTAATTGTTCCAAATACGGGTAATAGATACTTCTGGAAATATGTCTCGCTTTTGCTATGAAGGCGAGACAAAAAATGAAAAAAAAGATTACCTGGTTCATGACATCCAGCGACTTGAGCTTCGCTGCTTCATTGACCAGCTCAGCCAGTAATGCTTTGGATACAAGTGTATCAGGGGCATACTCCTCGTCTTCTTCATCACCTGATAGAGGATTATAAGTATATAAATATATTTTTTAAATGAATGAACGAAAGAACTTTATTACCAACACTTGATCATGTTATGGTTAAACAATTGGAAATAAAATTTGTCACTAACAATTGTCAGATTATGGCTTGAATGAACATAACCACTTGTTCCTGCTCTTAAAGAGAAAAGAAGACACTTGTATCATTCCTGACTTTGCTTCTTGGAAGCTAATAATACATTCATGAAAACCACCGATTATTTGATGATCCTTTACCAACTGTGTATCCCATAGTGTCCCTATGAGGTAGAGGTGCTGTGGCCTAGTGGATATGTCACCGGACTGTGTGATCACATGGTTCGAGGCTCTAGTCTCGTCAAGGCACTAATGTCCTTTGGGAAGACATTAATCTACATTTGCTAATCTCCACAAACGTGGGAATTTATTTCTTTTAGGGCCTTATATCAGCTGAGCTAAAGCCAGAGTAATTATACTACTGTGTAGGTGCCTTGAGCATCCTCTGGGATGGATATGTATGCAATATAAATGTAGCTATCATTATCATTATGATGAATCACTAAAATATCATCTATCTAAATTCTTTCTGGTTACTCCTCTTCCAACAATGAAAAAAAAAGAAACTTACCAGTGTCAACAGTTACTTCCATGTCTTCTGAATTTTCAAACACAGCATCAAGAGCAGCATTGAACCTCTTGAACGTGGGTGTGTCCATCAGTTCTGTTGAGACAGAGCGAAAAATAATTGCATAATATGGAATTTGAGATAACATTACAATCATATTAATCATAGTATATTAACATTACAATTATTATTATAATCATATTAATGGTAAATATATTCTGATTTTGTAATAATGCAAGTACAATATATAAAATGTCATCAACTTCTTATGTACCCTGATAAAACATATAAAGCAGAATAGAACATATTATAAACATAGCTTTAAACGAAAATAAATCTTATATGGCTCTGAATAACAAGAACGCTTACCCTCATACTCTGCATCCGTCTGGCCCTTTTTCTTTTTAGGCTTCTCTTCCTTCTTCACCCGTTTTGCAGGTCCTGATGATTAAAGAACAACACATTTATTGGAAATATTCATATAGTATTTGGCTCTAAACATCAACCACTCTGTGGATTTTTTTTTTTTTTTAAAAACTAAATTAATTACCTGCAATTCCTAGTCTCACCTGAAAGAAATTATAATAACAAATAAATCATGGCCTCACAAAATGCATACTTTGGTTACTTATTCTGGCATTTACATATGCTACAAGTCTTATCCCCAATATGTGACCCAGCTCAACAAAACCACCAAAAAAGTCACCAACAATTATTATCTAGTTTAAGAATGATTCTAAATGAGGATATTCTCAGCTTTAAAATGTATAACTCATCTCATTTTGATTTTCCTAACCCAATTTTAAAAGAGAGAAGAATGCCCAGTCCCAATGAATGTTACCATTTTAGAGAAAAGGCGATTAAAAGGCTGTAGTCTAAAAGCACAGACTCCTGAGGCACTGTGCAAGGTGATAAGAGGAGGATTAGAGCAGATCAGATTGCCCTAAAACTTGGCATACCAGATAAGCACATCCTGTTTTGTTAAATTTTCACTAGGTTTCAATGCAACATCTTACTACTCCGTTTTAAAGTTATAAGAGATCAAAGTGAGTAGTCAAGGTCATAAAGAAATTAAAACTACTCCAATAAACTCAATCGAACTCAATCAGACAAATATAGGTCTACAAAACACTGCTGAAATACCACTTTTAGATTGTTTTGTGGTTCAAAATTTCAAAATACATAAAAGAAAATATCCCCCCCCCCCCCCAAATGTGACCACACTTTTACAATATATGCTCCAGCATTGATTGCTGTAATGTTCACTGAATCTTCAACCCTGGACCTTGCACCATACCATACCCTAACCCTACCTCTATACCAAGGCTGCGACGGGTAGTCGAATGCTCGAGTACCCGCACGGTTGACAACTACTCGGGTACGATTTCTTGTACCCGAATATTCGGCCGCAAAAAAAAAAAAGAAAAAAAAAAAAAAAAAAATGTCCAGGCCCACGCTTACCCGTGCCAGGGAGAGCCGCGTCCGCTGGCATGGTACCGTCGGTGAAAATGTTTCCCAACTCAAGCACTGTCAAACTCACCTTTCAGAAACTGGGACCAAATGTCCAGATTTCTGTTTGGACTTGGAGGAAAATGGATTATTCTGCCATCTTTGGTTTTTAAAACAGCATTGTTTACTGTTATTATTCTTATTAAATCGGCGCCTTCAACTGCTACTCAAAGTAAAGTTGCATGCGTTTTCAGCGAGGGACCTGAGAAACTGCCGAGTGGTATGGTAGTGGCAAAAAAAGAAAAAAAAGAAAAAAAAGGAAAAAAATCCAAAAATCCAAAAATTCAAAAAAATTCAAAAAAATTATAAAAAAACATGGCGTCCGAATATTCGAGTATTCGCCTGTGAGCCTGGGAGTGTACTCGGGTACCTCATTACACTGTTGTGCACAGCCCTACTCTATACGTTTGATGAAATTAAGCCCTAGCAATCATTGCGGGACGGGTGTCAGATGACGCCGTTTTCAAGCATTAAAAAAGTTGACAATGTGCTTACGCTCTTCTTCTGTCTCTGCTGCAGCTGCCGCCTCCTCTGCCTCGTTCCTCTCAATAAAGATGGGAGCGAATTCCGTGGGGGCTGCTTCTGGAACAGGTGAAGGTGCCTTGGCTCTGGAATGGGACGGTGACCTGCTGCTTGATGCAACAGCAACAGGAGCGGCTGCTGGAGGGGCCCATTCATTGTCAGGGTTATTGGCCGTTGAGGGACGGGGGCGCGGGCTGTTGCTGGGGGAAATCTCACAGTAATTGACCGATCCCCTTCCCCGTTTCTTCCCTCTGCCGTCCAGCTTCATTGGAATGAGCTCATCTTCCATGGACGAGGGTAAGAGCTTGGTGAGGACGACTCGAGGTTGGGCCGTTTTGGCACGCGCATGCTCTGATGGCTCTGAAATGGATAATGTCATTTTAAGGGTTGAAAATGACCCATATTCAGTCAATCCTGTACATAAACACTACTCAAAGGAGACAAGAAATGGGGTCTTTGTCTGCAGGTAGTATCTAGTATAGGTTTCAACAGGAAACACTGTACAAGGAAACAAATGACATCTTTATATACAGGGCCCCCCGTTTCACAAAACTTACAATTGATGGTAACTTTGCCATCAATGTTAACTACCGTGGGGACCTTGATTTTGATTGGATGTTGAGCCCTGTTACCATGGTAGTTGCCATTGATGGCAAAGTTACCATCAATAGTCAGTTTTATGCAACGGCCCAGGTGATCACTGAAGTAGGTTTCACCTTAGTTAACTGTAGTATATTGGCATTTGAAAAGTAACAGCCATCTGTTCTTCTGTTTGAATACCAAGAAACTTATACATAAATTTGGAGAAGAATACATATATATATATATATATATATATATATATATATATGGCAAAGCAGACGGCAAGACCAGAAACCATCAGAAATTGCAAAGTTTTATTGTTGTGATTCACAGGACTACTAGAACAAAGTTTTAGACTACGTTTAAAAGCAGGTATATTTTAAATACAAAAGCATCACCAATTTGAACAATGCAGACACTGGAAGAACTTGATGGATGACCAGCAAGTTCTTTCGGTGTATGCATGGTCTGATTCAGTAAGGCAAGCCCGCCTAAGACATCTTCACAAACCTGCATCCATTGGTTCCTCCATGTCTCCGTCGTGTGCACTCTCAACTGCCATAGAGGCTACATCAGCATCCCCTGACCTTTGTTACTGTGAGTTCTTGACACCTTGTCCTTTTTATGCACCAGTTCCGGTTTACTTTGCACATCACTATTTGAATCGTTCCTTAGTCTCAAAACACTCTTCCTTGGCGGTCCAGCATTGCTATCATTTTTATTATCTACATGTTGCTGATGGCTTGCTGGAGCCATTCCTGGAGTCCTGTTTGGCTCACTGAGTCTTTGTTCAGTTCTTGATTCCTTTGAATGCTGTTGACGGATCACATCCTGTTGCTGGTGTTGCGCGTTGACTGGTACATCTGGTTGCAATCTTTGGTCAGGCACTTCAGTTTTGATATCAGAATGTGGTAGAGGTTGTTCCATGCTAGTAGGTTTTGATGGCTCAACGCTAGGAGGCTTGGATTGTTCCCCGCTGGTGGAAGGTTCACTCTCGCTTGCTTTTGGCGATGTTACAGGCTTTCGGGCAATCTTCAGAGTGATCTTGGGTAGCCCTGAATGCGTAGGGGATTGAATGATGTTGTAACTGACTTCATCTTTGTCCTTCTTGTCCTTTTCTCTCTTCTCTTTATCTTTCTTATCCTTCCTTTTCTTCCGCTTGGACGACCAGCGAGTTCTTCCGGCATCTGCATTATCAGATTCGGGCATGCCTGCCGAAGACTCTCCTTGGGTATCAACAGGTGTCTCTGGCTGGTTGTTGGAATTCTGACGAACGGAGAAAAAGCAACACAGAAAAAATGTGTTAAATTGAGTTTCTGTTTCTTTCTCGTCTGGAAATTTGTATATTTACATTTACTATTCATTGTTTACGGGATAAAAGAAGTCCTGTAAAAATTAATCTACCTGAAATATGTTATGAATTGTGGCAAAAAGGACAATTTGAATTGATGAAGAATGCTGAATAAAATATCCCAGGGATCTTAAATCAATGGAAGTCTAAAGAAAAAGATATTATTTAACAAATTTTTAGTCTGAACTATTCTTCATTAAAACTATCGATTTTAGTGATTATTCTACACAAACAAGACCTAAATACATCTATTTAAATATAGCTTCACCAATATTCAAAGAAGAAACCATTATCCTCACCGTGTGATTCGTTTCTGAGGAGCAAGACTGGGATCTGCTGCTGGGGCGCTGCCTCACGTCTGTGACTTCATTATTGTGGACAGAGTTCGTTCCTTGCCTCTCATCTTCTCGCGTGGCTGTGGCTGGAGCTACAAAGCAGAAAGATTCAGCAGAATGAAGGGTTATTTTAATGCCTGAATAGGGAATTGTTGTGTTTGTAAGACTGTGCTAACAGTCAACGTCGAGGGCTCAATCCCCTTTATGTACACATGATGACAATATGATCGGACATCTTGGAATAGATTAAATCATCTCAACTTCTAAATTCATTGTATTTAGTTTTATGTCGCTGAGTTCCTAAATACTACATCTGGCGACGAGAATGGCTGGAATAGGTCTTGTAGCACCTAACCCATTCCTAGCAACCCCAGGAGAACCTCCTGTGCCTTGGTCACGATGGATTTTGAGCTTCAAAACGTATTTGACTGCAAGCGGGTTGGACACAGCGGAGATACCCGACCTCCGCCGCCGCGCAATCCTGATCCACTGTTTGGGCGCAGAGGGGCAGCGGATCTTCGGACAGCTGGAAGTGTCTACTACCGGTACGTACGATAAAGCTGTTGATGAACTTGAGAAATATTTTGGGCCAAAAACAAGTGTGATGATTGAACGATATCGTTTCCGACAGAGAGTACAAGGTCATGGGGAGCCAGTAAAACAATATGTGGCAGCCATAACCGAACTGGCATCCAAGTGCAAGTTTGGCACCTTAAATGATGAACTGGTTAGAGATCAACTAATCGAAAAGACGTCTATTCCCCGTATTAGAGAACGTCTGTTAATGGAGGATGACGGTCTGACACTTAAGAAGGCGCTCGATCTAGCGATCCAGATCGAAGCCGCAATGCTGGACGCCAAGCTCCTCAAACAACACGATGTGACTGTGAGTGCCAGTACAGGACATAGTCATACTGCACATCAGGCAACTCCAGTACAGAACATCAAACGACCATATCATAACAAAGCCCACTCTAACCATGCTAACTCGAAGTCGTGTTCGAACTGCGGACGGACACACCCTCCGAAAGCGTGTCCAGCGTTTGGAAAACGTTGCAATTCGTGCTCGAAGATGAACCATTTCTCTAGCATATGCAGATCTACCAAGAAAAGTGCATCTTCAGTTCGACACGTTGATGAACCAATAGAGGGCGACATAGCAAGCAGCGTGTTCACACTCTCAGACCGGATTTCTTCAGCAAATTCAGGTCAGTTCAAAGAATGTGAAGTGCAGATTGCTGGTACTAACCTCTCTTTGATGATTGATGTGGGGGCCAAAGTGTCAATTCTTAGTGATAAACTGTATCATCGACATTTCTCACATTGTAGCCTGTCATCGACATCGAGCAAGCTCATAGCATATGGTGAACCACCTACACTGATTTCCGTTCTGGGCACGGTTGAGCTTCCTGTCGGGTACAAGGATGTACATCTCGACAGCTTTACGTTCTACATAGCGAAGGGCGAGAGCCTTATGGGAGTCAATCTGTTCGACGCCCTAGGATTTCAGATGAACGACCACACTGGTGAACGCATTCGGCTCGTAGACAATGCGTATAGAGAACGCTATGCTGCACTTTTCAACGAGTTTGGTAAATGCAAAGGATATTGCCATGCACCAAGGGTGGATTCCTCAGTCCCACCTACTGCACAGAGTCTCCGTCGACTTCCGTTAGCTGTCAGGGATGAAGTCTCAAAGGAACTTCATAGGCTTGAATCCGATGGCATCATCGAGCGCATCGATTCATCCCCGTGGGTGTCTAATCTGGTCATCGCACGCCGTAAGAATGGAGATCTTAGACTTTGTGTAGATTTGAGGGCAGTCAACAAGGCAATCATTCCGGATAAGTATCCACTTCCTACTATGAATGAACTTTCAGCTTCATTCCACGGAGCTAAAGTTTTCTCTAAACTAGACATGAGACGTAGCTATCTCCAGGTTCCGCTAGCAGAGCAGAGCCGCCATCTCACTGCATTCAACACACACATAGGCATGTTTCAGTATCGCCGTATGCCCTATGGACTGAACTCAGCACCTAGCGCATTCCAGAAAATCGTTTCTTCAGTTCTAGCTGGAATCGAGGGCACGTTGAACCTCCTTGATGATGTGGTAGTCTTCGGAGAGGACAAGGCTCAGCACGATCAACGATTAGCAGAAGTCATGGCGCGCCTCGCCAAGCATAACTTGACGCTCAACGAGGCCAAGTGCACGTTCGCTGCTTCGGACATTGATTTTCTGGGATATCATGTCACTGCAGATGGTCTGACGCCTACACTCGACAACGTTGCAGCTATCCGAACACTCCCAGCCCCAACGAATGTGAAGGAGCTAGCCTCATTCTTGGGAACAACGAACTTCTACCGCAAATTTGTGCCACAATACGCAGAAATCGCAGAACCTCTGCAGAAGCTTCTCCGGAAGGACGCGCTTTGGGAATGGCACAACGCACAAGAGACCGCATTCAACACGCTCAAAGGAAGAATCGCAGAGCCGCCAGTTCTCGCTCACTTCACTCCAAGCGCTGAAACGTACGTGACTACAGACGCATCAGCGTTCGCTATCGGAGCAGTGTTATCGCAAACGATCGACAGCAGTGTACGTCCGGTCGCATTCGCATCTCGAGCGTTGTCGGACACAGAGCGAAAGTATTCTACAGGAGAACGCGAAGCTCTCGCATGCATCTATGCCTGCGAACACTGGCATATGTACCTCTACGGTCGCAAGTTCACACTTCGTACTGACCATCAAGCCTTAACAACCTTGTTGAGCACTTCAGGATCTGGACACCGCCCACTCCGCATCTACAGATGGTCAGATCGACTGCACCAATATGATTTCAAGGTCGAATATCTCGCGGGTTCACGCAACCGAGTAGCAGATATGCTTAGCCGCACACCGAACGCGAATAGCAATCGCGATAGCCATGCAAGAAGCGACATCGAAGACGACGTCGAAGACTACGTTCTTATGGTGATCTCTCACGTGACCGCAAAGCTTGTGACGCGTGAGCAGCTGAAAACAGAGTCAGCCGCAGATGCAACTCTACAGAAGGTCTGTCATTATCTCCAAACAGCATGGCCTAGAGAGATTTCCGAAGACCTCGTTCCATATCATCGTGTTCGCAATGAGCTAGCTATCTTCGATGACACGTGTATCGCCCGTGGCACCCGAGCGGTAATCCCGAAATCGCTTCAACATCGTGTGTTACAAACCGCACATGAAAGTCATCCAGGTGTGGTGAAGATGAAGCAACGATGTCGCGAAGCAATCTGGTGGCCAGCGATCGATCGACGCGTAGAAGACCTCGTCAGATCTTGTGAAGCGTGTACTCTTAGCGAGAAAACTCAACCGCGGCCAGCACCACTGCAGCCGACCCCATGGCCGAAGAAGCCATGGCAGCAACTTCAAGTCGACATCTTTGGGGAAGTCCAAGCCGCTCCTCAAAGTCAGCGATTTTTGTTAGTTGTACACGACCTCCATAGCAAGTGGCCTGAGATAGCAGCAACAAGCTCAGTCACTACGACATCAGTCATTAGCATCTTGGAGAAGATGTTTACCAAGTGGGGTCTTCCAGAATCTATCACCACGGACAATGGACCACAGTTCACGTCTGAACAGTTCGAAGAATTCCTAGCCGTTAATGGAATTCAACATCGCCTCACAACTCGCTACAACCCTCAAAGCAATGGCGGCGTAGAGCGTTTCAACCGGGTAATCAAGGAGAGCTTGAAAGCGAATCTCGCAGATGGAATGACCTTCGATAAGGCCATCCAGACCCTACTACGCACGTATCGCTCAACACCTCATTCGCTAACCGGAAAGACTCCAGCAGAGTTGATGTTGGGACGGAACCTCCGTATGCCATTCAACATCCTGAAACCACCGGTTTCAGAGCCTGCAAGCACACAGGCTGAAGCGAGAGAGATTGAGAGGAAACAGCAAAGCATGAAAGCATACACTGACAAACGCAGACGAGCAATCACACCGAAATTCGCTATCGGTGACTGGGTTCGTGTAAAGCGTCCAAATCGCAAGCACAAGCTAGCTTCGGGGGTATCGAAACCCAAACAGATCGTGAAGAAGCTCGGCTCGAATGCATTTGTACTAGATGACGGAACGCGATGGAACACCAGACGCCTTATCGCGAGCAAGCCAGGCAACATGAATGAAAGCGATTGGGAAGACACCTTTCCATTCCCTACAAGCACTGAAGATCAAGAGCAACAGCGAGCAGAACCGCGAACTGTTCGTCGTTCTCAGCGTCTAAGGAGACGACCTGGATATCTACGAGATTACAGATCTTAAATCCTTAGAGCCGACAAGTATTGAGCATAGAAATTAAAAAACTGGAACATTTAAGTTTTGGACTCATATGAAACAATTGCTCAATATAGGTTAATAAAATTTCAGGCTTGTTGTTAATAAACAAGTTTTATTTTCTGGACTCATAAACTTTTGAACTCATATCTGGACTTAGTTATATAACATTATTCATCTCTTTAAAGGAGGGAAATATGTTGTGTTTGTAAGACTGTGCTAACAGTCAACGTCGAGGGCTCAATCCCCTTTATGTACACATGATGACAATATGATCGGACATCTTGGAATAGATTAAATCATCTCAACTTCTAAATTCATTGTATTTAGTTTTATGTCGCTGAGTTCCTAAATACTACAGGAATGATAGGCCCCTGTAACTGGAAAAGCCGTTGTGGACCTCCAAAATGCCCCCCCCCCCCCATCCCCTGCACTTTATCCTTATTGTCTGAATCTTGAAAATTTTCAAAGAGCCTTTGGAGTGAGGAACAGAGGGAAAGAGAGTTAGAGATGCTATGTTGCTGGGTACACTCTAGATTTAAATTTCCAACAGAGCCATGAAATAAAGCCATTTGATCTTTTGAGATTGAATGAACCATCAATTGTGTCCTGAATAACGTTTTGTTTTCGTTGGTAATTTAGAGATACTGAAATAATTTTTTGTTGGTTTCAAATAGATATTTAATTTACCAACATTATTCATCTCTGAATGATTCAGAAAAACTAACCAACAACAATAATAATAACATTCTACATTAGAACAAAGAAGAAGTATTTGCTGATCGTATACGGTACCTCTTGAAGGTGACCTCTGCGACCTCGTCTGGGAGTTGGGGGTCGGTGGGGTGGCCGGGAACATAGGACTACTGGCTGGAGCTGGAGAGAACTGGTTAGCAGCATAGCCATTGAGAGGTGCAGCTTGGGCAGAGCCTGTGAAGAACAATAAAATGTGGTACATACTGTTCAAATGCCTGTACTGTCGGAATGAAGAAATGAGCAAAGCTCTGCAGAAGAATTATCAGTGTCTGTTACAAAATAAATTGTTGATTTTATGAAGGAATGAAGATTAAAACCTGTTTCTTGGAATTTACTCAATGCTTTCTCGATGCTCTTTAGCTATTGTTGTGATGAAGTACATAGTGAACCTTCCTAAAACATACATTATAAAGGACTTAATGCACAATTGCTGAGTGACACTACCTCAATTCACAATGTGCTACCTTTACATCCTGCCTTTGTACCCTAATGCATACATGCCAACATTTGAAAATCAGAAATCTGTACAAATTATGCTATTTTCAAAAAAAAGAGAGGAACAATCCTAACTCTCCTATTCAATACTACAGACAAATTTGTACAGGAAGAGGAACACCTGCATTAAAATGATAATTATCTTCTCCCAAAAAGAGGAATGTTCCTCTTTAATCTGAACAGTTGGCATGATGCTAATGGCAACTTATATCATCTTTAAAAAAATAGAAATAATGTACAATGTCATATCTGCTCAGTACACTGGGAATTCAAACCACAAGCTGCTTCTGTAAGTATTTGTTTACGTTGCCCGACTTGCAGACCCAAAACATAGTTTAGTTAGAGCCCTTCACAAACGACAGTCTTGGTATGGTAATGACATTTCATTTCAATAGATTGGATGGGGGTACTCTACCTTGTGCAGACACGGAGCCAGGTTGTTGGAATTGGTGCTGGTTTCCATGAGGAGTACTCGCACCAGGGGATGAAGAGTTACTGGGTCCACCTCGCGGAGAATACGAACTGTGCTGTCCTGATCCACTCCCTAAGAACAATGAACACGTGTCAGAAAGATTTAGCCAAAATCACTACAGTACACTTAGAATTTAGCGCCATATAAATATTACTACTATTATTGTCAATACTATGATCATTAACACTATCATTATCATAAACAGTTTAATTTTCATTATCATTACATTATTAGGAGATCTAAATTGCCTTTTGCAAAGGTCAACCCTGTTAATCCTGGGATTGAAATATGGAATTGAAATCATTTTATACAATAGGATTCAACTATTAACCTAGCATTTTCAAATTGATTCATAATTGTGAATTGTGACATTTTATGATGCAAAAATAACTTTGCATGTACATCATGTACTCGGAAGCATCACATCCCAAAGATTGTATCTGGAAAGGTGGTGGGGGAGGTATGAAGGATTGAAAAAATAGATGTCAGCTCTAAAAGAAAATCACAAAATCATGGTTTAATTTGTTAAATCACCATAATCTACACCACCAGGTCACGGTGTAGTAGAAAGGGGACAGTCACTACTGAGTAGTATTTCTTTGCTTCATACTCACCACTTATTTGTTCCACCCTTGATTTAAATACATTGGGATTGCGGGCAAGAATCGCTTGAAGAAGTGCAGGCACCTCACCCTCTACTTCATTGCTGGTTGTCTTGTCTTTCAGCTCTCTGTAGGAAGTCCATTAAAAATGCCAATTAGAATCATAATAATGTCAGTAACGATGAAATACACTTGAATCATATTCCACTTCAACAGAGATATCTAAATAAAGTTCAATGTAAACTATATAAAAGTAAAATGATAATTTCCCATCTACTTGTGATTGCACACCAATATGGCATCTGAACATGTGGAAAACATAAATAATTTCTTTGTTCTAATACATTTAAAAGCATGTAGCAGACACCAACAGCTGTCTTTGCAATTAAAAAAATAATGATTTACCGTCTACTTCTGATAAGGTAATAAATCATCACTAGGTATAGAGTTCCACTTCAAATGGAAAGCGATGACCTGTACCAACCCCTATGCAATTACCCCCCCCCCCCCCGATGACCACCCTCAGGTTAACACTAGTCCCTCCTGTTAGGGGTGGGTCAAGTGGTTCCTGGGGTGGTAGTCAAGGAAGTGGCATTTCAATAGGCCTGTCTTCATCAGTTCAAGTTTGACAAATAACCTGCTATTTCATCTATCCCCATCACAAATTAAACAGTTATTTTGCGTTATCATCAGCAGCAGTTGCAATCAGCAGGATACTTGGTCAAGAAAACATCACAAGAAATGTTGGTCTTGTTTTCAAAATATCCCGCTATTTGGGAAATAACGTGTAGTTCTGGTGATGAGGCGACTACGAGCTTTTGGATAATATCCGGAGTCTGAAAATAGCGGGTTATTTGGCAAAATCGAGCTGATGAAGACAGGCCAATTGATCTTGAAAAGTATCTTACATGTGATCTGTATCTGTCTGGCTAAGGACATGAAGGAGTTGAGGGATTAGGTTTTCATCCTGCCTCCCTAGCAGTCGCTGAGCTTCTTCTGCTATTTGGGGTGTGTAGAGAAGGCCTTTGCTGTTGATTGCACTAGGAAGGGGTGAGGGCAGGGGCAACTCTGTCAACACTGTATGTGAAAGAAAAAAAAAATGAAATGAAATGCACAATATCATATCACATGAACTACTGGGACTAACAATCCAACAAAATAAATAAAGGTTGGTTGAAAAATCTGTTCCTAGTACAAATCTCCATTTGAAATATTTGATGCACTAATAAACATTTTGACATTGTTAAAAAAGTTGTGTCCACAAGAATGAATAGAACTTTGCTAGTAACCCCAAGTCATAGGTTCAATTATTACTAGAGGAGTAATGCATCAAGAAAATTTCATAGCATTGTCTTTAACTATTTTCTGCTTCTTTTAAAACCAACTTAATATCAGGGTAGACTTAAAGCTTATCTGCCATAGTTTACAGGAGGGATTAGAGTGCCCTGCAAGGTCACTGGACAGGTGGTTATCTCATCAACTCAGCTCTCAGTTAACATAAGAAAAAGAGGATCATGGGGGACCAATGGTCACCGATTAGGCATTGTTTGTTATATAGAGGGCGCAAGTAGCTACAAGTAGTGCAGTGGGCCTTTAAATCTAAGATTGCCACTGTCAGTCAGTTTAATATTTAACTTCCCATGTCCATTTCTCATCTAAGAAAACAAAAGAATTATATTGCATACTTTATACATTAGACTAAGTTTTGGATGAAAAATCGATGAGGACTTACAGTCTGTAAGACTTGTTATTCCTGCAAGAGTTGTGATGGGAACACTTGGCACTTCTCCATTCATTCTGATGATAGAGGTTTACTACTGCAAAAGAGAACGGCATGAGAGAAAATTAAAATTAATGTGGAATTTTTTTATAAATATTTGACATAAAAAGAACAACAACTTGCTGAACATACAATAAACAATTATGGGTCATCTGAGTTGGTACCAGTCACCTCTGGGGTACTGCAAGGCACGGTTCTTGGTCTGCTCCTGTTTATATCCTTCATCAAATCGAGTTTTTGCTAATGATTGCCTCACTTATCACCCAATCATCAACATTCAAACACCCAAACCCTACAAGATCTCAACGTGCTTCATAGTATATTCCTCTTGCACCTATACCAGATCTCTAATATCTAAGGCTGATATTCTCATCCAACTTGTCTTGAAAAGGCTACATTGTACTGCAACAACATCATATCCTGAGCCAATCAGAAACTAGGATTTGTCATCAGAAAATTTATGTAAACAAGTCTTCTTCTCTTTCGTTAGATCTACCACACCTAGAATACTGCAGCTTAGTCTGGAACCAAATCACAAACACGTTTCCAAAATAGAGGCTATCCAAAGGCGAGCTGCAAGACTCATTCTACAGAGATATTACTGTACAATGTATATGAGGGGACTCTGCCATGATTAAACAACTTAAATGGGAGAACCTGGAGAGGAGAAGAAATGCTGTAAACATCTGCTTCATGAACAAAATCCAACACAACATGGTAGCCATCAATGCACAGCACTACACATCACCCATGATTGCCAGCAACATACGACAGTATCACCCAGAGAAGTTGCTGGTGATTCCCTCCTGCACCTAACTCTACCAGAAGCCATATTTTCTTTGCACAGTAACTGCTTGGAATGCACTTCCTAAAAACACCCATCACTTCATCGGAGGCCTTCAATAGATGCGTTTCCAAGTGCTGAGCAACTACACTGAGGAACTGCATTTTTACTTGCATTTTTTGTTAACGTACCAACAAGCATGCACTGCAAATGAGCAACAAGTTCGAATCTTTCAGTAGAGGTGCATGTTATTGCACGACCAATATGGGAGACAGTCTCCCATTTGGGACACATATATCTTTTATTAACATTTGCTGCTGAGGGAACACCTTAACTCAACAAAAACAGGATCAGTGAAAAAAATACACAGGGGCTCACTAGGGCAAATTTGCCCCCACAATGCCCAAAAGAACCCCCATAAATTTGCAGAGTTCAATGCAAAACAAATTTTAGAGTTTTATTTTTATGCAGGCAAGCTTGATAAGTAGCCCCCGAAATAATCCCCCCCCCCCCCCCCCTGAACATGATACGCAGATTCTTCATGAAATCATCTCTTATGGTCCCTAGTTATGACCATCTACTTTAAAATGTAATCATTTACCAGTACTTTTTTTTTCTCCACATCTTTTTTTTAACGATCCACACACAAAACCAATGGGCACCTGACCTCATAGAGACAAAAAAATTGGTAGGGAAAATGACATAGTAAGTGTTGTTTCTTTTGTAAGCTAAATCTTCCATGAATAATAAGTACTGATGGGAGACAGTCTCTCAAATGGGTGAGATTTTCCCTACTGTCCTTACTTTAGCACTACATCCTCACTTATATTAATTATTATGCTATGGATCCTGGCATCTTGCCGAGTATTAGTAGGGTGTCTGATCGCGCACCCGATGTTGTGTGCTAAAATTCTTCCCATAGAGATTACACGCATCCCTATGCAGTCTACGTGCATTGCGCGACCATGCAAAAAAAGTCAATTTATTTTTTTCAATTCGAGATTCAAACCTTTATCTGTTGTGATCCTGAAGGTGATAATCAATAAATGAGGTGTCATATGAAAGAGCAGGTAAATTCCAATATTTCTAAAGGGGCGTAGCCCCCGAAATTCTAAAAATATCTTGGTCAAAACAGCAATTGAAACATTGTGTCCTGGCTAACTCTGAGGTTTGTCACTTTTGAGATATGACGCCCCGATCGATAAGTAGTCCCAGTCCTAAGGAACAATTCTATGTGCTTATATTTTCGCTAGCCCCCAGGGATCACAACTGATAACAGTTTAAAAATACCCTTCTCGCTATTTGGTGGATCAGCTAATTAGGGGGCGTGCGCTCCGCTCAGTCCAAACCATGGTTACATCGCGTAACATCTCCGCGCACGAACGAAACCCCAAATTCAAGTATGGGTGGCCATTCGCGGCATAGAACCCGGAAGTGAATACACGTTATAGTCAATGGCAATATCGCGGAGACATCTCCGCGATATTGCCATTGACTATAACGTGCATTCACTTCCGGGTTTATTGTGCGACGAACGCCAACCATACTAGTCAATGGCACATGTCGCGGAGACAGCGTGGCTCAAGCTGCAAGTCGCGGATTGGCTTAGCAGCATGCGTACGATATGCATACGCTTGCATATCGCGCGATACAGCTGTTTGGCTAAATTTAGCAAAACAACATCACTCTGCGTAGACGTCTTTTTCGTCGATTTTGACCAAAATGATATGAATATACCAGCGTTTTGGAGGGGCTGTAACTTTTGATAGAAACATCGGTGAGACTTGAAATTTGAAATGTATTATTCTGATAACATCTTTTATTCAAATATCAAACAAAAATGGTGAAAAACGATCCCAAATTGAAAATTGAAAAATCGTTCAGACACCCTAGTATTAGCCTACTGTAGAAGTAGATTTAATAGTGAAATTTCCAAAGTTGACTCAGGCTCAAACTCTCACCCACTTGTCAACTTGTCCTGGTCATGGCATGCACTCACTCCCGACGTACTATTAGAAGCTGCGAACAGCATTAATGATTAGAATCTTTAAATGTTCAGCAGCAATGAGTACAATTTACAACTCAAAGTGAAACCACTCCTTACTTTAGCTTAAAAATTATCATTTTCAACTTTCACACGCATGCACTTGGAAAATTGAATTTTAATTTTATTTCCACAAAATATAGTGTACAAAATACAAAAATTGAACAGTCAGTCAAAGAGATAAGCTATTGTCTTAAATTTATGTTTGACTCATTGTTCAATGTTTGAAACAAAAGAGGTAAGGGAAGTGCGCCCGGTATTCGGACACTTAAGGGGAAATTGCTCATAATTTGAATTTGTATCTCCTTTAATTTGGCAATCTACCCATCAAAAGAAAAGAAAATTAGTCCTCTAACATGATTTTAAAGTCACTTAAAATATAGAATGATACTAAGCAAAGTATTTCCGAGTAGAGAAAGAGCAGTTTTTTGCCCAGTATTCGGTCGCGCCACCTAGATTTCGGTCACACTATTTTAGCCTGGTAAGGGGGTATCTCCGTTGACAAGGAGCGAAGCATATTTTCACACAATTGTGCAACAAAGCACTGAATGTCAGTGCGTTGATCCAATAGTACTGGACGAGCGCTACTGCATGGCAAGGGTAATGTTTCAACACCTCTTGCACGGCGGAAAGTGCGTCATTTGCAAATTCGCTGCGATTGAGTGAACACAGAAGAGCTCCTCTTCACACACATACCATCGGGTTCCTGAACCGCGCGCTGGCGAGGCGAAGAACGGATTCCGCGTAAGAAAATAACTCCGGTTCAACGTCAAGTTTTATGGGTTGTCCATCTTCCCGAGGATTTATCGCTCATAATGTGAAAGTCTCTGTACAAAGACAAAGTCAATGTAAAATTAAAAAGGCATCAAGAAAATCATCGAGAAATGCGTTCTTTCGCATCACCAAAGCGTGGATTTGGAAATATGAAACGTCTGCAAACATGTGGACGCGTCCGTCTGCGTTAACTAAGACGATCCTTATTCTCGGACTAGTGCCCCTACTGATTATTGACAACAGTTTAACTGATTCATGAAAATTTGCAATGAAAAAAATTGTTCTTTTCACCGTTTGATTCATGAAAACGGGCCGTCCGGACAACCAACTTCAACGGGCACACAGCATGTGGGTTTCCACTTTGTCTAGATCTAGGTTATTGAAAATAAAATGGTTGCCCTTGTCCTCCCATAATAAATTACCAGTCAAAAGAGTTGGGTCTAATCTCAGTCACAGACAGACAGAGGCACGGTCCCCTCCTCGCCGTGTCTGCGGTGTACGTCGGGCTACGCACCCATTGAATCCCGTACGCTATGCATTAGCGTGTACGGCGGCCAATATGAACAATAATTTGGTGAGCGGCACCCAAGCGAAACACCCAATAATAACACACTTCTCACAAATAAATATACCAACAATATTTCGATTTGAACTTACATGAATCTTAAGGAACCATGAGGTTTCATGGAAGAGTGAAAAATGCCAGTGAATATGTCATAAATCTACCGGTTTTCCGAAATTTTTATCATGGCTAGACGCGCCAAAACAACAAAACCGCATCACTAACTTGTAACATAAATGACATCGGGGACCAAATAGTAGTGCGCGTTTAACTCTTTGAATAAACAGCACTAAATTTTGCCTTTATTTTCAATATATATGGTGAAAAATTAATATAGCAGTCTAAATATTCGTTACATATCCATGAATTTTCTTCTTATAATGCTTCATTTCGTATCGAATTACTAACTACTTTTCAATAAAAGTGCACGAATATTCAAAATGGCGATGTCTATCAATTTTACTTCCGACAGTATCGTCTGCCATTATACATTGCGCGAATGCCATTCATTATACAGGTCAAAGTTTAAATGGATATTTACATCCGGTGGTCATACACACGTGCAATTATATATGAAGAGCTACTTTCAGTTTTACCTGTCAGCTTAAACTGTAAGAGTTTACTATTTGTAGAGTTTATTGTAAAATTGCACCCGTTGATTATGTACAATAAAACATGTAGTCTATTTGTGTTAATCTTGTACATGATTTAGTTTTTGGCAGCTTCCTCAGAGTCAGAGTCAGACTCCAGTCAAGCGTCGAAACTCGTCCCTCGAGCTCGGGCGCGGGCTCAGCTCAAGTAAGTGTACGGCAGCTGTTGCTACTTTCTGCCTGTCGCAGCCGCCCGGTAGAGATCGAGATGGGGGTAGAAGTAGAACCCGGACTTAGTCCGCGCGCGCTCTTCTAATTCTACTAGACCAGTAATGAAAATGGCAATGCCAATGAGTGACAATCTAGTCTACTCACTGTACTCTAGGATCTATGTTTGAAACATGAGATCTCAACAATAATGCCATGAATGATCGTGATGATGACACAGAAACTGATCATAAACTCCCATTTGCTGATCGAAGGAGAAGGAAGTTGAGTCCTAATCCAATTCCTTGTCCCGCCTCCGCATGCTTGCTACTATGCTAGACTATTCTTTATTTTCGTCTTCTCCTTATTTTGTTCTGTCATATGTTTTTCATATAATTTATGTTTGTTTTTAATTTTATCAAATACTATCAGTTTTTCTGTCTTTTATGATAAATGATATGATATTTTGTTATTTAATGGATTTCTTTCTCTAAATTTCTTTTCTTAACATCTAGATCTAGACCTTCTTCCACATGTACAGTCTAGCTATTCTTAGTTTTTATCCCATCTTTTTGATCTTTCAATATTTTGAGCTAGTTCTACATCTACATTTGATCAGCATGTGGTTTATTTCCCCAGTTTTCTTTTTTGTCTCCATCTTTTGTGATCTACACATCAAGTATTTCCTCATTCTTTCATCTCCTATTTTTCCTATTTCTTTGCTATTTCTCCTAATCATATTGACAAATCTTTGCACATCTTTATAGTCTATTTGATTATTTTGTTTTTCCACTTATTTAATTCTCTTTCCACTTTTAAGAATAAATATTCTCATTATTCAGACATACATCTACATGTAGCTAGACCTGTTTTAAACAGTTTATCTTTCCCTCCTCTTCATGTATTGTCATAAAGTCTGGGCCCATTAATTGTTACATTTTGAGAGAGGACTGCAAAACCAAGTGGGAAGGGAGGGAAGTACAACATTTTGTTTCCAATTCCATTTATAGATCTACTTTGAAATTATGTAAAATCAATGATTTTTATAAATAATCAAACTTTTGATGTTTTAATTTGGCCAATGGACTGGATTCACATGTTACATGCATGAAGCTTAGCCCAACTCCTCCCCCTCCCAATCACTGGGTTCTGACATAGGTATGCTCTTTACTATGTGCACAAGTTGATAAAAATATATGAACCAGAGAGTGGAGACATAGGGGGGGGGGGGGGATGAAGATATTTTTCTTGTTCCCTCTTTTTTTCTTCTTTTCACGCTGCTACTGCACTTTGATGTCAGAATATACTTAGATGATCATCTAGTTCCAGTTTGTGATTATTTTTACTCAAGGTGAAAGTGATGAGAAAATCATGCCATTTTTGTGACAATATCAAGCACTTGTAACTTGATCATAATCTTCAAATTTGAATGGTAAATTCCCTATGACAACCCAAGATTATAATGTTAATTAGTTTCATTCTCCTCCATTACATTTAAAGGTCAAAGGTTACAGACCAGGAAGGATCCTCTCCTTATTCATTGTTTCATCGTAGCTTAAGGAAGCCATCATGTTCAAGAAGCCATTTCATGTCAAGTCCAATGCGGCGATGAAAGGATCTGACAAGTAAGTTTGAAAACTAAGTTTAGCGTCCTGCCTTTTCAAAAAATAGGAAGGAGGAGGCCTTTATTTTTTTTCTTCAAAATGGCTGCCTTTATTTTTTTTCTTCAAAATGGCTACCTATATTTTCCCTGACAGTCGGGCTATTTTTCAAGAAGGCTGCCGGCATTTTTTTTTTTTTTTTTTAAATCAGAAATTCCGGTAGATCATTTTAGCAGTTTGTTTTTTATGTTTTTTTTCTTTAAAAAAAAAAAAAAAAATTGAAAAAATTTGGCAAAAAAAGACAAAAAGGAGGCAGCCCCCAAAATTAAGCAGACAGGAACGCTAAACATGATTTTTTTTTTCAATGGCCTTATACGATTCATATGAATCATCATGACCACCTTTCATAAGGTAAAATAAAGTGAAAATTCCTGGACTATGTTTCACTGCAAAATGATACAGTGTCACTTTTTATGAATCGGTGGAGAATTGCTTGAATAATGAAAACAATAATAGTCTGTGTGCCCATATGCCTGTATTCACTGATGGTGCTTACTAAATGCAGAAAGTCATAATACATGTGCACCCTTAAGACAGAACTTATAATTGCACCAGAACATGGACTTAGCAGTTGTAAGATGTCCAACCAAATTAAAGTTGATATATTACAATTAAATGTTTTATTTGTGATGATGTACATAATATATGATTAAGAGAGGCCTATATTTCAGGTAATGTTGTCCTGGTTATGAAACACTACATTATTTGTTATTTCTTGTGAGGTTTATCAAGATTTAGGAGGGTGAGATCTTTTTTTCTCCAAATTAAACTTCAGTGTTTCTATGAAGAGAAAACAAATCCATTATAAATTTGTGTCCTGTGTTGCACCAATGGCAATGGATACATGTAGGATAACCTTGTACAACAGACATGGTGTACTGTCAGTGGCTCATACTTGATTACATTCATGAGCGACATGTAAGTCACAACACCTTCTCTCTCTCTCTTTCTCTCTCTCCGTCTCTCCCCTTTTCTCTCTCTCTCTACCTCTCTTTCTCTACCTCTCTTTCTAACTCTCTACCTCTCTCCCTCTATATATCTCGCTCTCTATGTTTGTCTCCGTCTCACTTTCTCTCTGTTTCCCTCTCTCTCTCTCCCTCCCCCTTTTCTGTCTCTGTCTCTCACTCTCTCCCCTTCTCCCCTCTCTCCCCCTCTCTCTCTCCCCCTCTCTCCCTCTCTCCCTCTCTCCCTCTCTCCCTCTCTACCTCCCCCCTCTCCCTCCCCCCCCCCCCAGGCGTAAGATGAAGACCTCTGTGCTGCAGCAGTTCAGTGAGATCACCTCTGTCCAGGTGGACTCCATCTTCCCTAACAAATCCCAGACGACCACCATGAAGATACAAACACATACAGGGGAACATATGATGGTCTACTGTGCAGATGGAGTGCCGGCTTTTTTTGAGAATGAGAAAGTTCTTTATCCTACTGGTAATACATACAGTGATTTACATGTAGATGCAGCGCTCAAAATACACGGGGGCGGTGGGCGATTCGCCCCCGTGAGCTACAAAATCGCCCCCGTCAGGTTGCTCACGGGGGCGATTGCAAAATTAAAAATCGCCCCGGTGGAATTATAAAATAAAGATAATCTTTTCTGTTATAACTTTAACACAATATTGAGTTTCAATTTTCAAACCTTAAACCAATGAAATGGAACTAAGATTAGCGTGCAAGATTTCTCGTTTTATGAGTAGGCCTATTATTACCGATTCAGCTCGCAGTGCAGTGCCGCCGTCAGCAGTGGTTACAGGCCTACTGCGCCGTTAGTAGCGGTGCGTGTGCACGCTGCCGCGCCATGTCTGCTGGAGCTGGAGGCGATCGGGCAAGGGCAGAAACATGGTCATGGCCTGGAGAAGTTTTTCGTTGTCAGCAAATAATGAACCTCGACCAGTAAATCAATATTAGGGACTTTTAGATTTGCACGATGAGAACGTGGACTGCAACGTGTGACCTCCTTTTAAGGCACTGCCAGTGCTTAAAAGGACGTCACATGTGATTACCAGTGCCTTAAAAGGACGTAACACGTCCACGTCCACGTCCATGCAAATATAAAAGTCCCTTTTAAGGGGAAGAGGAAGACCAAAATGTCGTGGAATCAGGGGCGGCGATTTCCGTTAATGACCGGGGGGGACGAAATCCATTTTTTTTTTTACGAGGATGTTATGCGAGGGAGCGTAGCGACCGAGCGAGATTTTTTTTGCAATTTTATTAGTCTAAACGCTGCACTCTTGGGCCTTCCAGAGCCTAAAAGTGTGTTGCAGTCATTATTCAGTATATGCTATACAATTTGTTTTGCACTTTTTCAAATTTCCAGGTGGGGGGGGGGGCGATCCCCCCCTAAAAAAATTGAGGGGGGGGGGGGGACGTGTCCCCCCCCCGTCCCCCCGGGATCGCCGCCCCTGCGTGGAATGATATGGTAACATGGGCAGATCTACGGCGGGGGGGGGGGGGTAGGGGGTTTAACCCCCTCCTCCCACCCCCCCACCCCCGGCCCCCTTGGGCTGCCAAGTGAAAATGTGATATTAAAGCGGGGGGAGGGGGATTCTGGAGAGGAGGACTACTAATCTATTTTATTTTTTTCAGGGGGCGGGGGGAAGTGAAGCGCCGTTTTAGCATGACTTTCTTTTTAACTCTTACTTTCACCTATCTCAGATAACCCTAAGTTTTTGGTTGCTGCTTTATATGTAGTTGATAATGCATGATTAAAATAAAGAGAGAGAGAGAGAACCACCATCATTTTGCAATGGTTCAGGGTTCGTGTAATGTACATTTGAAACCATTTTTTAGCGTCTCAACCCTAAAAAAATAGCAAAACTATTTTTGAGGAAAAGCATTATACTGAATTAAATAAAGAATAATAGCTTTATATTGGATCATACTAATACTGATACGGGCTAAAGACAATGTGGTATTTGTATAGAGGTATTCCAAAATGACATTCTGATAATCAACATTTGTTCTGGTATCATATGTATATACGCATAATACAACTGATCTTTATGATTTCTTAACGTGACATAGCTTCTTCTCCCTCTGCAAACAAAACAGAAAACAAGGTTATTTAATAAAAGGACCATGCGACAAATAATCATTGTGATTCAAATTGATGCAAGGATTTTTTTTTGAATAAGCAATGCTTTTCACCAGAATCTTCTTTGTAAAAACGACTTTTACAAATCTCAGCCATGCAATTCTGCCACTGTGCTGTAAGATCACTTTGAGATTAGGAGAAGTGTATTATGTAATGGGTATTTTAAATTGAATGAAACGTCTCAACTCAGTAAGCATGGCTGAGATTTGTAAAAGTTGTTTTTACAAAGAAGATTCGGGTGAATAGCAGTGCTTATTCAAACAAATATTCGCATCAATTTGAATCACAATCATTATTTGTCGCTTAATCCCTTTTAATGACCATGTTTTCTTTTACGTTTGCAAGGGGAGAAGAAGATATGTCACGTTAAAGACATCATAAAGATCAATGTTGTATGCGTATATATTATATACACAGGCCAGTAACAGCTATGTAGCTTGTAAATTTGTAAGAGGGAAAATGCTGATTGAAATGATAATGATGAAATAGCAAATAATTGAGGAGTATCATAGGTACCAATTCAATGGATATTTGTATAAAAAAGAGCCCCCGTCAGTAATAAAAGAGCCCCCGTGAGAAGGCTCACGGGGGCTCTTTTTTCGGGGGAAGAGCCCCCGTGGACAAAAAATTAATTTGAGCCCTGTGTAGATGTCGTACATATGTGCATGCAGTGATTGCATTATGTTCATAAATGTATTGGCTTTAAATGGCTCCTGCCTTTAAAAGGCCCCTGGCATCCAAATGCAAGTTTGTTCCTGTTGGTGTGTAGTCCTGCATACATCTCATATTTTGATATGTAAATTTTTGAATGTGTTTCATAGATTTTTAAATATTTTTGTAATATCTGTTTTTTTCTTCAAACTTGCTAAGCTCCTCCCTAAAAATCCTCCAGATCTCATTCTCCTTGTGACACCTGTCAGTTATCAATGAGCTAACTTGAGAAAGTGGTATGTAACTTTGTCAAAGTCGACCACCTGTTACAATACAACAAACAATAGCAACATACAAATTGCTATGTCAGACATGCTGTAGCATCACCAGGAAAACAAAGGCAATGATGATGTATTGTACATGTATGAAAGCATGCAATTCTATTATGAGCATGTGCTGAACTGGGTTTATTTGTTTAGCCGACTGTTTAGTCTGACGTGTCTGACATAGCAACTTATATGCTGCTATTGTTTGTTGTATTGTAACAGGTGGTCGACTTTGACAAAGTTACATACCACTTTCTCAAGTTATAATTTTGTGACAAAAGTCATTAAATGCAGTGCTGTAAATTAAAAATAATGTGTATAAAACATTTTAGAAGAGAAAACGTGTTAGAATCTTTACTTTATCTAATGTTAATTTTTTTTACCACAGTTTACACACTCTGGAAATGTCCATCATTGCTGCCATGTCTTAGTACATACGCCCCTGTTATAGAGAAGATGGCTGGTGGAGCAGGTATGTATTTAGAGTTGTAGCAGTAGTAGTAGTAGAAGTAGTGGTAGTGGTAGTGGTAGTGGTGGTAGAAGTGGTAGTAGTATAAGTACTAGTATAAATAGTGATAGTAGTAGTAGTAGTAGAAGTAGTAGAAGTTGTAGTAGTAGTAGTATTAGTGGTAGTGGTAGTGGTGATAGAAGTGGTAGTAGAAGTAGTAGTAATAGAAGTAGTAGTTTAAGTATTAGTATTAATAGTGAAAGAAGTAGTAGTAGTAGTAGTAGTAGTAGTAGTAGTAGTAGTAGAAGTAGTGGTAGTGGTGGTAGAAGTAGTAGTATAATAAGTACTAGTATTAATAGTGATAGTAGTAGTAGGAGTAGGAGTAGGAGTAGGAGTAGTAGAAGTTGTAGTAGTAGTAATAGTAGAAGTAGTAGTAGTAGTAAGTAGTAGTAAGTAGTAGTAGTAGTAAGTAGTAGTAAGTAGTAGTAGTAGTAAGTAGTAGTAAGTAGTAGTAGTAGTAATAGAAGCAGTAGTAGTAGTAGAAGAGGAACTATAGGACTAGTACTAGTAGTTGTAGTAGTATATAGAAGAAGTAGTACTAGTAGTAGAAATAAGTAGTAGTAGTAGTAGTAGTAGTAGTAGTAGTAGTAGTAGAAAAAGTAATCATAAAAGTAGCAATAGTATCAATAGTAGTAGCAGTAGCACCACCTGTCATAATAATAGTAGTAGTAATACTAATGGTAGTGGTAGTAGTGTTAGTAGTAGTAGTAGTAGCAACAGAAGCAGCGGTATGATTATTTATAATGATGATAATTATAATTGTGGCCATTATAAAAATGATGTTAAAGGAAACCAAAACCTTTATACTAAGTTACTTTTATTGTAAAGTTTAAAAGATTTGAATAAAATCAGTGAAAATTTGAACAAAATCGGGCAAGGAATAAGAAAGTTAGAGCATTTTGAAATGACTAGTCACTAGAGGGCGGTATTCAATTTGATGACATCATCTGTGAACAACTCTCCATGCCTTTTGTACATAAAATTTCACAATTTTTTTGTTTTTTTGGTATGTATTCGTGTTCTTGATCCGACTTCATAACATGTGAAGTAGAATATCATTTTGCATTCTATATCTTGCTTTCAGGGGAGTACATTATCTCAATCACAAGAAAGAAGGAAAAACATGAAATTTGATGTACAAAAGGCATGGAGAGTTGTCCACAGATGATGTCATCAAATTGAATACCGCCCTGTAGTGACTAGTCATTTCAAAAAGCTCTTACTTCCTTATTCCTTGCCCGATTTTGTTCAAATTTTCACTGATATTTTTCAAATATCTTAAACTTTACAATAAAAGTAACTTGGTATGAAGGTTTTGGTTTCCTTTAAGTCATATTGACAGTGATGATGATGATGACCTTATGAATTAAATTGATTACCCTACTGCAGATCTAATGCTACCAGGTGTAGTCTTCGCAGAGACGGGACTTCCCCCTCTGGAGAAATCACAACTATGCAGTGTGAATGTCGTTGGTAACTTGGCTCCAGTCGCCATAGGAACAGCATCTGTCTCCTCAGAAGATATGCTGGGTAGAGCAATGAAAGGAAAAGGAGTACTCACTCTGCACTGTATAGGGGATCATCTGTGGTAAAAAAAATACATTGTATTCTGTTTCTCTGTCTCTCTCTCTGTCTCTCTCTCTGTGTCTCTTTGTCTTTGTCTCTCTCGCTCTCTCTCTCTTTCTATCTTTGTCTCTGTTTCTTTCTCTCTCCGTGTCTGTCTGTCAAACTCTTTGTCTCTGTTGCTCTCTCTCTCTCTCTCTATCTCTTTTTCTTCCACTACGGTACTTGTTATCTCTCTGTCAGTTTGCAAGTTATGTGTTCATATTTATGTACATATCATCTCTCCCATTTTCTGTCTATGCATACTCTGCGACATGAAAGTAGACTTTTGTATAAGAGTTGTTTCATCTGAAATAATGCAATTTATTAATAAAAATCATTCAGAAAATGTAAATTAAAACCTATCAATGTCTTGTTAGCTAATTCTTATTGTAACTTCCTTGGTCACAGAATCTGTCTTCCTTACCTGGGAGACCATAGCTTTGTGCAAAACAGACTCTGTGAATGAAGAATAAGTTTTAGTATTCACTTTCCTTGTCCTTCAACAGGGAAAGCGGTGGTAAACTAAAACCACCGCAAATCAACCCAATCAGTCGAGACTCTCCACCTCCGGGTGAAAGTGCCATCGCCGCCCAGAACTCTGCGGGAAGTAACAATAATAATGAGAATATGGAAAGAACTGAAGGCTTAGAGAGCCAAAGTGCCATTGATGGTGGACATGTATGTGAAGGAAACGGAGAAGGAGGTGGTTTAAAGGAGGATTTAGTTGGTCTGTCCCTGGATGCAGGAGCAGTCGGAGGAGAGCCGGAACCGGTAGAAGATGAAGGGGATGGAGTCTCACCTGTAGGTGAGTGGTGGTGATGATGATATATGAGCTGGAAGATGTTTGCTGATGCTGTGTATTAGGAATGTGAAGGACAGGATTTATTTCAAGGATCACATGTCATTCTTCAAATTGGCAACAAAAGTGTCTTTCTTTTATTGCTGCATTGTGGTAATAAAATGTCATGTCTCTGAAAACAAATACATGGGTATGAACTTCGTCAAAAGCTTGACAAAATTTGGAACCTCTCAATGTGTTACATCTTGCCATTTTAAGGATTGTAGGCTTACCAATTTCCCTTATTGAATTCCTGGAATCAAGCGCAATGTGGTTATATAACAAAAATGGACACAATATGTGCAGAAATCTTCCCCATTTCTTTTCTTTTTTCTCAAGTATATTCTTCTTTTTTTGGGGGGGGGGGTCTGAATAAAAAGTTATTGATTTTTTTTAAAGATGTTATCAAACTTCTTGATTTGCTGCTTCATAGCTTATAAAAAGGTCTGAGCTAATCTATCATGGGCCGTAGATGTTTTTAAATCTTCATAATAATACTGAAAAAGTTTGAAGTCTAAAATAATCTGAGAATGAGAGGGAGTATTAGAAATAAACCGAACAATCATAAATTACATGTTGATGAAATCATCATTCCCATCCCATTTAAAGGACCCTTTTTTTCCCTCTTCTTTTTACATAATGATCTTGTAATACAGACGCCATGGATGAATGTCTCTACCAGTGTTTATTGCATAGCGTCAAGAAGAAAGTGAAGCCCTCAGACTTGCCTTTGCTGACTAGCTCATTATATAGGAATTATATGCAGACATCCTGGTGAGTTAAATACATCGCCTTTGAAGTGAACCGGTAACATTGTTGAAGGTTGATTTTAAAAAATTGCCTAATTTTTGTATGAAATGTTTCTTATTATATTCCTTCTACTGTACTAACCCTCTAACATGCCAAAAATCATGTAAAAGTTCTCAAACCACAAAGATATTTATGGTTTTCTTTGAAGGCGTCAATGTGTGACTCCCAAATTTTTAATTATCCCAACTGTTTTTTCCATGAAAATAACACATAAATGTGTGGAATGGTATATAGAGCCAATTCATTGCTTTGTAACGATTTACATTCACTTAAAATTTAATTTAATTTAATTATAACAATATAGTTGGGGAATTTAGGAATCAATCGGTTTCAGTTTTTCCCAATTGTTATCATTGATAATGTTCTGTTTTTCTAAAAATTAGTAAATTATGCTATTGAATCATGATAATGTGAAGACTCTTTGTGACTTGATATATGGCCACCTCTCTATAGTGGCCATGCATTTTTGAGAGAGAGAGAGAGAGAGAGAGAAAGAAAGAGAGAGAGAGAGAGAGAACAAGAGAGAGAAGTGTATATTGAAGAACCTGTCTAGAAAGACCACCTGCATACAGTGGCCACTTTCTCTGTTTCCATTGGGTGGCCGTAATAGACAGGTTTGACTGAAAATGTTTACCTTGATGTTAGTCCAGAAGGGAAGACTCTGGATCTGAAGAAGTCCACCTGTCTATAATGGCCATGCATTTTTGTCTCCCTCAAGAAAGAGAAGTGTATATTGTAGAATCGGTCTAGAAAGACCACCTGTATATGGTGGCCACTTTCTCTTATTCCATGTAGTAGACAGATTTGACTGAAAATGTTTACCTTGATGTTAGTCCAGAAGGGAAGACTCTGGATCTGAAGAAGTCGAGCTACAAGAAGCTGTCCAAGTTCCTGCGCGCCATGCAGGAGAGACGTCTCCTGGACGTGAGGGAGCTGAGCAAGGGTGTGGACAGCATCACAGCGGTCTACAAAGACCATGATGAGTGAGTCATTGGATAGTGTTTCATCTGGGGGGCGTTTCACAAAACCTGTCATCAGTGACAAATGACAGTTTTTGTTACGAGCTAGTGAAATCCTTGCTTCTGATTGGTTATCAGCAGATTTGTCACTGAATTTTTTTCATTTGTCATTGAAAAAAGGCTTTGTGAAACACCCCCTGATGAGAGCCAGAAGGCATCAACTCATAGCTTTAAAATCAAATCCAATCTTAAAGATACTATAACCCTTTTGCAGCTAACATCAAATTCTGTAGAACTTTGCAGGAATTATGAATATGTCATGTATGTCCTATCTGTGACATTTAGACGTTAGCAATGTCCTAATATGCAAATTATGCAAGGAAACATGTTTACTTGCTAGACTTCACGGTCAGACACTATTGAGTGACTGACTGACTTCTTTTTTCTTCTTTGGTAATTACATACATAAAATGAGCTGTGAAGGGTACATGAGCATTTGTCTCAATCAATTATCCACGTCTTGTAATGGCCTATCCATAATGTATTTTGCGTTTTGCTCCGAGGGAGAAGAACCTTGATAGCAAAAAATATATAATTTTGTTATTTCTGATTTTCCGTTGTTGTTGTTGTTGGAATCTTCAATATCATCCAGTCTTCACCTTTTCATTGTCTGTACCCTGGAATCACCCCCAACTTTCCCCTATAGAATAAGGTCCTTTGTACCCCTCCTTAATTCTGGTGATTCTGATGAGCAGTCTGATGCAGTGTCGTCCAACCCATCCTCCAGCTCAAAGGCACCCGAAGGACCACCAGAGATCAGGCAGTTCTATTCATTCAAGAATCATATTAAATCATGGCGTTCCCGGCCCAGACAGCTGTTTTGCCGGTGTTATTCACCCAATCAAACCATTATGTTGATGTTCAACTTTATACCAAAGTGTGCTCAGACTTATTAATGCTTGCCCCCAACTTTGTCCATAGGCTAAGGTCCTTTGTACCTCTTGTTGATTCTGGTGATTCCGATGAGCAGACGGATGCAGCGTCGTCCAACCCATCCTCCAGCTCAAAGGCACCCGAAGGACCACCAGAGATCAGGCAGTTCTATTCAGTCATGCCCAACCAAGCACCAGTACTCCAACACAGTGGATACAAGTAAGTTCAGAGGATGGTGTAATTGTTCGAGGTGATATTTTGGCTTACGTGGTACTATCTAACTTTTCTTAAAGGGGAAGTTCACCATGATATTCAGTTGCTTTTAATAGAAGCAGAAAAACAAGAGGAACTGGTCCGTTAAATTTAGAGCAAAATCTCTCTCTCTCTCACCATTTCCCTCTCCCTTTCTCTCTCTCTCAAACTATTAATTTCATCTTGTCCATCTCCATTTTGTTTTGACCATCAGGAGAGGTGATTGGATGACCAAGGAAGATGTCAGGAATGCCATTACAGCTTACATCAAGAATGAGAGCTTAATAGATCAAAATGACTACAGGTACCGTATGTCTCCGCGTATAAGATGCACCTTCATTTTTTTAGACACAGCCGAGAAAAGAAAAAAAAAATGTTGTTAAAAAATACCTAGTGTTTTTTGGTGATTATACTCACTCAAAGCTGCTGAATATAACACATCAGTTTTTAATGAAAAATTGGCTTCAATCAAAAGAATACAAGTGGTGCATTATTATTTTATTCACAGTGCCAGGTGGAAGGGTATAAATCAACACTAAATCAACAATTTAAATCTACTTACCAATACTGTTGTGTAGGTCCTGGAAAGGGTATAAAATATGTACTTGGAATAAAGACGTACATGTATCCCATGTCATTCAGCTTTGTGAGAACGTCCCGAGTGCGGTGAGCCCTGAAGACATCAAAGATGAGGAGTGGCTTGACATTGAGTAGACCCATCTTCTCCTTCGTCTGCGTGAGATATTGGATGATGATCTTGTCCAAATACCGGAGCATGGTGTCACTGTTACTCCAATGGCTCTCCGTGTGCCAAATGACCCACTGTGGCCGGAATTTTACTGGAGGGTGGCACTGCACAGTTTTGCTTAGGTAGATAATCTGACGAGGCAAAAACTCTCCACTCAGACTACAGGCTAAGAGAGAGGTGTATTGATGCATGTCTTCGCTTCCCTTGATGGGCACCTGTCGGATCTCCCTCTGGATGCATGGTCCAAGATGTAGCTGGTATCACATCAACAGCAGTCTGATCTCGGTTGATGATGAGCTAGTCGGGAATGTCAAACTTTCCCATCCGGCGACCAATCCTCCTATGAAATCTTCTGGCCATTTGGTTGATATCGTCAGGGCGAGCCTTTACACCCTTTGTCGCTTTCCTCTTGGTGTATCCCATTCTGTCAAGGAGGGATCTTGCCCACGTTTTGTGGATGGTGACGGAACCCCCATATTCATCTAGAATGGGAGGTTCAGCTGCTTGAAGGAGCCCTGTGGTGCCAGCCAACACCAGCTTTGTGCTGATGCTGCCACCACTTTTTCAAACGGCACCAATAAATGCTTTCGCCATTTCATTCCATTCTTTTTTCTCGTTCCTTTTGGCAGAGCTTCCGGGGTCTCGTCTGACTTGCTTGCCTTGACATAGGCATCTTTCATGCCACGATTGCTGCTCTCATTGATTGCTTTCTTTCATTCTGCTGAAAACTTTCGGCGAGTTGCTGCGACTCCATTTTCAGCCGCATAACGTCTGATTTTAGCTCGCAGCTTGCTGCTGTATGCGCCATACGGCTCATGTCGCTTCTTGCCGAGTTATGGAGTCAAAGAAAAATTTTCTCCTAAAACCTCAACTTTCTCGTTTGCAGATCTCACTGCAGCAGGAGGAAGACCATAGGATGCATCGTTTGATTTAGGGAAATTGGGGGGGGGGGGTCGCTCATTGAGTGGCTTAAAATTGCGATGCAAGAATAGCCCTACAAGAGTACAAATCCAAATAAAAACTGGCTGACACTTTGTGAATGAAATAATTGATGAATGGACTATGTCATACCACTCATTAACACACAATCCACAACCACACAAACCGCACGCAATGTACACATAGTTCTAGTAGTAGAACTACTAAGATTGTAGTTGTATTTATGAATAGCGCAACATGCGCAACATGCTTTTGTTTTCCCCCTTGTTTCTCTTCACCTAAGAAACCATGCCTCGATTCTTTCTTATCAACTATGGTGCGCACTTGGCAATCCAAGATGTTGAGGGTGCTGTGGAAGGTTTTTTCACACACAGGTATTGTTCGTCCATTCTGAGAAGCATTAGGCAGGACATTGGAGATATGCCTAATACGCTTCTTGTCCACATTCATTTGATTATTTTGATCTTCTGATGACTTGCGGTATGTTTCATAAATTCCACACTTGTCTTTCTTTGGCCTGTGGATTTTAAGCTTGTTTTCTCTCATAACCCCGGTACACAGAGAGTTTGAAGCAAGGCCACGGTTATTTTTTTCAAACATTCGAAACATTTTGTTCTTGAACAGATCTGCAGACAAGTAACGGCACAATTGAACCACAGAAATTGTTGCAAGTGCTCAACAAATTCTGTCTTTTCATTGGCTCATGCTTTTGTCTTCCCCCTCGTTTCTCTTCACCTAAAACCCATACCTTGATTCTTTTTCCTCAACTGTAGGATGCACTGAGCAGTCTGAGATGTTCAGGGTACTGTGGAAGGTTTTTCACACACAGGTATGGTTTGTCCATTTTGAGAAGGATTTGACAGGATATAGGAGATGTGCCAATTTTTCTGATGTCTTGCTGTACATCTTGCGGTACATGTTTCACAAATTCCACACTTGTCTTTCTTTGACCTTGGGATTTGAAGCTTGTTTCCTCTCATAACTCTGATATACAGAGAGTATGAAAGCAAGCCCAGGGTTCTCCTTGTCAAACATCCAAGACAGTTTGTTCTTGGACAAGTAACAGCACTTTGTGTTGCCCTGCAGTAATGTGAATTACACACAGACTTAGTTGCAAATGTCTGTTTATTTTCTGTCTTTTCATTGGCTCATGCTTTTGTCTTCCCTCTCGTTTCTCTTCACCTAAGAAACCATGCCTTGATTCTTTCTTATCAACTATAGGACGCACTGAGCAGTCCGAGATGTTAACGGTGCTGTGGAAGGTTTTTCACACACAGGTATGGTTTGTCCATTTTGAGAAGGACTTGGCAGGACATAGGAGATGTGCCTTATATGGGTCTTGTCCTTTTGCTCCGCACTCTTTTGCTCAATTCAATTCAATTATCTCCACAAAACTCATAAAAACAGCCATGTATAACAACGCAGAAAGAAAAACATCAAAATATTACAATAGCCACATAAACATACAATAAAGAACAATACATACTTAACATGATAATTGAGTATATTTGGGGGACTTCTTCTTTTTCCATTGGAGTACATCCATCTTACAGAGTATTGTCGTACATTGTGCCGAAAAAGTGCGTGGTCGCAGGGACTAGCAAAGATCCAAGGCCTACCAAGGGCTAATATGCCTCTTGGCCACTTGCTCCACTCTCTTCTGTAAGCTACATGCATATGTCTAGCCAGCCACTCCCTTTGCAATATAGCAAACCCGTCTTGGTCATAGAATTGTGAAAGAAATCCTGTCCTAGTCACTCAAAGTATGACAATCAATGTGTTTGTCACAGTTTGTGACTTCTTGATGACTTAGAACTAGGTTTGTAGAGGTATTTCCTACCCAGCACAAGTCTGTTTGATTTTTTGTTAAAGTATGTTTCTCCTTTGTTTCGGTTTTCTTTGACTAATCAGTTTTGGGATGTGCATTGTTGCACTTTAGGAGGTACAGGTTTGAATTTACATCATCTCCTATGGATTCATTTATCTTGAATGCCACTGGCACACTGAAATCAGGAACTCTTGCAGTATGATGGACAACACTCTTCACTCCTTTTAAAATGCTTGAAGCACCAAAGAGCCCCACACCGATGACAGGCTGCAAACAAGTCTGTGTTAAATTATATACTCATATTGGGCAGTCTCTTGGCCTCTTGCTCGACACTCTTCTAAATTTCTCCATGTATGTGTCTAGCTAGCCACTCCCTTTGCAATAGCAAACTGGCTTGGTCATAAAATTGTGATCTCAAAGAAATCCAATCCTCGTCACTCAAAGTATGACAATCAATATTTCCTACCTGGCTCAAATCTATTTGATTTTTCTGAATAGTATGGTTCTCCTTTGTTTCGGTTCTCTTTGACTAACTGATTTTTGGATTTGCATTGTCGCACTTCAGGAGTTACAGCTTTGAAGTTTTCTAAAAAATTTACATCATCCTCCATTGATTCATTTATCTTTTATGCCTCTGGCACAGTGGAATTAGGAACATATGGTGGACACATTCTTAACTCCTTTTAAAATGCTTGAAGCACAAAAAGCTCTGCATCAATGAAGGCTGGATTAAATGATGAACTCATATTAGGCAGTCTCCTCATTTGCCTTGGGAACTTTCATTTGAACATCATGAATTTTTGTAGAGAAGGCCTATCAAGGGCTAATACGCCTCTCAGTCTTTTGCTCCGCTCTCTTCCGTATGTCTACATGTATGTGTCTAGCCAGCCACTCTCTTTACTATACCAAACTGGCTTGGTCATAGAATTGTGATCTCGAAGAAAACCAATCCTCGTCACTCAAAGTATGACAATCAAGGTGTTTGTGACTTCTTGTTGACCTAGAACAACTTGGCTTGTTGAGTATTTTCCGAGCACAAATCTGTTTGATTTTTCTGAAGAGTATGGTCCTCCTTTGTTTCCATTTTCTTTGACTAACTGTTTTTGGATTTGCATTGTTGCACTTTAGGAGGTATAGCTTTTGAATTTTCCAAAGAATGCACATCATCTTCCATGGATTATTTTATCTTGTATGCCTCTGGCACACTGACATCAGAAACTCATTCAGTATGATGGACACACTCTTTACTCCTCCAAAATGCTTGAAGCACAAAGTCTACAAGCTCTTGGATTTCCTGGTCTGTCAATCTGTCACAATGAGTGTGACAAAGCCTTGCAAGATGTCTGATTTTTCTCTTACATCTTTTGTTCCGCTTGGTGGGTCCAAGCTCCTGGATTTTGGGATCTTCTCTTACTTCTTTTGTTTCGCTTGGTCCAAGCTCCTTGATTTACACCAATTATGGAGAGAGGGAGAATGGTGTGACGAAATCAAGAGAAACATAGGCATTTCGAGAGTGGACTTGATAGGTTTATTTTCATAGGTTTATTTGTGTTATCTGTAGGTTATAGGAAGTATGGATTCGTTACAGTGCCACCCTGACCGAGCTTTTTTTTCTTTCTCCCCCACCCCCCCCCCAGCCATGTGATGTTAGACCCTATTCTCCATGATGCAGCCATAAAGAAGTCGGAGGGTAGTGTCAGTCATCTCAAATGGGATCAGCTTTTCACCAGGTGAGGTTTTGATTTGATTCATGGAATGTTTGTTATGCAGGGCTTCTAATGTTCCATAAAACTCTTGAAGGTTCTGGAACTGTTCTTAAGTTTTTACCGCAGTGAGAAGTTATGGCATTATAGTAGGTCCTTGAAAATCCTGCAACTGATAAACCAGGGGGGTGTTTCACAAAGATCCTAAGTTGAACTTGTCTCTATTATAAAAGGCATAAAATGTTGATTCAAATCATTCATATTTTCTATTATCAAGGAGATTTCATGTTCTTGATGTAGAATTTATAAAAATTCTAAAATAATTGAATTTTCGCTTTTGAATATATTTAGTTTTAAGGCTACAAATGGCTCTCCATAATTTGTAAGTCAAAGTTAGAGTTAAGTTCAAGTTAGGATCTTTGTGAAACACCCCCCCCCCCCCCCCCAGGCAATCATAACATACTATTACACAAGTCAAATAATAGATAATACTGGAAATTTACCCAAAATGTAAAGATTTTGTTGATTATTGGCCAGTCTGGAATCAGTCTGCTGAGGTGACTGGGGAGTAAGTCTATACGCATTCAGTTTATATGATAAAGCATCAAATAAATTTTAATCATATAGCATTTAATTATTGTTTTAATCAAATTTATACCTGCGAATGCATATTTATATTGAAATTAAAGAAATGCTGATTTGGTATTCTCAATCACCTATTTATGTATTCTCTAGCTTGATTTATCACTGAGTATAGAAATATATTGAAGAAGCAGGAATATGATTTTCTACCTGCATTGAATTAACCTTCCTCAATCTAATCACACACATGTATAGCATATATTTCACCTTATTTCAATTAAACTGCTGTAGATTCTTGCACAAGATGAATCCTGGCTATCAGATACTCTTCCCCAGCGATCTTTCTGCCAAAGTTCAACCTCGGATTCACAAAGGCCAGGTCCAACCAATCATACTCAAATTGGAACGAAAGGGAGGCAACAAATGGGTAAGAAATGGCCTTGAATCTTAGGTCATCCAAATCATACTATAATTTTTCTTTTGTTTGGCCTCTAACTTCAGTCATTATATCCTTGAATCTTGGGTCATCCAAATCATACTATAATTTCTCTTTTGTTTAGTCTCTAACTTCAGTCATTATTTTCTTGAATCTTGGGTCATCCAAATCATATTATAATTTCTGTTTTTTAGTCTCTAACTTCAGTCATTATATGCAAAAATGTAATAAAATGAAATAATATGATATAAATACCACACGTCACTTCTAGAATGTGTAGACAGTGCTTTGTGATACCAATGGATGCCCATTTTGTGAAGGGAATCGGCCTTTACAGAGCTTACAAGTAAACACATTTCCTTTAGGTGTGTAACAGAAGTACATTACCTCTCTTTGTTGTTGTTGTTTTTTGTCTAATGTCCATTTGACAAACAAATGTTTTAATCAGGTGTAATCTCATCTTCAGAGAACAATGCACATTATTTGCCTTCCTTGTCATATGAAATGGCCCTAACACTTTGGATAGATTTTGTGTCAGCGCTTTCAATAGCACGTTTGCTGTGTTGTATCGTTTTCTAAAAATGCCTCTCTGTAGATCACAGTGATCCAGAACTTGGAGCAGTTCAGTCTCGACCCCAAGGAGTTTGGCCATGGGCTCCAGATAGCTTTCAATAACACGTTTACACTGTTTGCTTTGTTGTATTGTTTCTCCAAACGTCACTCTGTAGATCACAGTGATCCAGAACTTGGAGCAGTTCAGTCTGGACCCCAAGGAGTTTGGCCATCGGCTCCAGATAGCTGTAGCAGCCAGTACTACAGTGGGTGAAGGCCCCAATGCCAAGTCTGGCCTACAGGTGACAGTGCAGGGAAACCAACTCAAATTCCTTGACAAATTTCTCACAGGTAATTATGACCGAATTATCCACAGATAATTATGAACATTCAAAGGGACCTCATGAGAGAGAGAGAGAGAGAAAGTAAAAAAAAAAAAAGAGAAAGAGAGAGGGGGAGAGACAGAGAGAGAGAGAAGGGGAGGGAGGGGGAGGGAGAGAGAAAAATAGAGAGAGAGAGAGAGGGGGGAGGGAGAAGAAGAAAATATTGGGTCTGTATGCACAGGTTGCATTTCTGTACAGGTCACTTTAGTACAGGTTTTATTATTCAAGGAAAACAAATCATCCGGTCTGTCTATACAGGTGGACATGAAAGCAGGTTCATAGTACTTTCATTATCCGTTCTTTGAGCTGGGTAGGGGATCTAATGGCATGGGCATCGGACACTTACTAAGCATTTTTAGAGTTCTTTTCCTGATACGCTGGTGAACAAGTCACATAGCATCACATGGTTTGTGGTTTGGGTCCTGCAGCAGCACTTAATGCCCTTTGGCAAGACATTAATCTAAGTTTGCCACTCTCCACCTGGGTGTAGGAAATGGGTTCCTCTTTTAAAGCCCTTCTGTACCAGTGTACAGGAGGGATTATACCACCCTGCAAGGTCACTGGACAGGTGGTTATCTCATCAAATCAGCTCTGAATTAACATAAGAAAAAGAGGATCATGGGGGACCAACAGGCACGATTATGCATTGTTTGTTATATAGAGGGCGCTAGAAGCTATAAGTAGTACAGTGGGGCTTTAATAGGAAGTTATCCATTGAAAGCTTCATCTCCCAGGGCAGCTGGCTAAACTCAGAGTATGAATGAAAGGATTTTGTGGACATCTTGCACATTCCCTGGAATAAGTATGAGCATAGGGTGAATGTGGTAATTATTTGTATATTTTGTATCATTAATATATTTTTTGTATCTCTTCAATTGTGTTTTTTTTTACAGGTCACTACAAGATACCCAGGAGGTATATTGATGGGCTAGAACAGACTGCCAAGGGCAAAGGAAAGGGCAAGAGATGATAGAGGCTATCATTCTAGGTTCATATTATTTAATTTACCGGCGATAGTTAATGTTAAATGTCACATTTGGCATGCATATAATGCATTAAAGACGCATAGTTGTAGGCTCTCAAGGGGAATTTGACCCATTCGGGAGTTTACCCAATAATAGGTGTTTTCAATCACCAGTATTAGGCTTCAGTTTTATGACCAACAGGCCTTATGTAATGCTCTCTATTTTCCACCTATCGCCCTAAATGGAAAATTCATTATCTTACAATTCCCTCTTGATGGGACTACGGGTTTGCTGTGTGCAGACAGTGTACACTCATTAATGGTATTTCCACCAAGTCTGGTGTCAGCGAATTATGACCTGCACATGGAAATTGCTGACCCTCTCCCTTTTATTTTAGTATTGTAATAGATTTATGAACGTCTTGTTGGCCTTTCGAAGCTGGGAAATCAGCATTGGCTTATAAATGTTTTTAGATGTGAAAAGTGACGGTGCTATATTTTTTCCGTAGTTTTTAATTCTACATTTTAAACTCTGTGCTTTTAAAGTCAGTGTTGTCCTAAAAATTCATTATAATTAGACAGTTTAGTCATGTCATAAAAGTACAAAACAAAACAAAAATATGTTAAAATCTAAAGCATACTTAATATAAACGGTATACTGCTTTAAATATGAAGTTGAGTTCTGGTCATGTGATTGCATTGTGAAAGAAATGGTGTGGAATCGACCAGAAAAGGTTGATCATCTAGCATATAAGAATTTGTGTGTATTGCAAGGTTCTGGAATCATCAAAATGATAAGAAATTTGGCCAAGTCTTGGTAAAGTTACAAACATTGTACATAGAAAGATGTATATTGGACTACACGAACACATGGGGTAAAAATCTGACCCGGATTTTTACGATGTTACATGACATATTTAGAATATGAAGGCATTTGAAGAGCGATGCTTTTCAGGGAACATGTCTTATCTGATGTTCTTCCACACTTGCATAATAATAATGATAACGCTCACCTCTTCCCAGAACTCGACCCTTTCTTTAAGATCCACATAACTCAAAATATCTTAAGAGAAATTATATATTTATTGAACTTGTATGGCTGATAATGCACAATGAATGTGTTATTCTTTGAAGATATGATAAACAAAGTGCTTTATCAATCAACTGCAAAGTGTATCGTTGCTTTTTATTGGTTCTTTTTTCTCTCTCTTGTAACGGATTGCAAAGTTGGATGGTGGTGAGCAGGAAAAATATGAGACTGCATGAATGAACAAATGGAAAAAAGAAAAGGGAAAAATGAGAGAAAGAGGGGGGGGGGGGGGGGGAGAGAGGGGGGGGGGAGGGGAAAAAAAATAAAATATGGCAACTACGTGTATTGTCCTGATTTTTCCCCCAGAGAGAGAGAGAGAGAAAGAGAGAAAGAGAGAAGAAAAATTATAAATGAATGTATCAGAGGGCAGGTAGATATATCATATCCAGGTACACTGAATACAAACATACACACAGACTTCATTTTTTGTGATGAAAAATAGAAAAATTAGTGTTTATTATCATTGATCATGATTTGTTTACAAATGAGAAGGACGGAATACTAGTATTTGAATACACACAAGAAGTTCACAAACATTCTGTTACAACCAACATATATAAAACATATCTACATAAAATGCTATGTAAGTATTCTCATACGGCATCAGACTCTGATGTATGCAGTACCATTAACAATTAGGAGTATGATCACAGAACCATTTCATGTATTGTGGTACATGTAAATCTTTAAAATAGTATTTTGCTAACGGGGTAATTCAAAGGCAGTGAGGTCATCCCGACAGTCCTGGGCCCCGTTTTATCAAACTGTTATCAGTAACAAGTTGCAATAGCTGATATCATTGCATTTGATTGTCTGAAAGCACATTTGTTATGACACTTGATATTGAGAACAAGTTTTCATGAAACAGTGCCCAGACCTTACAACCTTCGTGCCGGAGTGCCAAGATCGTTAACAAAAATAGAGCAATTAAGACCTGAATTTTGCACTGATTGTAATCCAAGTTCAACAAGCCCTAAAAGAGCATCCTCCAAACTCTGTGCATTAGCAATAAGTTTGTCAGAATACTATCCCATGATTCCTAGACTAAATGAACAGGTCCTTTTGGAGATCTAAATCAAGATTTATGCTACATATTTAAGAATGGTTTTAAGTTTTCTTTTGTAGAACAGCTTCACACGAGACGCTATGTACATGTATGTGAAATATTACATTTTCAATCAAGGTGGATACTGAGTTTCCTGATACAGATACAAATGTGAAAATATAAAATGCGTAATTCTCAATGACATGAATTTGTAAACAATCATTTTTCAGAATAAAGGACAAGCAACGGATTCTGATATCAAAATATACATGTAAGCTCAATAATTCTACATTATAAAATGTGATAATAAAATTTGAGATATATACATTAAATTATGAAAATTTTGAAAGACTGATGAATAGAATGTTGAAGAAATTCAATTTACAAACGTGTTCAAATGATACGCAAACAAAAAATGTGAAAGCAAAATTTCAGATATATAAATCGTTCAAATTTTGAAAGATTGATTAATAGAATGACATCTTTCATTGATTTACAAACGTGTACAAATATTAAGTTTGATTGGAGTGATACACAACTACTGGTAAAAACAAAAACAAAAATTCTGCCACTAGACACAGCACACATTTATAAATATAATACATTTAGAGAAAAAAAAATTATGCTTTATACATGTATACTACATATTTCTATCAAAGTTAAATTCTGTCTTTAACCATACTGACACCAATGTAAAGAGATTGAGTTGTCCGTGAAGTGTGATGGTATTGCCACCTTGACATTTAAACTAGTAATAAGTTTTTAGCCAGGACTATGAAGGGCATTAATTAATTTAAATCAAATGCATTTTTAGATGCTGCTTATAAGTATCGGCTTGCATGGAGATGTAGATTTACAGTAGGCTTACGGTTGCACTTCTCACATGGTGCAACCAAATGCATTTTTGTTTTGTGATCAACAAAATAAATCAGAAAATAGCACAACAGAATCAAAATCATCTCCGATGTTTTTCTACTTGAATTTCTGGGGGTGTGTTTTTCTCAAAACATGCAAATCAGTCTTTCTGCCACATGGGCTGAAAGTAGAACAAGATATTTACATTAAAAATTTTGAAGTCGGTAGCCTTCTCAGGGAGGATTTGCCTTTGGTATTTTGTTCCAAAGGGTTGTTGCCTTGACAGAACCATAGAGGTTCTCTTGCAATCAACCAGGGCTCTCAATTCCATTTCTATGCCTATTCCTTTGTATATACAGTTAACTCTGCATCACTTGAGGTCGCACAAGTCAAATTATCCCTTGGTTGAATCAATTTTTTTTAACCAAACTATGCAAAACATGTGTTATTTAAACTTTGTAAGTTGAATTCTGAATGAGTCAGACTATTTTATTGAGTCTCCACAGATTTCAAATTATGCAGAGTTAACCTTACATATATATTGGAAATTTCTACTTGTGTTTATACGTTTTACAAGTTCATCTATGTATGAATCTTTTTTATGGAATTTTTAAATAAATCTGAAATTTGAATTCTGAAGATATTCCCCATGCTAGCGAAAACCCTGATCACAACAGGGACCCTTTTCACAAAGCCTTTCTTCAATGACAAATGACAAAAATCAGTGACAACTCTGCTGATAACCAATCAGAAGCAATGATTTCACTAGCTTATAACAAAACCTGTCATTTAATTGTCACTGATGACAAGTTTTGTGAAATAGGGCCCAGGCCTGAACTCGTAAATATACTCAAACTATCCCCATCTTTCCATTCTCTATCACCAATGCTGCCAATCAACACATCTCTGCTTTAGAGCTCTTCAGGGATGTCTTGGAAGTTGGTGTCAAGGCGGGTCGGGAGCAGGGAGTCTCGGGAAGAGTGAGGAGAGGTTGAGGATGACGAGCGTGGCCGGGAAAGAGATGCCGAGGAACCATCCCTCGAGGGCTTGCCCTGCACAGAGCCGGAACTGTCGAGGCAAAGAATAAATCAATATGAATTTAAACTGTAATAATTAAGCAATCTAGTCTAATGGGGCATTGCAAGAAAGTTGCAATCTATTGCATATCCCCCAAATCAAGCGTAATTAAGTCTTGCGATTAATTGCAAATTTGCAATTGATCACAACTCAACTTTCTTGCAACGCCCCATTAGTAAGAGAGAGAGAGAGAGAGAGAGAGAGAGAGAGGGGGGGGGTGGGGGAACAAAAGATAGATGTAGTTAACTTAATTTAATTGTTAAAACTTTAATCCTTAACAAAATCCTAGGGAATTTAGGAGACAAAGTTGATTTGCAATCGATTGCAAATATCAGTTGCAAATTTTGCAACTTGCAATCAATCGCAACTTTCTTGCAACTTAGACATGTGCAACATAATACTGATTAACCTTGGCTCCACAAAGTTTGTCATGTGTGCACATTATATGTACTGGTATGTACATGCAGACCTGCCAACCTCTGGAGTTCAAAAACTGTATTCTTTAGTCCCAAAAGTTGTATTCTACTGACAAAAGTTGTATTCTTGAAAATAAACACGGATTGTTACGCGGATCAATGCCTCTTAGGGTTTCTACCTACAGGAAGAATTTTTTGTTGTTGATCATTGGTTGAATATGCATGATTTCGTCATGACTGGTGTGTTCGATGAACCAATGAACATTCCCAAATTGCAGATGTGAGATGCTTGTAGGATACTTTACAGGACAGAATGGACATTTTGCCATTGAAAATGTCGGACGCACACACAAAATATTAATTTAAAAAAAAATTAAAAAATTAATTTAAAAAAAAAAAAAAAAAAAAAAATTTTAAAAAAATTTTTTAAAATGAAAATCGTACTTTATTAAGGAAAATCGTACTGTCGTATTTGCTTCTAAAAGTCATACTAAATACGACTAAATCGTACTGGTTGGCAGGTATGTACATGTATGAGGCCAATATAAAAATTGTCTTTTTCAAAAATATTTATTGTAATTCTGCTTGGCAATAATTGCATATTAAAGGTAATACAAAGTTTTCGTATGGGGTCATGAATTTGTTTCAAATGAACATATTGGAAGCATATGCGATCCTACAATATTCAATGGCCGTTGTCGCGGTTGAAATCGAGTCTAAAGTTATGAAATTGTAAATAAATGAACTCTTTATGTTGTATAACTCCCTCTCAAGGTCAAGATATTCATTAAGCTATAAAACAATGTTTCTTGACTAAAATCCACCGATTAGTTATTCCCATTTGGAAATTTTATATCACAACTATATATTCTGATATTTTCATGGTCGCAGCTACCATTGTACGGCCGTGGGCGCTATTTGAAATGTATCAAAATTTATCGGGAGCACCGGTAAATTTTCGTATTCAATTTTTCTCGAAAGCAGAAGTGTTTTAGGGGCTAAATTTTCTAGTGCTTATGAAACATCCACAGGGGCATCCAAATATATCAAAATTGTAAAGAATCACTATCCACCCATTTTCAAAATTTCCCAAAACTTTGTATTACCTTTAAGTACTGTATTTCGTTCTCAAAGGTTCTACCATAGTACCATTGATGTTAAGAATCAACACACACACACACACACACACACACAATATCACTGTTTTCAACTAATTTCTGCTACGCATAACACCTATAAATGTGAAAGCCATGTTGACTTTTACAGAATTTGCTTGATCTTCCAAAGCTTAGACACATAACACTGACAAGGCTAATTAATACACAATGGCTAGTACTGAATGTATGAAGGTATGGTTCATTCCATTCAAGTTCTTGTCTGTATAATTAATATCAATTAATATTTCCTTTTCCACTAAGAGGAGACACCAAGAGGAGATGACGATAAATTTGGTTAATTGTTTGAAAGAGGCTTTGTCCACAACTGTGGTGCTCACTTCTAGCACTCAACTATAACTTTGATTTGATTAGCTCCATCAACTAATTTCCAGGATTGCCTGGTCATTCATATCATGCATACCTCTGTGATCTGTAGGCCGCCATTGATGCAGCGGTACCTATACGACTGGGAATGCCGTACATTAATGCTGCCAGGTCATCATCGTCATGGTCATTCATTGATGATATACCAGATATAACCTGTTAAAAACAGAAAATGATGTAATGGAGGTGTCGTGGTATAGTGGTTCATTCACTTGACTCTCAATCCAAGGGTCAAGGTTCAAATCCCACCCTTGCACTAAAGTCATTTGCCAAGTCATTAATCCTCTTTTGCCACTCTTCACCCAGGTGTAAATGGGTACCTGATATTCCAGTGTGCTACGTAATTAGCTGCCAGCTAAGACCGGGATAATAATGTTGGAGCGCCATGAGCGTCACAAAGTGACGGACATGTGCGTTATATAAGAAGCCACCATTATTATTATTATTATTCAAAGATCCATTGTACGAACTCTCATAAAAGCAGTTTGGACAAGAATAAATATTTGAGGACAATCTGAATAAGTTACAATTTTTTTGCATAACAAAGAACATACTGAATTAAAACTGTATACTATTATGCAGGCATTTCTAAAGTATATGTTCAGACTTTATATTCAGGTTTAATCTCTATGCCAGAGCTTATATGACCAAGATGGAAAAAAAAAAGAGTTTATGAAGATTAAGAGATATTTTAAAAGATTTTCTAGCAGATCATAGAGATATAGCCGCATTTGTGATTTATCTTTACCATATCAAACTACAAAATGCCACTGTCTGCTCTTGCTTGTTTCATACCGAGTTTGCAGCATGCTATTATCAAACGATGAAATAACAAAACAACAAATACAACCTTTTGACACGCCCTCCTATGAAAAAAAGAAAAGAAGATGTTTAATATTACCGATGCAGAGGATTGTGGTCTCAGCCAGATTGGTAGCAATCCTTCATCTTCTTCCTCATCATCCTCCTTCTCCTCCATAATGATGGCCGGAGCCTGCCGTTGCTTGAACCTGTAGGCTGCTGGGCCAGAGGATAAGTGGTGGTCATCGTACTCGTTCGTGTAATGCCCATCATCACCTAACGGTTAAGAGAATTATAGAGAAAACAAAGTGTTCATTGCATGATCTTTTGAGATTCATCATGCATGCAAAACAGTACACCACACAAAATAATACATATATCTACAGATATTTGACAGTGATTGATGAAATAGCGTATAGAGTAATTTTAGTGGAACATTAATTTTACTTTATAACAGAGATGCAGCGTTTATCTGATGTCAGGCGATACTAAATATATATAAATTGTAGTAAAATTCTCACCATTTTCTCCAATGCTTGTGCGACATTAAAAACTAGATGGAATTTGACTGCGCGCAGTCGAAAATGATGCCTCCGTCATAGAGCAATTTTACAAACCAAATCAGAAGAAATTTTTCGGATTCAAGTTCAATTGTAATCCATTGACAGGTTCTCAGAATATCGTGATTACAAGTAATTTCTCATATACATATATGACCCTTTGATCTTTGACCTCATGACCCTAAAATCTACTCAGTTCATTGGCTCTGCAAGATGTCCTGAGTTAAATAGTAATCCATCTGTCAGTTCTAATGAGAATGCGTTCACAAGCTATTTTTGCATACATAATGAGCCCATGATCTTTGACCTTTGACCTTATGAACCAAGAATCTACTCAGTTCATTGGCTCTGCAAGTAACATACATGATCTAATTTTGGCAGGAATCCATCAATCGGTTCTTGAGATAACGCGATCACAAGCTGTTTATGCATACATAATGAGCCCTGTGACCTTTGACCTTTAACCTAGTGCTGTAAGTCAGACGCTATGTTCGTGTTCGGTTCGGTTCGGCAGGGTTCGGCAATTTTTCACCCGAACTTGGTTCAGTTCGGGGTTCGGTAATATAATAGCAAGCAGCGTTATAACCACGGCGGTCGGCACTGGGTGGGCCGGCTGGCCTGCCGGGCCCGACCAGCAAGGAGGACTTCTGCACACTGCTTCCGACCAGCACGAATTTCACATTAAAAAACTGCTCTAAACGTAATTATTTGTGAAGAAAAATACTACTTACATTTGTATTTCCGTCTTGAATCATGTTTTATTTTCAATTTTAAAAGAATCATGTTTTCAATTTGTCAATAAATGATATTTTTTAAAGATTTTCCAAGACGGTTGTCGTCTAATGTTAGAGTCATGAAAGCTGCCATCTTGAATAGAGACTCAGGCTTGTCAATAACTGTTTTTTATGAGTTTTTATTTTTAATAGGAAAAATATAAAATCCCTATTTTTCCTGAATAAATAAATACCATACTATAATATATATTTATTTCATTATTTATATTGCAAAAATTTGTCCGATATTGTTAAAATTAAAATATTAATTTTTTATTGAATGGGTTTGAGCTGAACTTGTGTTTTGATCACGCACATGTATTCTTGTTTATGGCTTCCGATCGCGACGTAGCGTTGTCAGGATTTGGGATTGAAATGGCGCCAGTGAAGTCGCGCCCACCACTGGATAGGCATAAATCACAAAGGCGGAAAATGGAAAAAAAGTAAATATAAAATGAGCAATCATGACATGAAAATTAGGTACAAAACGACAAGTTTATTAGCTTGCAAAAACGTTTACATTTTTCTGCCGAACATCCGAACCAGGCCTTTGCGTTCGGTTCGGTTTGGAAGTGCCATGTTCGGCGAACTTCCGTTCGGTTCGGCGGTTCGGCTACAGCACTACTTTAACCTCATGACCCCAAAATCTAATCAGTTCATTGGCTCTGCAAGATACACACATGACCAAAGTTTGGCAGGAATCCATCAATCGGTTCTTCAGATAACACGATCACGAGCTGTTTTTGCATACCTAATGAGCCCTGTGACCTTTGACCTTTGACCTCGTGACCCCACAATCTAATCAGTTCATCGGCTCTGCAAGATACATACATGACCAAAGTTTGGCAGGAATCCATCGATCGGTTCTTCAGATAACGCGATCACAAGAACGGGACGTACGTACGGACGGACAACCCGAAAACATAATGCCTCCGGCTACTTCGTAACGGAGGCATAAAAATATTAACTGGCTTTGATGGGACATAGCGCTATATGTTACCCCAGTAAAATCGCAATCCCCATGTTGCAGACAATACCAAATATGATTATTTATGGGCAAGAATTAGTCTCATCTATTACTTTATATAAATAGCCAATCAATATTATTTTTTTACCAGGCGACCCACTTTGATATTATAAGTATTTGCTGCACATTCTTGAATACAAGACAAAGGGGATGTTGCCCACTATTACAACAAGAGTTTCTATACATGAGGGATGCATGCACATAAAAGAAGCTTAATGGGACACATGTCTCTATCCCAGATATTCATTTCTTCCATACAGTACTGCTTGAAATAAAGTAGACACCCTAACACCAAATTCTATGGAATAATACATGCAGTCACGCATGACACAGTGTGAGAGAGTCAACTTTATTTTTTAGTAATACTGTACCCCGACAGGGAAAGCTTTAAGAACATCATAATTATCGTCAATATTGCCACCTACCTTCCACCCCTCTGTGCTTGAGAACAACGGATACCTGGGGGTTATAGAGCTTCTCCATGGCCTCTATAGTAGCAGTTGGTTTCGATTTTGACCCTCTTCCATTCACAAACACTCCTGGAGGGTAACAAAATGTTCAAACATTCATGGCATTATGCATGTACAACTAGAAAATGCAACATGACACTATAGTGAATTCTAAACAACAGCCACATTTGCAGCAACTTTCACTTTACAAAAAGTATGTCAGTTGTGATTCATTTATTTAAGAATGTGAAACTGTCACAGATTATGTGAAAAACTTGCAAAGTTCATGAAAACATGAATGTTTCTTCAGTAAAAGTAGGGATCTGGCTTACTTTGGTACAATTCCATCATCGATTATAAATAAAACTTCAAATTGGGTGAATTAAATAAAATTACAGGTACGGTATAACCATGAAGAGTGTCTGATTTTATTCTGGAAAAAAAAATGATATCGGATTTCAAGTATTTTTGTGGGAAATTAGAAAGATAATGTACCTTGGTTTTTACCAAAAAATGGGTTTTCTCGGTATGTTATGCACCAGGATATAATGTGGAGGCCTAATTAGATTCACCATTTTCCCTTGTGCTTCATTAAAACCTTTAGGAAATTGTACATCTAACTCAAATTTCAACAAAAAGGCAGTACATTGACTAAAAAAGTTAATCAATCTTTTCAATATTATTAAGTATACTGACCTATGGTATACATTTTGAGCAGCATGCGTCGCTTCTTGGATGTCATGAGGGAGAAGTCGTACTCCCTTTGCGCCAGTCTCCTCTTGAACTCTGGTAGGATCTTCATGAACTCCTGTGCAGTTTCCTTGATGGATGCCTTGACTGACGCTGCAAAGAGCGACGTCTGGGAGATGCGACTGTGAGCCTCGATGAGTTCATCCAGGAGATCCCAGAGGGTGTCATGGATGGGATCCTGCAGGAGCTCTGCTTCCCTGCAGTAAGCATTGATTATCTGGATCTGTCTGGCTACCTCATGGGCGGGACTGAAGAGTGGAGGACAGGCGAGTGCCTGCTCCAGGACGATGCGTCCACACAGGATGGCTCGCATGTACTTCTGGGTGTTCTCCTCCAGGCTGTCCAGGCTGTTGCTGGTGAGCTGCGGCCAGAAGGGTTTCGATCTGCAGAGGCAGCCGTAGTAGCGGAGAACGATGTAGATGAGCCAAAGGATAGTCATGCCGAGCCAACAGACGTTGATGACGAGGAGTTCAAGATAGAGATAGGATACGGTGAAGAACACGGAGTCGACTCCGTCCATATTCTGCATGAGGCCCATGAAGGACATGACCAACATGCAGAGGAGGTTAATAGCCAGCTGAAAGTTGAAGCTGGTCACCCGGAAAGGCCACTTGAAGATGATGATAGCAAATAACAGGAGGACAGGAATAACGAAGACTAACATCTGCCAGTTGGGTAACCACAACATAGCAGAATATGCGATGATGAAGATGAACTTGAGAAAATGTATGATAGGGTAGTAGTATGTCCAGAAGAGTTTGAAGGATGAAAACATATGGTAGTGTTTCAGAGCCCAGATGAGGTCCAGGGAGTGTGCATACTCTGCTTCCTTGAGCTGCAGATGGGACTCGTGGCTATCCTTCTTGAGGTTGAAGATCTGAGACTTGACCTTCACGATCATCCAAGCAGGCAGCAAAATGAACAGCCCAAAGAAGATGGCCAACGACACTGCCATGTATGCAATGTGCTCTCCACTCCCGCATGGTGTTTCATTGTGGACATCCATATTGTTCTCTGCGTTGCAATGGAACACCTTTCCCAAGGCAACTCCAACTGGCATCACGAGAACTTGAGCTAAGAAGAGGACGGTGCGCTTGAACCTGGCTACCTGCAGCAGTAGATTGAACTTCCTCTGGTAGTACATGCTCAGGTAGATAGCAATAAAGATGGAGATGAAAAGGAAGATGAAAACACCCCATGCCAGTAGCAAGAAGCGATAGTCAAATGGGAGCAGGGAGCTGGGTATGAACCGATTAACTGTGGATTCATAGATGGTGGGTGTATTCAGCTTTATGAATTCCCAGATGTCCAGGTTTGCAAAGAGGATGAACCTGGTGTACTGCATCCAAGCATATGGCCATGGCCATCTTAAAGCAATAGCCAAGACCACGGCATAGAACTGAAGGTAGTCCAGAACCAAGAAGAGCGCATCATGGAACACCAACGCTGTCTTGCGCTTCTCTTTTGCCGACAACCTCAGTAGATTCTCTACATCCTCGTCATCCCCATAGCCTCGTTCTGCCAGAATAACATCGCCCTCAGTCCGGGTTGCCTCGATGCGGCGAGCCTCCTGTTTCCGCCTCAGCTCTTGAAATGCACGTTCCTCAGCAACGGACGATGGAGCAAGCAGAGGGAGAGCATCACCTCCACTCTCCTCTTTCAGAGATTTTCTGAGGTCTCTGGTTGTCATAATTTGTAATTCTATCCCTCACTGCTGAGCCATTTTTGCAGGCCACCAAGCCAGTCTGGAAAGAATAAAGAAAAGATTCATGTTTGAAAATTAAAATTAGACATACAATGTACATGTACATCATCCTCAGACTTCTCACACTTTGTATACTGCATAATATTCAAGAGCAACAGGTTGGTTATCGAGATGGTTTTATTAAACCTATCCTCTACCAGTGTCTAAACTATAACACTAATAGTCTATACCCACACTTGTGTCTGGACAGGTTGGTTATCCAGACGCTAGAACAATTTTTGTAAGAAAATATTCACGAATCATTCAAAAAGATATGTATCAACTACAATACAGTGTATTAACTATTATATTGTCAATAGACCTACTACTATCATTGACTATAGGCCTACATGACAAATCATCTACAAATTCACTGTAGATCTACAATGTACTAGGCTACAGCGCTCAATGGCATGCGCAAAGTTCTTCGTGTCGAGGAAGTAGACCTAGTCCTAGAGTCTAGATCTATTTTTAATTGTTGATTATTGGTAGACCAGTACTTCTTCTTCGTCATAATCTGCCTTCACTCCTGAATTCCCAAGCTTAGTTAAATGGCATAGATCTGGGCTATGCTGTGTCAGTCTTTTGGCCTTACAAATTACAAACCCTCATCAATGCCAGGCCCATGCCATGCATGGAAGATCAGAGGATGAGCCAAGGATGAAGGAGTGCAGTAAACTCACCGACAGACACCGCACCGCCACACGCCGTACCGTTCCGACTCTCTGTGCTGAGCAGTGAGCTCTTCTTCGGCCGCAACAACTCGCCACTGTTTTGTTCCTTCTTTTTCCAATTCCAGTTCATTCAACAAAGTACTTGATGAACAGTTACAGTCACATCAAACGTATGTAGTGCCTCCCACAGTTTTGGAATTCAACATAAATTATTCATTATTTTGTTATGTTTTACGTCGATCTGTTTATCACCACTGTGCCAGTTTCGAGTTATTTTGCCAGTTCTGGCTTGTGTATGACGTCATAAGTGTCATGGCAAATTGATCGTACTCGATCGGATGTATGTTTTCCAAAGCATATATTTTTGTAATAAACATTATCAAATGTTATTTATACATTACGAAAATATTTTTAATTATGTTTTAATATTAATTTAATTATAATTTTTGTAAAAATATTAAATTTTAACGCATTTGTATCACATTGAGTGCACGTAACATGCAATTATTGTTATCTTATTGAACGTAGGCTGCTATATCATTTTCGATTCGTGAAGGGATAGGGAACAGGCCGCGTGTGTTTGTTGTTATTGTTGTTTGTTGTTGTTGTTTGTTGTTGTTGTTGTTGTTGTTGTTGTTGTTGTTGTTGTTCATCTTACAATTTAAACCCCATATATGGCATCTTCTTTTTCAGGATCAGAATTGTGGCCCCTGATGGGCATGCTTTTACAGAATCCTGGATTAAAAAAAAACATTTGTTATTATTTTCTCTAAAATCAAATACATATTGTACAAATCATTCATATTAAACAAATTTGTATATTCTTCATAACTAAACTGGATGCATTTACATTGATATTTTGGCTCAAACATAAATTGCAACAATAAAAGAAAAACAAAAAGTACATTTTCATAAACTGTTTAGAAAATATTTGCATATTATATGATCAAAGAATATAGTACTTTTTTGTCTATTTTTTGTTGTCTATTCCCCCCCCCCCCCCCCCGATAAACATACTCCCAACACCCTCGTCCACATACGCCCGGCCGTAAACGATACAGCACAGCGGGCTGGAGTGCACATGCTGACTCTATTTTGGGGGAGGGGCCGGGGCACACGTACCATCCCCTCTCCAACTTAAAACCCCTATATAGGCCTATGATGCCACCTTTTCCAAATTTGGAATCAAGGAAAAGTTGGCCTCCTGTTACTAACGTGTTAGCCCTAAAATACCCCACAAAGAAAAAAAACTTCCACCTAAGCTGTATAAATACCCTTATTGCTAAAAATCCTAACTTTCTAGAATATTTTTTTCAATTTCGTACAGTTCCATCATATTATGTCCTTACTAGTAGGGCTATTCGAAGGGGAGGTGGAGGGATTTTAAAATTGGGGGCCCAAAAGGGAGGGTAAGCAAAATTACCGTATTGCATTATAGCCACATAATTAAGCGGTGAATAGACTATGGCGAATTGAGACTTTTGAAGATATGTAATTGTGATTATAGATATATATTTGAGCTTGACAGATCAAATCAAATCAAATTAGATCAAGCTTCCTATTTGAAAAGTCACTCCCGAATTTGGTAAAAGTAAAGGCATGGCCCCTTATAGATAACTAAGCATTTACAGATTGGCCTAACTGAAGATGCCCCTGCATGTCAGCAGTTAAAGTAGCTAGCGCTCGATATCTTTAATAGGACTAATAGGAGGATAGTCGTATTGAGGACAATTACCTCCTGAACAATCACCCCACCGGAAAATTACCCCCGGAAAATTACCCCTCCGGACAAACACCCCCGAGGACATTTACCCACCGGAAAATTACCCCCACAATTGCCCCCACCCCTGAAAATTACCCCCGGATAATTACCCCTCAGGACAACCACCCCGAGGAATATGCCCCCGAAAAAAAAATATCCGCCTATTTAGCTGTCCACCCGATAATAGGTTGGTTTTGCTATAAAATCAGATTTTTTTTTCGTGGGGTAATTGTCCGGGGGATTATCAAAGGGGGCAATTTTCAGGGAGGGGAGGGGTAATTGTCCTGGGGATGGTTGTCCTCGGGGGGGGGGGGGGGGGGAGGTAATTGTTCCGCTGGTAATTGGCCGGGGGTGATTGTCCAGGAGCTAATCGTCCTAATTATAGAACCAGATACAGTAATTTATTTCATTTCCTTCCAATTTTCTTCTAGAATATTTGAGCACCACGTATACAAATATAACAAAGTCAAATAGATTGATTGATTGATTTTTATTCGCCAAGCTTCCAACATACAACAATATATAAGAATAACAGATCAAAATTAAGTCAGCTTGAACAGGATAACCCACGAAAGCTCGAGAGCTTATTTCCAGTGGGGTCCCCGACAGACATGTACATTATTAACCGATAAGGAAAAACTTATTAAAGATAATAATGATGATAATAATATTAAAAACAGCAAACTGATGATAGAAATGATAATAGGTACAAGAGGAAAAGAAGAAGGAGAAGAAGAAAGGAGGAGGAGGAGAGGAGGAAGAGGAAACTAATGATGAATATCATTATAACGTACAAAAACATAAGTATATACAAAAGGGGAAAAAATGAACCGGTAGAAGAATAATAATGTCAATCATACAACAATGTCATTCGCTTCTCTTCTCTGACTCTCATGAGCAAAGTTTTCTATTTCCTTTATCATTAGAAAGGGAATTCCAATGTTTTATGCCATTGTAATAAAACGAATTACCAATATACGACAGGAGGCACTTTTTTTGTTCAAATTTTCAGGAAATATTTTACCCCGACTCAGCCAGCCGGTAAATAAGCGGGGGGAGAGGGTTGGTAAGACCACTTTTTTAGATTTTGGCCTTCTTCGTGAGAATTTTTTTTTTTTTAAATAATTTAAAAAAAATAAAAAAATAAAAATAATAATAATAATGAAAAAAAAAAAAAATCTTGTTTGCTGTTGTTGACCCGTCAGCCCCCAACCCGTGGATCCGCGCCTGCAGTGGAGGGGGGGGGGGAGCCAAATCTAAATACAAAATTTAGCGTCGACTCAGCTGGCCGGCGAATAAGCCGGGGGGGGGGGAGAGAACCTTTCTTCTTTCCTTTTTTTGATAGAGTTTTTGAGGAAAAATTTAGCGCCGATTCAGCCGGTCGGTGAATCAATTATTATTATTATTATTATTATTTTATTATTATTATTATTTTTTTTTTGGGGGGGGGGGGAGGCGCTTTTGTTTTGTGTTTTAAAAAAGGTTAACTTTACGTTATTACCCTATTTTTAAAAAAATCGTTTTGGGAGGGCTAGGGGGGGGGGCGGGCCGGAAAAATCGCTACGTGGATCCGCCCCTGGTGTGTAGTCCTGAAAAGGACTGTTGATGTAGTCTTGAAAAAGACTGTTGGTTATATTTCTTAGCTTATAGTTCTAAGGAGAACTATATAGCGCTTGGAGAGGATGGGTGGCGGGAGTGGCTCGAAGTTTCGAACAGGTTGACTATCCGTCGTCAGGAGTTCTTTTCAGGACTAACCCTCAAGAAAGATTACCGAGAGTCCTTTTCAGGACTCCTCAATCCTCCCTCTCTCTCACAAGGTGCACCCGCAAGCCTACTGTATAAGATCAAAGTTGGATCGAATATAATGATTCGACCAAATATGATATATTTTATGCACGTGATGTAATATACGAGTTGTTTTGATCTTTGGTTGACTTTTAAAAAAAAAACGCTTTAGAAATTCACTGTAGCCAACATGAGTTCTTGGACCAGAACAGTTGATGAATCTCACCATTTTTTTTCTGAACTTCTTTTGATCTGACCTGTTTATGTTACTATACCATGCAGGATTAAAACATTGAATAAGAGCAAAACAAAGTATACGTCTTGCCTTTAAATCCGTACAACTTTGATGTCTGTACAAAAAAATAGTCATTGCACAATTAATAACAAATAAAAGAATCAACAAAAAGCCTTAGAGCTGTAATCAGGGTAATATTATATTGGCTCTTAATTCTAGGAAAAGTGATGGTGCACTATTATACTTTAGAAAAGGCACTTTATACAACTTCTGTGAAGAGTGAGTAGGCCTACTAGTACTTTCCGCCTTGCATGTTGGTGGTATAGTAACAGTTATCAGGTTCCGTTTATTAAACGTTCTTGCTCTCTTTTGAAATTTAATCGACAAATTTAATTATCAAAAGTATGCGCACTCTTTAATAGGCCAAATAAAAAAAAATAACGAGTTTCTTGTCAGGACTTTATTAAAAACGGAGGGAGGAGGCAGGGCATTATTCTATTTATCTTTTTCAAGATGGCGAATGTAAGGTATATTTATTCACAGATATCGTGCTATAAATAGTTTTTGAGTATACTGATGCAATGTATGACAAACCAAATGATTTGTATCATTTTAGTCCATTGCTATCAAAGCAAGTTTCAAGTTTCAAAATTCAGAAACAGTGAAAATGTTCATGTGTTCAGCTTGAATTAGCTACAGAAGCTGTTTATACAAAACGTACACCACAGCCTTTTTTTCCCCTTTTCTTTTTCCCTTTTTTCTGAATAGTAAATAGTAAACAAAAGGAAGCGGCGGCCAAAAAAGAGGGGGGGGGGGGGGGGGGAATGATCGAGTAACTTGTATTTTGTCAGAAGTCAAAGGTGCATTTAGTGTTATCGAAAATGAATGAAAAGAGGCAATTATCACAAATGAAAAGGGGTAGGCCTACTTTGGGCATGAGAAAATATATTTGAGAAGCAACTCATGCACTTAATTGCCCATCGCGGAAGCGGCGATTTGGGGTGGGGACAAATTTTTCAAAGGGCGGGGGTCGTAAGGCCAGAAAGTGCACTTAAAAAAATAAGAACACCTAAGATACTTTTTTTTTAAAAAGTACATGTAAACGGTTTCAGGGGCGGATCTAGATAATTTACCCCCCCCCCCCCCCCACCCTGGGCTGGCCAAAAGAAAAATGACAGGGGCAAAATATATATTTTTTTTGTAGTGCTTTCTACCCCCCCCCCCCCCCCCACCTCAAAATATTGGTCGGCACTTTTTTCAAATTTCGGGGCCCCCCTCCCCCTCTTGCCCTCTTGGCAAATCCTGGATCCGCCACTGGGTCAACCCCCCCCCCCCCCTTTGCAAAAAGCTAGATCCGCCCCTGGGTTCACTACCGAAATCCTGCTGAAAAGCAACGGAGAAGGGGTTTCTGCTACCGACCCCCCCCCCCCCCCCCCCCCACCCCTCCCAATTTGTATGTTTGGATCTGCACTGCAAGAACAATCCTCGCGGAAAATAGACTTCGCGATCAGTCGTTTTGCATGACTACTTGAAAAACTAGCGAACAACAAGCCACAACAAGGTGAGATTGAGAATTTCACAATGATTTATGTTAAGATATTATAATGATAAGTAGAGGTTGTATTAAATACTAGGCAAAGTACTAAATATCACTTTTGTATAAATGTAGACGTAATCTGTGTCCTTTTGTCTTTCGATTATATGAATATTTATTTGCAAGCTGTTCACAAACACTGACAACCTTGTCCCACTTATTGTCTTGTGTGTATGGTTGTGTGCAGTCTTGAGACTTTGCTGTTTACTCGTGTTGTTCATTGACTTTGTTCTTTTTGATGTTTCCTTGATATTTTGAGGTGTTGGTTTCAATTATTTTTGAATGAGTGTTGTCTCTTCCTGTTTTATTTTGAACTATTAATATTTTAGGTGATAAAAAGAAATGAAAAATATTGATAAAATAAACAGGAATCCTCATGAGACATGACAATTTACACGAGCAAAACAAAAACAAAAACATAAACATAACACAAAAACATAAACTTAACAAAAAATAATTAAAAAACATGACCATGGAGATGCACACACACCCCATACACACATACTTACAAAGCATCATCACATAGTCTACTAGTTCCAGTTTCCCAGTAGTCTACTCAGTAGACTATTTTTTTTGGGATTATTTTGATCATGGGAATTATCAGTTAAACTTTTGCATCATTTTGAATCTTTTAAATACACTCATGCGATTCTGAATCCTACATGAATTCAGACTGACCAGGGATCGCTGATGTCCTAAGTCTTTTGAATTCTGTACTTGCCCAAACTAATTGGAATGTTCCCACCATTACTACTCACACATTTAAGTGCAAGCAGTCGAGAATGATTTACCATGCGGCCAGAGCATGGCGGCATGGTTTTAAACTCTTTATTTTGCGTAATCTCTCCCAAGCTGCCAATGTTTCTCGTGTAACAAAGTGCCAAAACAAAAGATTGATGAATGGGCTGTAAAACCGTAGAATCACCCATGTGTGTGTGTGACACACTATGCACAATAAAACAAGCAAACAACAATCGGTCAATCCACAGCTTTTACCAGTGCGAGTTTACAGGGTTTATGCGGCTTGAGGGTTAAATGTTAATAAGACTTTCCTTTTTACTTGCACCTTAACTATGTAAAGAGGACACCCTTCACTTCATGTCTTTTGTGACACCCAACATCCATCTGCAAGAATCTTCAGGAGTAAAGGAGGCAGAGAAGAAGAAGAAGGCTTAGGTTATGACTTAGCTTAGCTTAGCTTATGAAATGTTGAAATAGTAACTTATTCATTTTATCAATTAGCTGTTGAAGAAAACAAATGTATATTCATGTCTTATTCAAGAAAGAATTGAAAGAATTCTAAATCTGTTACTTCTTTTCAAAACAGATTTGTACCTATACTCAGCAGTGGGGTCTAAATTTATCATTCTTGGGTTTGAAGTCCAGTAGTGTACAGCATGATGACCTTGTCAGCCACAGCTGTGGAGTTTACCCCAGGGAAATACTGGAGTGGATTACCAGTACAAGAAGAAAAGGTGAGTATTTCTATTTTTTTAATGGCAGCAATACAATCTTTCAAATAAGTTGCAGATGGAGATGGTTGTCAGTTTCCATGTGCAAAGGACAACAGACCAGACTATTATTATTGTTATTATTATTATAACTTTTATTTGTATCATCATTATTATTATTATATTAAAGAAAGAAAAAAAAATCATTATTATTATTATCAAATGTTATTGTAATTATTATTATTATTATTATCATTATTTTATCAGACATTACCTTCTTGGCTTCTCTAGTCACTGAAATCTTCTTTCATTCTACATTCCCCAAAGAAAGTATATTTATTCTTTTATTTTATACTGTTTTATGTGTGTGCATCCCTGCATTTAAAAGCATGTTTTCCTTCAAATTTGATATTCTTACATCTGTATTAATTCTGAAAATGGGGTCACATTGAGGTCACAGGTTTAAGGTTGCCAACGCACCTGGCAACCATTAATTTTATATCAAATGAAAGGTACTTATTGCCAAAATTAAACAATCTTGCTCTGTATTTTAGTGGTTTAATGTCACTTTACTCCATTTGAACTTACAGCTCCAAATATTACTGCTATACATAGATATTACATGCTCAATGGACATACATGTTAAGGAAGATTGTGATGTGTAGATGAGTCAACGTACCAATATTTGCTCTCAGAACCCAACTCTAACTTAAATTTCACATGCAGGGTTCAAGGTTATCCTCTTTTCCCCCCTTCCTCAGACTTCTTAAACATTAGCCTGTAGAATGCCAGGTAACAGTTTTTGAGGTTGATTTATACATGATAGCTGTACACAAATGATATAGTTTTTCATTTTATTGATACTCTTTAAAGGCATCGTTTAACAATGTTAAATCTGACATGCACGGTCATACGTCTAATCAGTGTCTGTGATGGTGTAATATTGAAGCCCTAAAATAAATTGCTTTTCAAAATGTTCAAGAAGTGCCTCATAAAAGTAAAAATCTTTGAGTGACCGATTTTAACATACTCGTTTTCCCCAATAGACTGTAGTGTTATGAAAAACATTTTTTTTTTTTAAATTTTGATTTCAATCATAAATATTTTGATAATCAGACAGACGATCGGCTTGTAAAAGTCATGGGCTTTCTAACTGACCTAAAGGTTTATAATTATCATTGCAGCATGAGCTAAATCCAGGATTTTGTTTCAGAATCTGAGACAAAGTTACCGGATCCCTTTAATGATAGAATAATGATGATTATTATATGATTGTACTTGTATCATCAATCATCACACATACAAAAAAGGTCAGAAATAATATGAAAAGATATTTTTTTAGCACTTTGTAAAATCTCACAATTATGAACCCAGTGCACCATTTCCTCTCCTTCTGTATTCTGTTCTGTAAAACACATAGAGACATGCAATTAGGCCTAAAATAAAAACTTGTTGTATTGCCCTTTGCAACCGACCCAAAAATCTGAAAATTAATCTATGGTCGGCATTTTAAAAAAGTTTTTTTTTTTCAACCGTTTTTTTGTAAATTAATGAATACAAAAATATGTATTTTGTTTGTTTAAATGGGATACAAGTGCATAAAATCAAATTATTCCCAAATTCTCACTCGTGCAAAACCATGGATAATAATGAGGTGAAAAAGATATGAATGGAATGATGACACTGAAACACATGTATCAAAGCATTAAAAACTGAGAAATATCAGCCAAAAGAGGCTGGGGAAAAAGAAACAAAAATCAAATCTGAAAAATATCGGCCCAAAGAGGGCGACAAAAAAACAAACTTTAAAAAAAAAACTTTTCCGACCGACCGACCCATGTTTTGGCACCCAAAGGGCAATGCAACAAGTTTTTATTTCAGGCCTTATGCCTACATGTATGTGTTAGAATGCGATATAGAAAAAGTGTTTAATTATTATCATTCTCTATCATTATTATTGTCAATCTTCAGGAGTCTGACTACATGTTTGAATTGAAAGACATTCTTTATCAGCTGAGTATCAACCCTGGCTTATTTCAAGAATGCATGAACTCCCTGACGGACATCCTTTCCGTGGCCATCAGAGAAGATTGGCAGCTGGATGAAGTGGCAGATGTCATCTTTGAGCAGGTATTTTCCAGCCATAGGCAAATTAATTTCTTTTCCACAAAATAAACAATAATATTAATAATAGATCACAATTATAATGCGCCTATACTTTGTTTCTAGGCGCAGTATATATTATTAACCCAGTCATTGGATTCAGGCATAACCGCACACAATGTATGCACATTCTCCACTCCCTGGGCAGCATTCTGTCCATCATGATGCTTGGTTAGTTGGTTGGTTTGTCATTGGATCTTTATATAGCACGTTAAATATTGAATTGCGGAAAGTATCGAATTGGTTTAAATGCAATAAATTAATCTTGAATGCTGGAAAGTCAAATTTTATATATTTTCATTCCAAATATAAACCGGTTTCTACAGAGCTCCTCAGTTCATATCAAATAAAAATGGATGATAATTTTCTTAATCGTGTTGCTAATACCAAGTTCTTGGGTATTTTTATTGACGAAAGCTTATCCTGGAAAACACATATATCCCATATTAATAAGATAATGTCCAGGAATACTGGTGTCATCAGCAAACTCCGCCATACTTTGCCTCAATCTGTTCTTCTTATGTTATACAATACACTTATATTACCGTTTCTTAGTTATTGCAACATTGTTTGGGCAAACACATACCCAACCAAACTGCATCGTTTATATATTCTACAAAAGAGGGTTGTAAGAAATATAACGCTATCTCATTATCAATCTCATTCAAGACCCCTTTTTAAACAACTTAATATACTGAATGTATACCAGTTAAATGAATATATGTGTGCTATACTTATATTTAAGAAGGAAAAAAGTCTGCTTCCTGAAAAGTTATCCGATATGTTTATAACAAACAGTACAATACATAACCATAATACTAGAAATAAGAAGAAATATCACCGATGGTGTGTTAATACAAATTTTGCATCATATTCTTGCAGACATCATGCACCTGAAATTTGGAACTTGCTTCCAACTAATATAACTTCAATCTCATTTTACAACAGTTTTAAACGTAATCTCAAAAGTTTCTTGATTGCGCATGACTCTCATTGAATGTATTTATCTAGCTTGTTACCCCTCTCTCTTTCACTCTCTCTCTCTTTCTTTCTTCCCCTTTGCTATCTTCTCACTTTTTCATCCTACCATGTTGTATATCATGTACTGGGTTTGTGCCGGTTGTTATGCAATTTCTGAATGATATTATCCGAAACTTTACTTGCTACTTGTTTTCTTACTATATTTATTATATCTAATTTGATAGGAAGCTGTCCAGACAAAACCTTTTCTTGGTTTTTTTACAGCTGTGCCTTATTCTGTTTTGTATTAATTCATTTCACATGTATATACTATCCCAATTTATGTATTATATTGTACATGAAATTGTATGTTTTAAATTTGTAAAAATGTTTTTAAAGATGGAATTCAATAAACTGAACTGAACTGAACTGTTTGTTTGTTTTACCTGACTGCTATTTAAAGAAATCATGTGTTTGCTTGTAAGTAGGCAACCAGGGGACATACAGCTTTAAGTCCTCTCCAAGGCACTTGGTAATGTGGATAAATGCCTTACCAAAGGGCACTAGCGCATAGAATTTGTTTTGAACCAAGGACCGACCTCCCGTTTACATCCTGCTTTACTCAATGTTCATGTATGTGCTGTATGTACAAAACCTGTGTTTTTTAAATGATTTAAATCATGATGTATATAAATTCATTGACTTTCATTGCATTGGCAGAGAAAATCAAAGTCAAATTTATTTATTTTCCATAAATAATTGAACATTTTCAAATTATTTATTTCCACCACCAAGACACATGACATAAGTGACCACCTGTGTAGAAAAACCACCTGTCTGTACTCTGTAAAGACCACATTTTTTTGTGTACATGAATTTCTTGTCTCCTTTGGTTTTAGTCAGTCATGGTACCAAAACTTTACGTACACAGAAGCCCTGATTATCTCTGTATAATTTCTCTTCTGTTTTCTGTCTCTTTTTTTTTTCTTCTCTGTTTTCTTCTTTCTCTTCTTCACTCTTCTTCTCTTCTCTTTTCACATATTATTTACATGAATTTCTTGTCTCCTTTGAATTTAGTCGACCATGGAGCCAAACTTCACATACACGGGAGCCCGGATGGTCGATCATCTCTATAGAAACTTACCCAATCCACCAGGCAGAAGACACATGCGAACCCTCATTAATCAAAGGTCAGTACTCGTTCACTTCCTGTTGTGGGAGTGTCGTGGTCGAGTGGTTTAAGGCGCTTGACTGGAGATGCGAAGGTCGAGGGTTCGAATCCCGACAAGGCACTAATTTCCTTTGGCAAGATATTAACCTGCACTTGCTACTCTCCACCCAGGTGTAAAATGGGTACCCGGTAGGATGCGAAAGTCCATGTGGTTGGTCGAGCAAGTTGTGCGCTTGAAAAATGGCGACTGGCTGGAATGCTCCCCAGGGAGTGGAAAATGTGCACACCTTGTGTGTGTGGGTAAGCCTGAATCCGATGACCGGGGTAATAATATATTTGTAAAGTGCTTACGCACATCGTTGGATTGATGTATTGAGCGCTATATAAAAAACAAAATATTATTATTATTATTATTATTTGTGCCTAGTCCAGACGTGACACTATTGTTTTGTAGTTTGTAGAGGTGGCGTGGTGGTCTATTGGATACGTCACTGGACTGTAAATCACATGGTCTGCGGGTCAAGTCCCGCTGCTGCACTGACGTCCTCTAACAAGATGTTAATCTTTCTTTGCCACTCTCCACCCAGGTGTAGTAAATGGGTAACCGGTAGGAAGATATTCCTTGAAGCTTGAGCACCTTAAGGTAGCTTTTTGCTAAAGCCAGTGTAATAATTACGATTGCAGGGTCCACAGGGATAAAAGTACTAATACCGATGAGGCTACCCTGGGTAAACAAGACATAGATTTATTATTAATATTACACTACAAATCACATCAGAAACTTTCCATTGAATTTCTTAGATTGTAGATGATCGGGAGGAAGATACTAGCAATACTACAGCTGCTGTGAATTTTGTTCATACTTGAATGCAATATTTTAACAAATGAGAAGTAGAAAATGATTTAGAGGTAAAAAGTTTAGATGTAGAACAAAATTTATATCATCATCAATAGTGATCTGTCAGTTTATGACAGGTTCAGTGACCCAATCAAAATTTTTAATCAAGTGTCTCTCCAAGTTCCTCGGTCTTGAGCCATCCATTTCAGCATTTCATACCCTGTTGCTCCACATTCTGTAATTACATCGTCTAGAAAGCCTTTACGAGGTCTTCCCCTCTTCTTCTTTCCATGAATACGACCTTCTATGACCCTGAGCATCAAGCCCTCATCATGTCGCACTATGTGTCCAAGCCATTTCTTCTGTCTCTCTCTGATCGTTTGAATCAGCACCCGCTTTTCTTGAGCTCGATGCAACACCTCTTCATGCGAAACTCTGTCCCTCCACGACACACCTAGTAATTTGCGCCAGCACCACATTTCGACCGCCTCCAATCGCTGCATGTCCTTTTTATATGATGTTTGAATTTTTTTTATTTTGTTTATTTGTTCTGATTTGATTAGAGCTAAGAATGTTGTTGTCAGGAGGAAAGAGATGGCGTTAGATCCTGCACAGCAGAAGAGGCTACATGGAGTTACTATGTTCATGGCTGAACTCTTCATGAATATGGAGGTAAGATTGGTTTGGCATTGGATCCTCAGGATGCAAAAAAACAACAACATCTTGCTGCAAACATAAACCATTCATGGGTGAATTTCTTCAAGCATACCTTAATTTTTTATAGACCAGTTTTGGAAACGCACCCCTCTCAAAAAATGAAATGGAAGCTCCTATTACCAATCATGTGAAAGAATATGTTTTGACTGATACGTGATGATATAAATTTTGCCGGGAAACCGCATACTAATTGATATATTCGGTAAATTATTATATCTCTCCGGACTGGATAGATATAGCATAGTCCCATATACATCTTTCTGTGTACAGTGCTTGTTACTTTACCAAGACTGGGCCAAATTTCTTATCATTTTGATGATTCCAGAACCTTGCAGTACACACCAATACTTATATGCTAGATGATCAACCTTTTCTGATTTCTTCTTTTTTATTGCATCTCAGCTCATTTAATTTTTTCCCCCCTTGTCTGTATGATTACAAACATATTTATCAATATAAAATTAGACATCACACAAAGAATTACATGAGAAGTATTTTATCAAGGCCTATCCCTACCACCCGTCTATAAAGACTACATTTGTTGTCTTCTTTTAGTCAGTAATTTACATTGCAACATGTATTCAAGGAACCTGTATATAAGGACCACCTGCCCCATAAAGAACACTTTTCTTTACTCCCTTGGGTGGTCTTTATATACAGGTTCACTGTATTTCATATCCAACTGAGCAATAAAACAAATCACTACTGGTAGAGAACATATTTGACCATCTTCAAAAGCTTTGTGGCACACATAAGGATTAATACAATTAATTGATGTAAAATTTGCTTGCAATTGCTAGATTGTCAATATTTTTTCTTCTTCTTCCAGATTGTAGGAGGAGATGGCACTGTTCAAAAGATCAAGGTTTACCGAGCAGCACTTCAAGAGCTTTTCGAGTCACTCACAGACTACCCCTCAGAAGCCAACCTCAAATGTCTGGGTAACATATTCAAGGTACGATGGTCTTACAAGTCTTGACAATGCTTTGCTTGCAACGCTCTTCTGGATTTTTCCTTTCTTGTCATGACCGCTCTTCGCTTTTCTTCATTTTCTTTTCTTGACTTACATTTTTCTTCTCTTGTCTTTTCTTGTCATTTGTTTTCTCTTTCTTCTCTTCTTATTTCTTTGCTTGTCTTCTCTCTCATTCTTCCCTTCTTATTTTCTTGCTTCTGTTCTCCCTTTTTCTTCTCTTCTACCCTTTCTTTCTTTTCTTTTTATTCTTTGCTTCTCTTCTCTTTCCTTGAATTGTCTCTCTTCTCTTTCTCTGTCTTTCTACTGTTCTATACTTTTTCTTTTCATTTTCTTCTCTTTTCACTTTACTCTTCTCTGCTCTACTCTTCTTCTATTTCTTCTCTTCTCTACTCTACTCTTTTCCCCCATTTTTCTTCTCAGATTATGTTATTCTCTCCTACTCCTCTCTTTTTCTTCTCTTTTTATGTCTGGTTGTTGTTGTATACAGTGTATTTTAGGTGGTCACTGACACCACTATAGCTTCTAATTCACCTTAATACATTTATTATATTCATTTAAAAAGTTAAGTGTTTTACATGTACATACTGACATATCAGTGAAATCACACTACAATACACAACACTGCACTACACTTCCTGATGTTGATAATGTAATAAAACTGCAAGATATGTTACATTTTGACATTGCAGTTGGCTGGGAAGACAATAGAGGATTACGATCGAGAAATGAGCAACAGTGCGTCCTCTGAGCTCATCAACAAGATCTTCAACGATGGAAGAAATTACATTGTCAATGGCAAAGTTGACAGGTAAGGCCTCCATTCCAAATCCTCATCCTTGCTGTTTTTCATTACAAAGTAGCTAAAAAATACTCCTGTTCTTGTTTTACAAATCATGCAATGTTTTCGTGGGGTGGGAATGAGGCCTAGAAAAAAAGATGTGGTATTAAAAAAAAAAATAGGTGCAAGCACCCTTTTTTTCCCCCTTATTTTCTCTGAATGCTTAAAACTGATTTTTGTTTTTATTCATTTAACTTTTTTTTCTTCTGAAAAAACGGTTTAAAAAAATTTATAAAAAGTCGACCATAGATTTTAAGATTTTGGGTCAGTCCCCCCAATATAGTAATTTGAGTTCTCTCACTTTTTATTTTTCCCTGTATTGAAAACATTACCGTAACAATGTAAAAAGAGAAAAAATGCTTCTGGCATGCTGTTACATTTCAAATATAAATATAAAATGCCTTTTACGATATAAGTTTAAAGAATTTAGTAAAAGATTGAAATATCAAGCTTACGGTAAAATTTATAAATTTAATATTTTTAATTTTTTTTTAATCTTTAAACATTAACATTGCCAAGGTTTGATGTTGTCCGCAAAACAAACTTTGTCTATTCTGTAACTCCTTTCTTTGAAGACGTTGTGATTTTCTATGGAAATATTAGCAACAGTTGAAATGAAGAAAAGAGAAGCTGTAATCCCCATTCAGAACATTACAGTTTTGGGGCAAAATTCATTGAAAATCCTCAGCAAAATTACAAAAGATCCAACGGTTGTCCTTTCTTGCACAGATCTGTTAGAGATCAATGGCTGCAGCTGATTGAATTCCGAGCTTCAGACTGGGGCAGGAGGCAAGTCAAAGGTCATAGGCCAAAGTACGAAGAGCCTGGTCCAGCAGGGGCAGCGGGGGCAGCTGCAATGAACGGTGCTGCTGGAGGAGATGTATTTACGGTGAGTGACCCAACATTTGCTCCGAGGGGGGTGTTTCACAAAGACTTAGATCGACTTTAAGCTAGACTTAACTATGGCAGGCCATTCATGCCACTGGTTGCTCTCACCATTGGTCTCTCAATTATGATCTTCAGATAATAGTTTTCCTTCAATAATGAACTATCAAAAAATGTAAATTCTGCAGATTTGTGACCATGATTTGTACATCCCTTGAGAGACCAATGCCAGTAAATGGTGAGAGAAAACAGTGGCAGGAACGACCTGCTATAGTTAAGTCCAATTTAAAGTCGATCTTAGTCTTTGTGAAACACCCTCCTGGTGACGTTTTTTCAGAGCTTTACTCCGTCAGAGACAGAGGTTTTGGTTTGCAATCTTGTTTTATGTTGTGTGAAGGGGTATGGTAGCTTTTATGGGCAAAAGTATCACTTATATAGTGTTGGCTACATTGTTAAAGTTAGAAATTAATTATTTGTTTAGAACTTTACTCCATCAGAGACAGTTTTGGTTTGCAATCATGTTTTAGGTCATGTTAAGGGCTATAGTAGGTTTTATGGGCAAAGGTATCAGTTATAATGTTAGCGTCATTGTTAAAGTTAGAAATTTATTGTATGTTATGGCAACATTGCTCTGGAGATAATTGTTCAGAGCTTTATTTTATCAAAGATTCAGGCCTTGGTGTTGCTATTGTGTTTCAGGTCAGGGTGAGGCGTAGGTTTTATGGTAACGTATAGCATTGGCTCCAAATTACATCTGTATGAGATATTGTCTCTGCCAAGTAATCGTCATCTTACAATCACGTTACAATGATTACAATCATACCTTGCTCCCCCTCCCCCTCCTCCCACCCTCTCTATCTGTCTATATATACATGTCCTACAATCATGTTGAGATACATATATGTTCTCCATCTTATTATTTCTCCTATCTCCCTTGCTCCTCTGCCGTCCCTTCTCTGTCTGTCGGTCTGTCTTTCAATCCCTCTACCTCTATCTCTCTTCCAAGGTGATAATTTTGAATTTTTATGAATCTTTCATAGTTTTCTTGTTTTTTATGTTTCCCCTCCATTTAGAATATTCCTACATTTTACAGTGCACAGGGAACGGTTATATCTGCAGAAGAAGCAGGTAAGTTGATAATGAAAATAAAATAAATAATCACTTGGATTTAGACAGCAGTTACTTTGTGTGAGATAGTATTTTAGAGAAAATGAGAGAGAGAGAGAGAGAGAGAGAGAGAGAGAGAGAGAGATAGAGATAGAAAGAAGGTGGGTGGGCAAATGTGTAAACTTTTACTGTAGTTTTAATCCTATATTGTGATGAGTAGAAAATCAGTCAAATTTGGTTGTTTGGTTGCAATGTCACATCACAAAATATATACAATAGTGTTGATTGTCCTATGATGATGTTGATATGACTTGATATGTTATTTAGTAGTTCTTGCTGTTTGTGTAGAAAAATGACTTTCGATTTGTTATTGTGCAGGTTTCAACGCAGAGCTGTTTAATCCTGAGGACTATTCCTACGAAGATGAAACCGACCCCAACAATCTGAACTTTGACCCTGCCCTTGATCATTATGGCTGGCAGCCCGAATTAGGGTGAGTCGAGTGGTTCTTTACAGATATTTTGTTGTAGTTTCGAGAATGTCTGTATTAGAATTGTTTGAATGAAAATGATGTGTTATGTGATCGGTTAAGCCTTGTGAGTGGCTTAATGTTCACACCCGTTCACAATTTGATTGTAGTATAGGTAGGGCTTTTGTCTCCTTTTACCTCTATCTCACCTTTCCCCTCCCTTTTTTCTCTTTCTTTTCTCTCTCTCTTTCTCTCTCTCTCTCTCTCTCTCTCTCTCTCTTCACATTGTATTCCTCCATCTATTTCTCCATCTTTCTTACCATTTTTTAATCCCATTCTCTCCTAGTTTTAGTCTATTCCTCACTTTATTTCCCCTCAGTGTCTTCCTCTCTTTCATTCACTATCCCCCTGTGTCTCATTATTGACCTCACCCCTGTGTTTAGTTTGTAATTTATCTCTCTTTCTTTCTGTCTCCCCCTTTCTGCCTCTCTTTCTGTTCGTCTGTCCGTCTGTCCATCTGTTTGTCTGTCACTCTCTCTCCTTTCTTCTTTTGACACTATTGCATTAGGGTCTCATGATTTGTGCTCCCATATTCATTTCCATACATGACATTTAGTTCCAATCTTTTGAAGAAATCTCCACTTTTTCTCTTTAAAGGTATAGACTAGTTTTGAAAATGCCCCCCTCTCAAAAAAATGAGATGGAAGCTCTTATTACCAATCATGTGAAAGAATATGTTTTGACTAATACGTGATGATACAAATTTTGCCAGGAAACCGCCCACTGCTTGATATATTTGGTAAATTATCATATCGATCCGGCCTGGATATATATCGCGAATGCACTTCAACATTGAACATTTGGGCATAAATTTCTGCTTTTTTGTGAATTTAGGTTGTATTGTCATCTAAACCTCTGGAGGCAATATTTAAACAATATTAAATGGATATTTTGCACCAAAAACCCTGAACCGCAATTTTACCACTACCGGTCTATATCTTAAAAAAGTTTCCTTGTTTTTTTTGCTTCCCCTCATGCAGGTCGGGTTCGGAGTCCGGAGTAACGCAAGACATGGCCGATGCTTACGAGTCCTTCCTGAGGGAGACGGGCCAGGAGGACCAATCGGGACAGACGTGGGCTTATGAATGAGGTCATGTGACTGTTTGTGTCCTCATGATCATGTGACTCTCTAGGACAGGGTGTCGGTTCAATTGAGAACTGCTTGCTTGAGGATAGCGACTTCCCACCTGGGCCCCATTTCACAAAACTTTTCATCAGTGACATATGACAGTTTTTGTTATAAGCTACTGAAATCCTTGCTTCTGATTGGTTATCAGCAGATTTGTCACTAATATTTGTCATTTGTCATTGAAAAAGGGCTTTGTGAAACACCCACCTGTTGTCTCGGAAGGGAGTCGGAAGGGACTATAATCCATGCGCACATGCTGCCGATCTTCAGGGATGTCTTTGGAATCAGCAACAACCTTAAACAGTACGGTTAAAGAGTACAAACAATGTGACTGCACTTTCTACACTCGTCGTCAGTATTCTGTGCTTTGATGTGTTCCAACGTGTCTACAGGTGCTTCTGTGTTCACTTAATACCTCTTCGAAAGAAACAAATGAACAAATCTACTTACAAAAGTATATATATATTTAAATCCCAGTACATAAATGTGCACTTGCACCTATGTAATTTTTTTGAGAATCAATCAATTGATTGTGTCTGAGTTAGCGCAATTTTGGCTCAGAACAGACAAAATATATATATATATATATATAATTGTGCACACTGTGTGCGTGAATCAATCTGGGTTATAATGATATCTATAAAGCATAAAAAAGAAGATATTCTGTTTTTGAGTGCCATATAAATCCAGATTTATTCAGTATCATTATTAATTCTTGATAAGGTTAGATTTCTATAACATTACGTAAGAGTTCTGGACAGTACAAACTAAAAGAAGATACAAACTTCAAAGCAGGGACACATGAAGATGAAGAATACTTTGTAGGGTGGTCCAATTCCTTCATAATACATATCATGATTGACATTAAATCTGTTTTTTTACAATGTACAGAGAATGAGAAAAGAAGAGCAACAAAGAAATATGAATAGAAGAAAGAGAAGAAAAAAATGTAATAACTAAAAAATATTAAAAAACAAAGACTTTTATTGGACTTTACTGGACTCATAGTAATAATCTTCAGTCTATTTTTCTCCTTTTAACCTCTATTTTGTCAATGTTTGGTTATTCTTCATATACATGTAGCTCCATAGAGAAATCTTTTTTTGTTCCTTTCATCCGTATTTCCCAAGAATGATTGTAACAATAGACAAGAAGGTTGACACCCCCCTCCAAAAAAAAATCAGGAACAAATTTATCTCTAAGAACAAGCAGTTGATTTTACCAAATATTACTGAAATGGGTACACCACGTACACTGCATATGTTTGTAGATATATGTATGTAAATGAAGATAAAAGTGCAATTTGAAACACAGGTATATAATGGCGTATATTTGTTTGTCAATATATGTTGGGTGTCATTCAAGGAGTTTGAAGAAGTCACACCATTTTGAATGTTTCACGATAACAGATGTTCATTGTCTATCAGAGCTGCCAACCAATACGTTTTTCCCGGAGTTATTCCGTTTTTTCCTCCAAATTAAGGTAGTATGTTTTTTCTTCATAAAATACTTTTTTTTAATATATATATATATATATATTTTTTTTAAACATACCGCACTTCAAACTACTGACCTAAAATGTTGATTTGATCACAAATTCAATAGAAAACTAAGTTGAAAACATACTTGAAGAGAAAAATATTCTCAAAAAGAATGAAACGCCAATAATAGTAGAATAACAACCAAAAACATACTTGTAAATAAACTAAAGGTCCTACCGATATATGGAAAAAACAGCAAAGGTTGGCAGCTCTGGTCTATGGTGCATTGGCTTAGCGAAAGGTGTGGAAGGGGAAAGTTAGGTTTATTTGCTAATTTCGCATTCTGTCAGCTTTTTGAATGTGATGGAGGTGCAATGGTCTTGTAACCTGGAGGTCCCGAGTTTGAAACCAAGTCGGTGTGCTAAAGGCATTAATACTCATTAATAATTTTGATTAATACTCATTAATAATTTTGTAATATTTTGTAATTTTATTCTATTTTTACCCTTATAATAAGCAGGATCAATATTTTTGGGGTACTTTTATTTAATCTGAGAATTACCTTAAAAAGCCTTGGCGTTGTTATTCCCACCAATTTATGAGTAGTACAAGTTTCTTTTGTATCCTTGTTATATGTATGTACACATGTTGATTGTATTGCTTTGTCTTTTTTAACCAAATGTAAAGATGAACTTGAAACATTAAAACCAACATAACAAGCATGCACATGCTGTCTTAGCAATCTGGTAAAAACAAACCAAATCAATTAATATGTAAAAATTATTCCTGTTCAATATTTTCACAATGTCACTTAGATTGCCCCCCCCCCCCAAAAAAAAAAAATAAAAAAAATAAAAAAAAATAAGAAGTGAGAAAACTTGAAAAGGATGCTTATAGTAATATGGTTATGTACAAATCTTTTCCTTTTTTAACAAAATCTTCTGAAAAGTTTTGTGGAGGATCTGATGAGAAATGTGGTGTCCACCATGTTGATAAAGAGTATTAAAGCAAGGATCTCGATCTTAATCACCCTCTTTGATGACTAATATGCTGTATTGGATGTAACGATATTATTGCACCGTTTCTTGCCTTGTGTATATATTTCAATTATAAAAAATAAGGCAATGGTATTACATTTTTCAAAACAAAATGAAAGTTTTTAACTGAATATAATAAGCTCTTCTAAACACAATGGCCCGAATTCACAAAGGTGGTTTTCGTGCATCATTTGAGGCGTTTTTACAAACCAGGTTTGTAAAAAACGTGTAAAAGGCGTCATGACGTACATAAACCAAAGGAGGTTTGTCGACAAACCTCCTTTGTGAATTCGGGCCAATTTGTTGAACTTGTAACTTTAGGCAAGAAGACTATTTGGACTGTTTGAAGAAAGATTTTCATCTTTTGTAACTACTTCGTTTACATGCACTTCAGGAAATTACAACCATGACCTACAAATCTATTTATTTAAAGAAATATTTTATGCAGTTAATGCTTTCAGTGCTTGTGTCCTAAGCACCTTAAATGGATCTTTGTCACCATAGCCCCCCACCCCCCCAAAAAAAAAAAAATAGAGAAAAAAAGGTGCATTGACCTGTAAGTAAAACAGTACCGGTAGGTGGTCAAGTAAAAAGAAATATTCCTTTAAGAAAAAAGAGGGCTTGTTTAGATGTGACGTTGGCAAAACCACTGTTTTTTTAAATACGTAAAGTGTAATACCCTTCACATTTCTGTTTATATCTTATAACATAGAGCTTGGTGAACATGCGCAAGTCCTTGGTTGCGTGGTTGCCGCTCACTTAAATGTTAAAAAGTCGGGGCCTTCCTTGCAGTGGTTTTAACGCACCAATTCTGAACGAGCCTTTATTTTCCTTTGCATTAATGTCCTGGTTTTCCATTTTTGTTTTGTGACCGAGACATTGTGGACAGACACATCTTCTGTTGTAAATTTCAAGCAAGCAATTCAGTACGCGCTATGATGAGGTTCTGGAATCTCAGTACTAAATCGTATCTCTCAGCTGTAACAGTTCCAAACTTAATTTCCTTTGTTCGAGTTGGGCATTATGATTTTTAGGTAGTAATAACATTACTGAAAATATTATATGTATTGTTTACCCAGGGTAGCCTCATAAGTATTAATACTGTTCTCCCTGGCGGTCCTGCAATTAGTTTCAGCTAGATATCAAGCTTATTGCTTCTTTATCTACCAAATTGCTAGAGATATTAAGCTCTAGCCAGTTTCAAAACCCCCCAAAAAATTGCAGGGTAGTTTTTCAGCTCGAGAGAATGCAGACACCCCTGCTGATGCAATGCTTGTATAAACTTCCATACCAGTATTATGGTGTGGTAAATTTATTTTCAAACCTTGTATATTTTCTGGCCCATAGGCAAGGGTCTTCCACTCGACAGTAAGTTGACCAATATCTGTATTAAAGGCATATCTGTACAAAGTGTAGGAATTGCAATTTTAAAATGTGAAAATTGGAAATCTGTAAAATTTGTACAGCAACTTGTTTGTATTAAAAAATAAAGTTTTCTTTCTTTTGAACAATTTTTGAGTTTGCTGTATATTTGGTTTGCTTTTTGATGAACAAAATTTTTGTGAGAAGTTATTTTTTTACTGAGCTTGACGTATGAAATACATGTGAATATTTGCTAGGAGAGAGAGAGAGAGAGAGTACACTAAAGAAGTGAAATCAATATCACTAGGACACTAGTTTCCCAAAATACAATTTTTTTCAGGGGTCCAAAAATTTGGAATGACATACCCATAGATATTCGACTGAGTCCATCACTAAATAGTTTTAAAAGAAAATTTAAACTGTACCTGTTAAGACAATACTCAATAGTGCAATAACCTATATTCTTAATGTTCATCAGACAGAAAAGTGTGTGTTGGTGTGTATGGGAGAGAGTGTATGTGTGAATGCAATTTCCCCCCCCCCCTTTTTTTCCTTCCTTTTTATAACAAATACAAAATTTAAATAATGTACTTAGTTTTTTATACAATTACTGGAGACAGACTTTTACATAAGGCCCGGCCTTCCTGTCTAGTCTCCAAATACTTTCATTAATGTACATGTTTAAAAATGTTTTTTCCCTTGTCCATCATGTCTTCTCCACTTGTGTTATCCTCATGTTATATATTGATACATGTATTTTATTCTAACTTTTATATGTTTGCTTTCCTTGTATATTTTTAATGAAAGTATTGAATAAAGTGAACTTGAACTTGAACTTGAACTTGAAATATATGTAGAGTTCCACATGAAGGGAAAGAGAGCCAGAAAAATGGAAGAGAGAGATAGAAAACAGAAAACAGAAAGCCAGAATTATGAGAGAAAATTGACAAGATTCATCCGATCTCTCACACCAAAAATTGATCAACACATGTTCCTGTTCTTTTGAATGTGTAGTCCCCCCCCCCCCAACCCCCTCTCTCTCTCTCTCTCTCTCTCTATCTCTCTCTCTCTCTCTCTCTCACTCTCACTCCCTCCCTCAATCCCTGCATTTGACCTCTTTTTCAATATTGGTGTCAAGCCATCAAAACAGAGTCCCATGCACTTTATAATAACAGCCAAAGTTTGAGACAGAGCCAATGAATTTAATAAGATCAACCCATAGCAGTTTATGTTCACTGTAGTACGCATTTTATTTTATCTTTTGATATAGAATGCTCTGAATTACATACCGGTAATAATATACATGCGCAGAAAGTGTGAAAATAAGTGAAAAATTTGAGTTCACTACTGTTGCAGTACATTGAGCCATTCATGAATAAGAGAAATCTAATCATAAATAATAATTGAAGTCTCTAAATTGGCAACACCGAGTGAGATTTATGCCATGCTAAAAGACATGACATATTGCCAAGAATTTCTTCATTTATATATATCTTTTTCATTTTTGTAAGGAATATTGTACATCAAAGGGCATGAATAAGAGAAATCTAATCGTAAATAATAATTGAAGTCTCTAAATTGGCAACACCGAGTGAGATTTATGCCATGCTAAAAGACATGACATATTGCCAAGAATTGCTTCATTTATATATATATCTTTTTCATTTTTGTAAGGAATATTGTACATCAAAGGGCAGGAATTTTGTGAGTCTATCTCCAGACCAAGAAAGTCACATTGTGGACAGACACATCTACTGTAGTAAATTTCAAGCTAGAAAATCAGTACGTGCTATGACGACGTTCTGAAATCACATTACTAAATTGTATCTCCTAGCTGTAGCAGAACTTCATTTTACTTTGTTTGTGTTTTGTATTATGATTTTTAGGTAATAATATTAATAATGATATACATGTCTTGTTTACCCAGGGTAGCCTCATAAGTGTTATTACTGTTCTACCGTATCTTTAATACTGTTCTCAACGAGGCTTTATAAATGACAATTCTGGGTATCTCTATAGTGTCTATGTCTGCAGACTGCAATCATCTACTTTATTCAAAAATATATCTCTATACAAATATAAAAGAAAACACACACGTTATCTCCATTTTAGTACAGGTTTATTGTCGTTTGGTTGATAACCAGTCTGTCTACTTTTCAACTGGCCTATTCCCATGTGGTCTACACCCATCCTGTGTATTATCCACCTGGTCTAATAATTCTTTCCTCTATTTATCATTTGGTCTAATGACCATTTAGGCTAATAGACATTTCGTCTAATCTCCAATTAAGTCTACTACCCATTTTGTCTATTGCTCATTAAGTCTAATTTCCAGTAGGTCTAATTCCCAATTAGTCTAATGATGCCCATTTCATCTACTATTAATATGGTCTAAAGATCATTTAATCATAAATAATACTAATCATCTAATGATTATTAGACTTTACTGATAGTAGACGAAATGGGCACTAGCCAAACTGCTTATCAAACTAAATGAATAATGGACCAAATGGGTAGTAGACTTACCAGAGAATAGCCACCATGGAAATTAGACCAAATGGCTATTAACCTAAATGGTCATTAGACCAAATAAAAAGTAGACAAAATGATTATTAGACATTGTGGACAGCAGACTTATGTCATAAGTAGGGAATAGACTAATTGGGTAGTAGACGAAATGGTTGTAGACCAAATGGCAATTCACCTTTAGTACATACATGTACATGTATCAAAAGCATTATTGCTCATCCTCACTACCACTACTAGACGAATAGCATGAAACCAACGAGAGTGAGCTTTGATAGAGACTATCCGTTCTTGAAACTTCTCCCTCGCTTAATACAACATTCAAACTGGGTGACCCGCGTTCACATGTAGAAATCTTCGGTACTGCGCTCGTCTCTATCGGTTCAGAGGTTCTTATCTGGTTGTGTGAACAAGGCCCAAGATTGTCAGTTCCATTAGAATTACTCTGTACATTTGCAGTGCAGCGAGGGTTCTCTCTGATGCTATGTGTACTTTGCGTGTGGCTCGGTGAGGATGCGTTCATGTTTGATGTTGAGAATTTTCTGGTACAAACGTTCAGTTTCTCTGTAGTTCTTTCTGAGGTTTGAACACAGCATGATGGTGAGCTTGAGGTGCTACTTGATGGATACTGGAGTGCCTCCATACTTCCATCTTCCAGGCTCTGCTGTGTTGACGGTGTGGAAGACGTTCCCTCTGGTGATTCATATTCTGCTTTCGTCTCTTCTACCGTTTCATCCCGCACCCTTTGTATACCTTCAGTATCATCTACTTCTAATTCATCAAACTTTGCATCTCTGCTCTCCTTGCCGCGAAAGACAGATTCCTCTCTTGCGACGCTCCCTTCTGAAGCCGACGGACCACATCCACCGTCTGCATTCCCGGACCTATTACCAGACAACTTGGACCTCTTGTGTAATTCATGACTAACAGCAGAGGTGTCATCCTCGCTGCGTTTACGTTTTCTTTTCACAATGCTTCCTGTAGTCCCACATATCAAGGATTTTGTTGTTCTCCCAAACCACTCCTTGGCTGAAGCCTTCAGGCCACTGCTGCTCCTGCTGCTGTTTCTCTTGGACCCTGACGACCCAAAGACCGATGCCATCTTAATGACCTTGTTGATAAGTGTTTGCTGTGCTCCAGAAGATTTCTTGCTCGAGGAGGAGGAGGATGGTGATGAATGGGACGAGGAAGAACGAGGAGAAATTTCAATGCTGTTGGGGGAGCTCACAGTGGATGGGGCAAATATGTTTCTGTTCTGGATCGACTCACGCTTTTGTTCCCTCTTTTCCTCGTAAGCTGAAATGAAGGTTCAAAGATAAGAATGCCATGTCATAAACCAGTATAATCAAGGCCTTTGAAGTCGTTCCTAGACAATCATAAACTATCAAAATAGTAAAGAAGTGAGAAAATGACCATGAAAAACTTGAATCAACATTCTGGAATACAGTGTCAAAACTTCTGGTTTCCTAAACTGCAATAAATCTGTGGTCGAAGAAGAGACTGCTGTGATGCAAATCATATATTTTAATGACTATCAAAATAAAAAAATATAAATTTAACCCTCCAGTCCCGCCCTCCCACTCAGTGTTATTTAGGGTACTCATATGCGTGTTCCCAGCACCCCCCCCCCTTTTTTAGCATAAGTCCGGTGTGTAAAGTCAATACGGGCAGATCTTTTACTTTGTAACGTGCCAGAGATTTTGGGAACATGCATGCGGTCCCTCCGTTTCTGGAGTGGGGGGGGGGGGCCGGGCCGGGCTACCAGTACATTATCCAGGGAAAAAAAAAAGAATATGTGAAGTACACAACATGCATCTCCCAAGTGGCACTGGTAGTTCCTTTCAGAGCAACTACTGTGAGTCAACAATATACCAGTTTACTGACATATTTAAATTGATGGATGTTTCTTTCCTGGGGATCTAGTGACAAGTTATTCCATTAACCTGTTACAGTCTAGTCTTGTCTATAGCAACCGCCCAAGGGAAACACATTTAGTACATTGAGAAACCATTTTCAAAGAAAACAAAAAATATGGTCTTTGCAGACAGGTGGTCACTAAGGCAGGTTCGACTGAATTAATGAATGAACTACAATACCAGTAATCCAGTCTGCATATATTACTTGTTCCTATGTCGGGCAAGCCTTGGACAAGCTTTTGGGTCATCAAGATCACCCTTTGTTTATAAAGTATGCATACAATTTAAATATGTTAGTAAACCGGTCTATTGGGGTAAACTTACATCCTGGAACTGAGAATTTGAGAAGAGAAGCTAATTTCTTGTCCTCCTCAGACTCTGGTACAAGATCAATCTCCAACGATGACTTTGACAGGAGAGCATTGTCACTGGCCGCCACAGCCAAGAGCTCTTTCTTCTCCACCTAGTCATGACAACGTAAAGAAAATTGGATTAAAACATAAATGCTGCATTCCCTTTAAAGCAATTTAAAGCACAAGGACACATACTAATGAACACTAATCAAAACAATTCGGTGCTAAGTATTAGGAAAACAAAGCGAAAATCCTGGATTGCATTATTTTCTTGCAAAATGGAATTTGCAGATATTCATGATGTATCTCTATACCCCTTTGGCAAGCATCTATAAAATAATAATAAACTACTTTCATTTCTAGAAAGAGTCATTTTGCTACAAATGCTTTAAAAGCAAATTTGTAAAGAATCATGATGTGCTTTGGGTAAACTGTGTACCTTAATAGTGCACTTTGCTTTAAAGCCCCACTGCACTACTTATAGCTATTTGCGCCCTCTATATAGCAAACAATGCCTAATCAGTGACCATTGGTCCCCCATGATCCCCCTTTTCTTGTGTTAATTGAGAGCTGAGTTGATGAGATAACCACCTATCAGGGACCATGCAGCGAGGTCTAATCCCCCTAACCAAACTAGTACAGATGGGATTTAAGTAAAGAATCATGATATGCTTTGGGGAAAACTCTCAACTTTATTAGTGCCTTTTGCTTTAAAGGACTTTAGTGGAAAAAAATAAAATAAATAAGGAGTGATTTGAACTTCGCCTTCCTTCCAAGAAATGTTTATGTTTACCCTAAATTTCTTCCTGAGAGCCTGGCTCTGGGCGTAGTCGTCTTTCTTGGCTGACTGGATCTCGGCAATCTTCCCGAGAGATGGAGCGGCCTTCTTTAGCTTCTTTGTATCATCGACGCCATGCTCTAACTTATACATAGCATCTCGAGATAACTTCTTCACAGCTTCCCTGTCTGTGTATATTAAAGACATTAAATAAAAAGTGATACTGTGAAACTCATTTGGTAATACAGGGTCACAACATACACGTTTTACTTTAAACTTTACAATGCCCCCCCTCCCCTAAAAAAGGGAGTTAAAGCAACAGAAAAAGAGAAGAGAAAAGGAAGTGACAGGGGTATGAAAGAGATACCAGTCTATGCAGAGATAGGATAGAGGGGCAAGTGAGACATGTTTCTATCTATCAAGGGGGATATGCTAATAAAGGGGGGGGGGGAGATGGTTAACTGCATTTTCATTCAAAAGGGACTAAATCCACAGAAATTAAAATCATACACATTTTTTAAAATGAATTTAACTCACAAAATGATGTATTCAAGGCAAAGAAGTTACAAGGGTAAGCGGTAAATCAAAAATCCTTGATTTACTCGAAAACGCCATAAGTGGATTTACTCCTTTTTAAATGAAAGTCTTAATCGGTCATTGACCTACCCTCGGTCAGGACCTGTTCATTCTCAGCCATGTCCCATTTCTGGTTCTTGCGCTGAGCCCCGCTAGTGATGGTGTAGTCAAAGTTCTTGGGGTCGGTTTCCATGACGATGTAGTTATCACAAAGGTGACACTTCATCTTGAACTCGAAGATGGGAGTGGTGTAATACTTTCCCACCTTCTTCTTCTCTGCGTTGTATCTCACACCTGGATATTAAAGCAGAAGTTAACAAGAGAATGAAAATTCATTGAAAGTCTGAACTTGCAAAATTGTAAGAGGTCTATTAATTTCACTAAAGAATAACAGATTTTGGCTCTTTTAAAAATCTTTTAAAGCTTACATTTTGGAGTATTCAACAAAGGCCCTAATTCAACCAGTCCTCCTTTCTTTTGTGAGTTACAAAAAGCACATCACTCAAAAAACAACAACAAACAAATTACAAGGACTATGAATAAATCAGTTGTTAACTGTATATGAAAAAAAAAATGGAATTCAGCTAGGCATTCCTAACTCAGAAACTTTAACTTACCCATGCCGACATGATTTCCGCATCCCCCACACCAGATGTTGTAGGGCATCTCAAAGCGGATCACCAAGATGCCCTGGCTCAGTTTCTTGGCCCTCTCTCTCAGCGGGTGAGAGTTGCGGTACTTGTTGATGCTCTTGTGCTTGGCCGGATCGAAGTCCGGCGGATAGTACCGGTTCACTTGCTTCCTCTCCGCCTAGGAAAAGGTGGGGACAAGAAATTAATGATAATGAGGACAAAAGATCATATGGGAAAAAAAAGGACATATTGCAAATTTATTCTAATAAGATGGCAGATCAGGGACTACCCAAAGTAAATATGATTCCTTGTTTCTCATCTAGTTCTTTTGAAATTGGGGGTAGAGGGGGGATTCATTTTCTTCTAACGATTTTCCTTGGTATAACAATGATATATCTTTATATGAAATAATGCCATCAAAGTATATCACGCATGTGTGATCATTTAACAATGATATATCTATATATGAAATAATGCTATAAAAGTAAATCACACGTGTGTGATCATTTATGATCTAGTATTTTCTTCTTCTTCTCCTTTACTTCAGATTACTGTCCAACACCCCCCCCCCCCCCCAAAGGGGTTAACGGACAGGGTAGGGTGCGATGTTGGTAATTGCACAGAGAAAGAGAGGATTGGATAAATGTTATTTTGCTCAGTGAGGTGGTTGTGGACTGCTATTTTAAATTTATTTTTGATATATGGTGTATGATTTAAGGTAGTAAAGGTAAGGTATTCCAGTCTGTGTTTTTTTTCTACCGTAATGAGCATCTGAGACATTACGGTAGATAACTTCACACAGGAGCGCGCCCGCCCGCAACCTACTATCGGTATGTACTTGTATTGTGCAGCAGTTTGCCGTGAAACCTGTGAAAAAGTGTATACTAAATTACTAATATCAACGTTTATCAGAAAAATACTCCAAAAATAACAAGAAAATTGACACAAAACAGGTAATACCGGTAACCATAACAACTTTTAACTCATGATCTTTATTAGGACATAAATGAATATTTACTTCATTTTGGGTATGTTTTAGTAGGGTATCTCCACGCCGGAGTTACGGGTCAAATTTTGGATAGGTTTCTGAACAAGCGTCAATTTATTTTGGGGGGCCGGAGGGGGGGGGGGGGGGGGGGCGCTCTGCGGGTTTTGGGTTCCTGATCCGCGCGCTGGCAATGCAAAAATTGATTAGGCCCTATGTGTGATAAAATAACCCCAGTTCACTGTCTACTCTTATGGTTTGTCCGTCTTCCCACGGATTTATCACTCGTAACCCATCACCAGCACAACCTTCAGTAACGGGGAAAGCACGGGTGATAACAGGCGGTGCTGCTGCTGGGATCCACAGGCACAATAGTCTACATCAACGATTCCCCGGCGATTCCCCGGCCCCGTCGTTCAGTTTTAATATTACGACTAGATCAGTTAAAAGGTTGTGCCTGAATGCTTCCACCACTCTATAACTCCATTAAATGTTGGATATCTACAAAACGCTGGCATTCACTTACCATTTTTGCAAATTTTCAGCTTTTTCACAGCCACAGGTTAGAAAAAAAGGTCCACTTTCTAGGTTTCCGTCCTACGTACGTACGTAAACTCGCTATGTACGTAGCAATGGGAGAAGTATGGTAAGCCAGAAGATTCCTTTTTCTTCTTTCGCTTACCATACCTAAAAATCTAAATAAATACACGAATATATATGAAATTAATTAAATTAAAGCATCATAAGCAAGGGCACCAACAACCATATGGTTTAAAATTGAATGTAGGGAAGTTCGGAAGTTGCTGAGCACAACATTATGCACAGTATTCTGCACATATATTAAAGAGCTATAGCACACCAAAATAATTACAACAAACACATATGTTATTTGATGGTTGCAAATGATCGAGCTTTATGAAAGCTTCAAAAAACAAAAAACAGAATTGAAATCGGTCAATGCGTTGTGATTTTATACCATTTTTTTGATATCGCAAAATTACCGAAAAACCTGCCAGAAATGGTCAAATTGTCAAAAATGGCATAATTCGACAAAGTTGACAACTTAATTCATCACTTTCTTGAACACAAATAATAAATTAAATTATCAGACACTAAAATATCATCTTTGTGGTAAAAAATACAAAAAAGAAAATTCATATATCTATTACCGTTTTCAAAATAGAAGCCAACAAAACAAGTCATTTTTGCCATTTTTGCGAATCTGCAGATATAAAAAAGTTGTGAAAATAACTAAGTCCGCCAAATTAATATGCGCATATGTAATCGAATCAAAACCGAACATGATACATCAGTGAAACCTATGTATATCAGACAGGTATGGAAATATATTTCATTTGTAATAAAATAAAATCATGACTATTCATCAAATATGCAAATTAGGTCATTTCAGCTAATTATATATTCGCGCACTCATTATTCAAATTAGGAAAGTCAAACTGTTCATTTTGGGGGCATTTTTTAAATCATATATTCATAGATCATATTTACACCAAATATTTACCTTAAATCAGTGGCGGATCCAGCCGGCGGGAAGAGGGGGGGGGGGGGGGGGGCCAATCCGTGACAAAATATTAGTTGCGACTCAGCCACCGGGGGGGGGGGGGGGGGGGTAAGAGGCACTTTTTTGGTTCAATTTTTCAGGAAATATTTTGCGCCAACTCAGTCAGCCGGTGAATAAGCGGGGGGGGGGGGGGGGGGTGAGACCACTATTTTTGTTTTTTTCACCCAATTCGTGAGATTTTTTTTTTAATTCTTTTTTGTTGTTGACCCGTCAGCCCCCCCCCCCCCCCCGTGGATCCGAGCCTGCAGAGGATCCAGACGGCGTCAAGGGGGGGGGGGGTGGGGTAGCCAATTTAGTGCCGACTCAGCCGGCCGGCGAATAAGCGGGGGGGGGGGGGCTTTTGTTTTTTGTTTTATAAAGGTTAACTTTACGCTATTATCCTGGTTTTTTTATCGTTTTGGGGGGCTAGGGGGGGGGGCGGGCCGGAATAATCGCTACGTGGATCCGCCCCTGCCTTAAATTCCTAATATTTTTGCAATGCCAATACAATATGGCGATGGAAATTACTTGGATCACCGTCACAGCTATTTCCTCATGTGTGTCACAAATAATTCAGAAAAACTGATCATATAATACAAATTTATAGACTTTCAGCTACATCACAGTATATTTGCCTTTTTCAAAGATGTCAGATTTAAGGATTTATGACGATCTTCCGAGATACCATTCAACAGGCCATAACATTCCACAGGGACTGAATTTCAGAGTGGAAAAAACTTTAGTGACCCCAGTATAGTTGTGGCTACCTTGAGTGTAAATAACAAATTAATTCAATGAGTGAAACACATGAGGATATAGCATTTTTGTAGGGAAATTTTATACATTGAGGTGCATTTTTTTCACCACGCAGAATAGCAGCGCGAGTCAATGGGCGATCAGCGGGCCATGTCACACATGGCTGAAAAGACAATATTTTAATTCAATAATTAACATATTTCCCACATGCCTATAACAATTAAACTACACTTACAAAAATTGCTATTTCTACCAACTGACTGCTGTTGTGTGTGTGTGTTCGCGGGGCAGACTGTTTGCACAGGCAGTGTGATCACCCTATGATGAGTAGGGTCTATATAATACAGGCATAGGCGCCGGAAGTGGGTGGGGGGGGGGGGCAGGGGGGCAAATGGCATTTTGGCTCCCCCAAACTGGTTTGTATTTTTAACGCAAAAGAACATAACAATAATAAAAACCTGAATGAAATCACATATAAAAAGTACATTCAAAGAAAAGGCAAGTTAACAGGAATTACATTTTCTAAACATTCCGCATGCCACCTATATTTATCAATGGAAGTTTTTATAATAGCGATACGCGCATATCGTGGAAATATTGTGAGAGGATGAGAAAGCGTGTGTGTCTTTTGTTGTAGGGGTGAGAAGATATGAACCCCTGAACGCTTGCGGGGGGGTATTTCTTATTCGATACCAGTGATTTACAAATGTTGCTGAAATGACATGATTTTCCGGTATTTTGTTTCCATTTTAGTCATACCTTTTTATGCGTTTGTTGGAAAATTAGAAATTCCCAAATTTACAGTCGAGCGAAAAACTTAGAAGCCTTATTTAGAAGCCTTCATGTCAGGGCCTGCAGAACGGGGGGCTCGGGGGGGGGGGGGGGGGGGGGGGGCTCGGGGGGCTCGACCCCACACCAATTTACAGTCTACCTGACCGTTAATACTCCACTTTGAAAAACGTTCCGCGGGGCCTGCATGTACCGTGTAAGAGTGGTGGTGATGCAGATTTTTCTTCTGCCCCCCCTTCCAAACGTCATTACGCCGCTGCCCCTGGAAGGTGAGCTCCCTGGAAGGTTTCCCCCCCCCCCCCATCCCAAACTGCTTCCGGCGCGCCTGTATAAAGGCTCACCATTCACTGAAACCTTTGCAGTTTTCAGAGATTAAAGGTAATACAAAGTTTTGGTATGGGGTCATTAATTTGGTTCAAATGAACATATTGGACGCATGCGGTCCCACAATATTCAGTGATCGTTCTCGCGGTTGAAATCGAGTCTAAAGTTATGAAATTGTAAATAATAAACTCTTTATGTTGTATAGCTCCCTCTCAAGGTCAAGATATAAATTAAGCTATAAAACAATGTTTCTTGACTAAAATCTACCGATTAGTTGTTCCTGTTCGGAAATTATATATCACAACTACAAATTCTGAGATTTTCATGGTCGCAGCTACCATTGTACGGCAGTAGGCGCTATTTGAAATTTATCAAAATTTACCGGGAGCACCGGTTAATTTTTATATTCAATTTTTCTCGAAAGCAGAAGTAGTTTAGGGGATAAATTTTCTAGTGCTTATAATACATCCACAGGGACTTCCAAATATATCAAAATTGTATAGAATCACTATCCACCCAATTTTCAAAATTTCCCAAAACTTTGTATTTCCTTTAAAGTTTACCGAGTCTCAACAAAAGCAGGGGTATCCCAAACAAAAGTGGGGGTGCACGAAGGCCTCTTTAGTGGTCACGGTATTGGTGTCCACTCAGTCTTTGTGGTGTCTAAAATCACTTGTCTTGTTTGCGTAACGTTTAAACAACCATGTACGTCATGCAGGGTCTACAATGCTAATTATCTGGGGGGGGGGGGGGGGTAATTGTCCTCGGGGGTTAATTTTCCGGGTGGGGGCGGGGGGGGGGGGCTTGTCCTTTGGGCAGCTTTCAGGGGGTTGACTTGTTCAGGGGGTAATTGTCTTGATACGGATTTCCCTTGTAGTCCGGTATAAGTTTTTTAGACCTGGAAAAGTTGATAAAGTACAAGGCTTTTTTTAAAATTTGTGTTCTAGATGGGTATTAAAGTAAATTCAGCTTGGTTGCCAGCTTGGCAACCTTGGGCAACTTTTTAATAGCCATATTAGCATAATCATCTTATTAGCACATGTATGTAATAATATTGCTAATCTCAATCCAGGAAGCCTGAAAACATGGATAATACGACTTTTCAAGGGTTTTCTACGACGAGGAATTCATTTATGACACCAGTTTTTGGTTCTAAGTCATGCAATTGTCTTAAATAGCATAATAAGCATAATGAGCTAATAAGCATGACTGTGTACACTATATGGACTTCATTGTCATTGTTTATCTATAAAGCCTAAAGATGGTGAAAGACTAATCATTAATTCATCGGAGAAGATATTCCATGTATATCTATAACACAAATCCAAAAAAGAAGAAGGTGTACTTATCAACTTTTTTTAGGTCATGTACATGGTATATGGTACCGCCTACTGGATTATTGGTATATCTCTTACCTCTCTCCATGTTTAAAAGTTAGTAAATGGAACTATTCAGCCACCATTTCCATGTTTGTGTTACATCCGAACTTGTCTATTACTTTCAATACAAAATCGCGTGAATTACTGGAATTTGTCGTTTAAAAAAAAATGCATTGCATTAAGAGAGGGACAGAGATTAAAAATAAAAAATAAAAAGGGCCGGGAGAAGGAAGGAAAGAGAGAGAGAGAGAGAGAGAGAGAGAGAGAGAAAGAGAAAGAAAAACAGAGAGAGAGAGAGAGAGAGAGGGGGGGGGGGGGGGCGGCCGGGGGGGGGCTGTTGGAGAAAGAGACTTGGAAAGAGATTCTGAAAGAGAATTCTATAGGGTGGGGCAGATAATCATTAAGTAATAGGCCATTTTCGTAATGTAACCAAATTTAATGCATAAGTCTGTAAAATAAGTAATACAAATTATTTCATTCAGTTGATAATAATAATAGTATGTCGATAGTTAGAATGCAAACTGCATATATTAAGAGTAAATACCAGTTTTGGAAACGCCCCCTCTCTCAAAAAAAAATCTTTAAGTGTTGCTAGGTAGGTCAAGCCATAATGTTTGTCTTACTTGGCAAAAATTAATGTATGCAGTTCGGATTCTGTCGATTGAATAATATTATATGCTTATCAGGTGAATGAAATAATTTGTATTGAGGCATTTCACAAAGACCTATGTATTAAATTTGGTTACATTACGAAAATGGCCTATTGGTGGATGTATAATTAGGATTAAAATATTTTGATTCTGCAACACTCGGTCTATCCAGGGAGGTGAGACTTTAACTCACATGCCCTGGTCTATCCCTTGTCTTGTTTTCGTCTTACGTTACGTAACATTCAAACAGCCATGTCAATATATAAGTTATGCAGGCTCCACAATGCTAATGTTTATCTTTAGGATATAACACCCAGAAAAGCTCATTGTAGACTGGAACTATAAAGTATTATAATCCTCTTCGATCACTTTCCCTTCCGGGCAGTTGCTCGTAACACTTCGGAAAACATCTAGCGCCATATCATGTTCGTCACATGCGCAGAAGAATACTGAGAAACACGGGATGATTGTAGTCCACATTTAGCGAACTAATAATTTTCCACAATGTCTCTTTATAGATAGACGGATCGCCTATCATTTTTTCAATCATAATTGTCGGACGAAAATCTTGGTAAACTTGGCCGGTAGATGTTTGGTCCAGTGTGGAATGTAGACCGAAGCTGATGGTAGAGGCCTATAATATAGCTGCACTTGGCAGATCAAAAGTTGATTAAAACACGCAGTAGCCAGTACCTCGATTGTATCTCTCCAAACCCGGTCGTAAGGTGAGATCATGGGATCTAAAAGCAAAGAAAATTTATTCCAAATGGAGGGACTGGAGTCTCGGAACAAAAAGAGGTAAGATTATACCTGCGGCTTGCTCGCGATGAACCTCTAGATATCACGAGGTCACGAGGTCAGTCTGTCTATTTAGCAAGTTCAATGCAGTTTTGTGGATTGTTAGACGTGAGATTGTCATGAGTGGATGATGATAAAAAGCAAGATCGACCTCATGTACTCTGAGTACATGCCTCTGTTTTCAAGTTCATAATATGCTGCTGCGCATAATCTTGCAAACTATACATGGAGCCAACCAGCAGTGTAGATTGGTTGATATAAAATAAAAAATGTTTAATATTTTTCAAATTATATGTACAGTTAGTAGACCAGCCAAGATGTGATTTCTATTTTTACTTTTGACGGCATTTCGGGGTGATGCAGGACATCTTTGCTAAAACTCTTGTAAAAATACTACATCGGGCTGGATGCCCCGCCAATTTATTTTAATACAAAAAAATGTCTCCTTTTTTTTGCTCAAAATTTGAAAGAATTTTTTTAAAACGAATATATATTATCTGATAAAGGCCTTTCAATTGATATGATAACTGTTTACTTTACATTTGAAAGTTGAATATGACACACATTATTACGGCTAAATGAGATATAAAAGTGTGACTTACTCAGAACATGGATCATTAAAACTAATCATATTTCACAGTTTCTATAACTCATAAAGCTGTCCATTGAAACAAATTTTCTTGATTAAACATATAATATATTGTTTGTTCCCTTTCTAATTACCCCTTCCCGCACAGGGTTCCTTTATTAACTAATCATTTTCACAAAAGATCGATACATTCACTATTCCATGATTTGTCATATAACTATTCAAACTATAAGAAGTTTTCTATTGTATTTCAGTAAACCTCACGGTTTCACTCACATCCTACTACGAATGTAAACATACTGCAAGAGTGGCACATCCGGGTGGGGGTAAGGGGCACATGCTCCCCGACCCTTTTTTTTCTTTTTGGCTTGTCACAGAATTTACTGACTTTTTTCCTCTTTTACACGTTGTGCAATAAAAAGGCCAAGTATCAAATGTGACTATGGAAATAAGAAAAGACTCAACAGATTATTACTCATTTTAAAGGTATACTCGGTATATCATGCATATTATTATACTTAGCATGTGACTAACCTTAGATAACTATACAATAATCACCTCATGGGAGCCTATAATCAGGGAGGGGAAAGAAAGGAGTGGAAACTCTTGTAATTTATTTAAACGCCTTCGTGATTACTAAAGCGTAACAATGGGATGTGTAACATTTCACTATAGGCTTTGGAGTTCCATGCTCCGAGCCGCGCTTCTACTGCGGGGAATTTCGGAGACCAGGCACCAGTTTCACATTTATTACAAAATATTAAATTACCAGCAAAATTTCAGTGTAAATTATAAACTTTATATGGGGATTATACTGGGAATAGTGCATCAAACAATTTTTTAAATTTAGAATTTCGCCTTTCCTATAATCTGTGTGCCAGAATTGGTAAAAGAAAAATCAGATCCTGACAAAAACTCAATATTTTAGGATAATGCGCTAATTTTTGTGCATGTTTTAATGTCCCGTTGTTTAATCCATGTTTTACAATCTTCGACAATTTTAAGTTTGCTAGTGTGTGTTTTCACGTGCTTTTTGTATTTTTGCAGTTGGAAAACAGGATGAAACTACACAATTTTGTGTTCGCATGTTATACTCATTACACATTCAACAATTGATGAGAAATCACTTAAAGGGACAGCGAAAAGTTGCTGGGATACCATTTTCTGATGTAGGAATTCTAAATCCTGAAATTTCATGCGCTCTTTTATCTCACCACCTGGTCACTGTTGCAGATTAGCGCATAACTTCTGCGGCTTGGAGCATGGGGTCAAAGGAAAGCGGCATTATTCCACTCCTTTCACCTCCCTGCTGTAATTGAAGGCTATTCAAATGTCGCTTTTCATCATAAAAATATCAGTTACAAAGGTGATGAATAGAATAAAATATACTTTCATTCCAACGCTTTTAAGATTTTGTTGTTGATCCCCATGTAAGTAATCGTATACTTCACGTCAAAACGTAAACTCAAGACAAATATAGATAATTATCAAAACATTGTATCTCACCAGACTATGGGTCAAATTTGATTGTAAACAAAGTCAAAATGTTGTTTATTGTCTTTAAAATAACTAGAAAGAGGCCATGGACTTGATAACATTCACATTCTTGGTGATACGTGTAAATGTGACGTCAGATCTAGGGTCATGATTAATAACATAAGTAAGCATACTATTCTGGCATCGATCCGTCGATTGATTGATTGATTTATTTTTATTCGACAAGCTTCCAACATACAACAATATAGAATAATAACCGATCAGAAATAAGTCAGCTTGAACAGGATAACTCACGAAAGCTCGAGAGCTTATTTCCAGTGGGGTCCCTTACAGACATGTATAAAATTAATAACTTAAAATAGTAATAATTATTTACAGACAGATAAGAAAAATAAAAGAATTACTTATTAAAGATACTAATAATAACAACATTAAACTGATGATAGAAATGATAATAAGTACAAGAAGAAAAGGAAGAAGGAGAAGAAGAAAAAGAGGCGGAGGAAGAAGAGGAAAATAATGATTAATTTGTAGAATTTCTATAACGTACGAAAACATAAGTATATACAAAATGAAAAAGTATGAACCGGCAGAAAAATACAAATTTCAATCATATAAAATGTCATTTACTTCTCTTATCTGATTGTCAAGTATTAGGTATTCCTTTAATTTCCTCTTAAAATGAGCATAGTTTTCTATTTCCTTTACACCATTGGGAAGGGAATTAAATGTTTTATGGCATTGTAATAAAACGTTAAAAATAAAGTCTTTGGAAGGGGGAGTTTGTCTACTAATTTGGCAGCCACATTTGTGAAATGAGAATTGAATTCATCGGCCATGGCCATTTTATCATGACATAATTCCCCATCAATTTTAATGACAGATTCTTGTTCTTTTCGCTTCTTATTTTTTAATCCTAAGCTTTTTAGATTCTGCCAAAGCCTTTTCGAATCTCGTTTATTTTCTTCTATCTTGTTTTGTAATTAATCGAGTTTAGCCTTTTTCACCTCTCTTTGGACCATATTTCTTAATACTCTGTATCTTTTATAAAGCGTCTCATCTTTTGCTCTTTTCCTCAATTTTTTGTATACTATATTTCTCTCTTGAATTAGGGAAAGAATATCCTTAGTCACCCAAGTTTCTGATCTTTGTTTTATTCTAATCCGTTTCAGTGGCGCTATCATATTCAAATTTGAGATAAAAACATGTTAAAATACTGACAATGCCTTATTTATATCTGTACAGTCAGTTATTCCTGACCAATCAACAACAGATAGTTGAAGATTGAAAGACTCTTCTGTATATCTTTTCATGGATCTGATATCATTAGTCCTGTGATGACCTATAGCTAGTCTAATATTTTTCCGTGTACAGAAAGTAAAAGAATGGTCGCTAATACCTAGATCAATGACACCACTTTGACTTATTTTGTTTTCTTTGGTACAACCAACATGACCTAGAGAAGAACATGTAGGTGTAACGTGTGCTGCCTCTTGAATGAGTTGACTAAACCCGTGAAGACTCAACAAGTCACTATATATTTTAGCCAGTGGCGATTTGTGAAGAAGACAAATACATGTCTCCTAAAAGAATTATTTCGTCATCCTTCTTTAATGTATCAAGAATATTGGACAATTTCTCGATAAACAAATTGTCTTTCAGAGGTCGATACAGAACGCCAACAACAATTGGTTTTGATCTTGGTATTAGCAAATTTATCCACAGGGATTCCGTATCTCCAGTACTTATAGCATCCATAATTTCAAATGCAATATCATTTCTGATATAGAAACATACACCACCTCCAGAGCCAGAGGATCGATCATGGCGTATGATTTTATATCCGTCTATTTCAATTTCTTCATCATTTATGGAATTGTTTAACCATCTTTCAGAGAAAGCAATAATAGACAGCCTTTTTCTTTTAAAAATAATTCTAAGTTCCGATATCTTGTTTAGGATAGACCTCACATTAAGGTGTAACAAATGAAGACCTTTAACTTTAAACTTTTCTTCAAACTTTTGATAAAGAGAAGTGTTTTCATCTCTGAGGTTTGGCTGAATTATTCTTGCTATCGCTTGCTTTTCAGGTGTAACGCGCGTTACCTTAAAATAGTTTTCTTTTAGTCTATCCTCACTTTGGCTTTTTTTCTCTAGACAATCGTCAGTAAATAACGAGTCACAAAAAGATGGCAGACAACATGTTAAACAATTCCACTTCTCATCAGGGCATTCATAATATAACCTGCGGTACTCTGAAAAACTGATAGCTTGACAATTAGTGTGAAACCATTTTTTACAATTAGAACACAGAAGGCCGTGTTGATTACATTTGACTGGCTTATCACAGTTTCCACAAGGGAACTTATATTGCCGACCGTCAATTATAATTTTCGGATCATCACTTGATTTTGTCAAACTTTCATTTAATTCAATACACTTCTTACAAATTGAAGATATTGTCGTTAATATTTTTTATGGTTGGAAGGACAAAGATTAGGAAAGAGCGCAACAGCTACATAGAATAGTAGAACAAGAACATGGAAGAATATTATACACTCACTACAAGTTAATCAGGATTTACCACCACCGATACATAATGGTTTGATCAATACTTAGCTCTTGCTTCTCACAAATTTACTTAGTATATGAGTGCCCCCCCCCCCACGACTGAGCCCACGCTATCCCATTGCGCTGACATGAGGGGCACATCACATTTTAACACATCTTTGTTTATTTTCATGGTTATTCCCGTCTAGTCGTGATAAGGATGACGCTGGCATGTAGGAACATAACACCTTGAAACAGATATTTGTTTATTTTCATGTTCGTTCCCGTCTAGCCGTGAGGTTCAATCGGAGGAGGGGCGCGATCGTCAACCCCATGCCCCCTTTAGATCTGTCACCTCTCTCTTCTCGTACTTCTTGGAAAACACCACCTTCCACGGCCTGCCCCGAATCTTTGGCGCCCCTTTCTTTCTGGAGAAGTTATTTTGGGTGCTGGCGTTCCTCACATGCCTCGGTGTCTTCACGTATCAAGGTAAGGCCCCCGTTTAGACATGACACGTTAAACTAACGCGTATAAACATCAACGACAAAGAACACAAAATACGTGTAAATGTGTGGCAAATGGGGCAGAAGCAGCTATAATAGAATATTATACGGATAAAAAAGTTGTAAATTTGATTTTTTTTTTTTTTTTTTTTTTTGGGGGGGGGGGGGGGGGGGAGGGGTGTTTTCGTAAGTCAAGAATGAATGTTCGATATTTAGAGATGTATATTATACATGGGCGTAAATCCTTACGTAATACCTATTGTTCAGGGGGATGAACGAATAGATCATCCCCCTGAACAATAGGTATTACGTAAGGATTTACGCCCATGATATTATATATATATTTTCAGGAGGGGGGGGGGGGGGTAATGTTTCTTGCAATCAATTGTAATTAATGTCTCGTTGGGCGGCTTTTGCCCGTCTTGTCCCCTTTAAAACTACTACTTCATTTGGGAGAGAAAGGTAGCTGCGCCCAACAAAGGCTTTCAAGATTAACTAATATGTTTAATTAATTAATCCTGGAGTATGAAGCGCAATATGCTAATTTCAAATTGATTTCCTGAGAACACTATTACAACTACATTCGACAAATCAATTCTAGGGCAATTTTATGACCCATCTGAATCCATTTCTCATATAGATAAGAGATCATATTCGGTTTACGAGAAACGTCTTTTAAATGTTTGCGAATTTCACTAGCTGATGGACAGAGATATTGACATCGCCTTGAAAGGTGATTGTTGAGTCTCTGCGGCAATCTTTTGAAGCGGTTACCGCGTGAAATGCGAACGAGGCTTTAGCTATTAAGAATTTCTAATCAAGGTGAATAAGATAAGATATTGAAAGAATAATATGCATACCGACAGCTGCTTCGTAGTTGATGGAGAGTAGAAGACTTATTACAGGGTTATATAGGGATGAGCGCAGGGGTTTTAAGCGAATAGGAACAGAAAACTTATCCTAGTTTCTGAATTTATCACAGAGTTAAAGGGTACATGCCTGACTTTAAATTCACAAAACACCCCTCAAGCAAAAGAGGGAAGAAATAGAAGGGGGGGGGGAAAGGGGGGGGGGCATTCTCGTGTTGATGCGTTGCCGACAAGGGTCTGCAACAGGAAAAACTTTCGAATGGGTGGTGTGCAGGGTTACACCCCATCGTACCATCTACCGGCTCCCTAGATAAGCGTTAAAGAATACTCTGGGAGTTTGAACACATCAGGAGCATGGATTTGATAATGATTTGTGAACTATCAAATATTCAAAGTTTTCAAACTATATTGTACACCTGACTTGTATGAAATAGTAAACACAACAACAACCAACTTGTTGAGGGGGTGGGATGTAATGATTTGGTTAAAATGGCTTTAAGACCTTATATAGATATGGCGAAATATGCTAGATATAGCAGTATAGGCTTATGCAAAACACGGATACTCTTAGTTGTAGTAGCAGTAGTAGAAGTAGTAGCAACAGTAGCAGTTGTAGCAGCAGCAGCAGTATAGTAGTAGTATATAGTAGTAGTAGTAGTAGTAGTAGTAGTAGGGGAGGTTCTAGCAGAATTTTAATTTCATTTTAGGTGTGATTCGGGTTCTTGCATTCATTTCCTACACGTGCCTTGATTTTTTAAAAAATTCATTTATTTTTAAAATTTGTTTCTCTGGTGGAGGGGCTTGAATGTATCGTTATACAACCTTTTCGGTCCATCAAGATTTCGCACAACAATTCCTTGTGGTAATATTATATCACAACTATTGCTACCATCATCATCATCCCCATCATCATCTGCGTTATCATAATAGGTACCAAGATCGTCAAAGACTACATCTCCTACCCCTACTCGACTCGGACCGACATCATCACCGAGTCTTCGCTCGACTTCCCCGCCGTCACCATCTGCAATGTGAACATGATGAGGCGGTCGAAGCTCGTCGATACCAGGTTCGAAGACCTGATTGAACTAGATGGTGATGCAACAGGTTTGTCAGACTGGAGATGTTCTGGGCATCGTTTCACAAAACCGTCATCGGTATAAATTCACGGACATCCCATTGAAACACATGTATTATGTCGGTGAACTTGTACTTGCCATGCCCTGGTAATCCGACATTACCACGGCGACAATGAATTGCTTAGCAGTACGGTCATAGAAACGATATTCTAGAAGAAATATGAGATTTATAAATTAATATTCTTTTATGAAGGTCTATGTGCTATGTCATGTTGGAAATACTTGATTTTCCATTTTAATTCAACATTCGAATAATTGTTAAAGTTTGATGTATCATTAAAAATAATCCGATTACCATTTACTCTTCTCTCTGTTTATGGTAACAAATATGACCTTGTAGAAAACATTGGTTTTCAATGATGATTGTTTTCCATTTTATTTTGTCCTGAACACACAGGGGACACCGATGACTACTCATTTTGGTTCGACCAATCCTTCTACGAACGTTTGGGCTCCGAAAACGGGAATTCGAATTCGTCCGGAACTTCAGGTATAGATCTGTTCATCAGCTCATGTAAAAACAAAAAGAGTAATATAAATGAAATATATGAATAAAATCTAAATTGATAACTAGTCATGTGATAACGTTGTAAAAGTTGCTGTCTGGAGACAACTGGGAAATGTTAAATAATTATGTAACAGTCATCAACATGTAACATACTTTGGTGGAGAATTAAACATTGCCATATTAAAAGGGTTGATACTAGCCAGCTCCTTTGATTAGCCTGCTCGCAAAATCGAGAAGTAAAATAGAAAGTTGATTCTCAAGCAAAGAGAAGTCACCCCGAGCAAAATTGCGTCCAATTATCGCGATCCATAGATTTACGAAAATTATGCGAAAACTATGGAAAAAATAGTTATCCATATTTTCATTTATTGAGTGTGCCAGCCGCATCAAAGTTCCCTATACGAATATCAGTCTTAGTCCGTCTATGCTATGATACCCTTCCACGATTATAAACAAACAGTAAGAAAATTCACAGATTATTTTTCATTATTTTAAGTATATATCATTTTTAGGTTTAAGTAAAAGTATTTTCATTAGTCTAAGTATTGTAAGTACAAGTACTAATATAATTATACAAGTATGAGTATATGTATGTAGTATGAGTATTAGTTTAAGTATGATTATAAGGAAATATATGGGTACAAGTATGAGTTTGAGTATAAGTTTAAGTATAAGTAGAACGAAATGTATAAGTACACGTATAAGTATATTCATAAGTTTAAGTATTGTTATTAAAAGTAAAAGTAAATAGATATGAGTACAAGACAGAATTTAGTTATAAGTATGGTGAGTATAAGTTCAGTTTAAGTACTGTAAGTACAAGACAATATAAGTACAAGTATAGGTATGTGAGTATGTATATGACTAGTATATAAAAGAATAAGTATTAGTGTAAGTAAAGTCTGAGTATATGTATAAGCATAATTTGCGCCATCAACTCCTATTTCATTAAGGTGAATCAGATGGGACATCCAGTAACTCTCCAGAGACTTCATCTTCACCGGACGATTCACAAGCATCTGGACCACAAAATCTGAACGGAGAATTCGACTTCTTTGAGAGCTCCTGGGACGATAGTTCTTTTGACTTCAGCTTCTACGACACATGGGAAGGAATAACAGGTAGGTAGGTGGAAGAATGGTAGATAATAGGGACTTTTAGATTCTGCACGACGAGAACACGGACTGCCCTTTAAGGCAATGTGACGTCACTGCCAGTGCCTTAAAAGGACGTCACGTTGCCTTAAAAAGGCAGTTCACGTTCTCGTCAGAATCTAAAAGTCCCTAATAGCAAAATTCCAACAGTGGAGAGTGTCCGGTGTACAAAGTCACTGGGGAAAGGAAAGCAATGGTAGACTGATCCGCTCCACTGGGCGATGTCACGGAGAATTTCCGCCATTTTGGTTCGAGAAATGTATCGCGAGGTGAGGAATAGGGATTTAAGTTCAGCTTATTGCATTATCCCAAATATAATCCAAAACGCTTGAAGCCTATCGCGAATAAAACCCAGCGGAGGTAAGAATCGTACTTCCGATTAGTCCTCGGATTAAACGAAGTTCAAATTTTGGGAAATAAGTAGGTAAGTCCGAAGTACATGTGGAAATGACTCCATCTATTATTATAGGCGTGTTATCGAATACCATGGTTATAGAAACATGAATGATGTTCAGTCTTCACCGTTTAAAGTTCAATGTTGAAATTTAATATTCAAAAGCATTTTGTGATGTATACAATAGTCTGAACTTGTTGGACCATTCATACTGTGTACTTTGAACTTCAAATAATGTCAAGTCGCATCTTACAACAGCATAGTTGTGTTCAAGGCCATACGCATTCCACTATACTCATTCACTTACCACATACAGTCCATTGATTTTTATTTTCATTTACAGATGACAATGATTGGCAAGCCATCTATAATCAATCTCAGTCGCCCGATTTCTCGGACCTCAGGGCTCTCCTCAACCCGACTCAGGCCGAACTCCAGGAATACGGACACCAAGCTGAAGATTTCATCCTTCAGTGTAGCTTTGACCAACGCGCCTGCAGTTACAGGTAAGTTTGAGTGAAAACAGACCATTAGTAATGATAACAATAATTGATAAAAACTGATCTGATTCCTTAATTCTCCTTACTATATTATTACACTTTAATGACATTTTAAGTGAATGTAGATCGTCACAAAGCTTTGAATTGACTCTGTATACCATTCCAGACATTTAAGTGGTGACACATTAAAAAAAAGCCTGTCTTGTGTCTTATTTTCATGGAAAACGGTTAGGAAAATTCAAAAATAGTTGGGAGAATTTTTATTGTCAGAGAGTGTTGACCCGTGACGCCTTCAAACAAAACCATAGATATCTTTGTGGTTTGGGAATTTGTTCAGGATTTTTTGCATGCTAGAGGGTTTAGTACAGTTGAATGAATATGATAAGTAACATTTCATACAAATTTTTCATCCTCCTTCAACAATGTTACCGAATCACTTTAAATGCCAAGTCAGTTCAGATTCAGATTTGAAACATGATTTGCATCCTCATAATGGTATATAGAATATTAAATCAATGTTAACATTTAAATAACATAGAGGTGTCGATATTTCCTGAGGAGCATGAGGCCTGTGACGAGGTCTTCATAACGATACATACATACATTTCTGAGGGAAGAAAATAAATGATCAGTATTTGTACTTGATTAAGGCAGTTAAAATCAATAATAGATGGTTCTCTAGAAACGACCTGATACCAGCAAAATGCTAATTTGGGTAAAGAAAGAAAACCCGACTTATATATTTTTCCCCTTCCGCAGGTGTATGTATTTACCAAACAAATTCGACATATTCGATCATATATATCCACAAATAATATACAAAGGATGAAACATATCATATACAATGGCTAAACAATGATCATGATCATCATGGCCCAAAAATTCGGGGCAGAGACATCCATGATTTATATAATGGATATTCCAATACATCTGATATTAGAGATGCAGAGTGAAATATGTGATCAATTGTTATGATTTATGTTTATTTTCAACAGAAATTTCACGATGTTTCAGCACAGCGAGTACGGGAATTGTTTTACTTTTAATGGAAGGACATTAGAGGAACCTTTCAACAAGACAAGGAGAACAGGCAGGACTGGGGCAAACTATGGTATGTACATCAGGGAGGGTTTCACAAAGACTAAGATTGACTTTCAGTTGGACTTAAATATGGCAAGCTGTTCATGCCACTGTTTTCTCTCACCATTTACTAGCATTGGTCTCTCAAGGGATGTACAAATCATGGTCACAAATCTACAGAATTTACATTTTTAGATAGGGGATTGAAGGAAGAAATATTAATAAATATCATAATGATGAGAGCAAATAGTGGCATGAATGGCCTGCCATAGTTAAGTCCAACTTAAAGTCGGTCTTAGTCTTTGTAACCCCCTCCCCCCCCCCTTGGTCCATAAGGTTCATAAGACGGTTCATCTTTATTGCCCATGCTTTTAGCGATGGAGATTGGTGATACATGTACTTATATGGTATGGATAGATAAAAAGACTTATATACAAAAGAGACAAATTCAAGTAGGATATACAGTAGATATGTCATAGATAAAAAAAACAACAACAACATGTATACAAAGTAAAATGCAACAAGGTAAGTTTTACAGGAATCAATTATACATCGTATTATCATTTTTGATATTCATTTTTATTATTATTATTATTAGTTGTAGTATTATTATTATTATTATTATTATTATTATTATTATTATTATTATTATTATTATTATTGTTATTATTATTATTATTATTACTATTATCATTCTCATCATTATAAGATTGATTGATTTATTGATTTAGCTTTTTATTTATTGAGCTATCTATATCACTGTTACTGTTATTATTATTTTCTTTTGCGATTATTACTATCATTATTATTATCATAATTATTATTAATAATATTGTTATTAACATGATGATGAGGGTGATGATGATAATGAAGTTCTTAGCTTGTTAATTCAGGGTGTATGATGACATTCTTTCAGGTTTGCAGCTAACGCTCTTCGTGGAACAGCCTGAGCATGTAGGACTTCTGACAGCAGAGTCAGGTGTAAAGGTATCCATCCACAGCCAGACTGAACAACCCTTCCCAGAAGATGATGGGCTTACCGCCTCCACCGGTCAGAAGACAGCCATCGGTGTTAGGAAGGTGGATGGATTTTTTTTCCAAAGAAAAATTGTATTCAATCATTCTTGAGCAAGAACAAAACAATATATTTGAACAAAGTACATGTTGTGACATATCGGTAACACAAATATTGTTACATCAGTTGCACATGAATCCAATATCAAGTAATACAACGAATTTATTGCGTTTGATAGAAAGAACCCGCTCAGCTTCATACCAACGTTTAAGCATCTTCTTAAAAGAATTGAAAGATAGACGTTCCCTGTTGTATTTCGCAGAGAATATATAGTGTTTTGCATATGACAAAATTAAGGGTAGATTGCGTACCATCTGGGAAACCAAACAAAAAGCAATTTTTATTCAAAAGCAGTTCATTGTTTCGAATAGAGTGTCTTGAATGAATTGATTCGTAACAGGGCATTCCCAAATTAAGGTGGATGGTTTTATCTTACTGCACCCTTGTCGAAAAAGAGAGCGTAGTGTACCACAGTTTGAATAAAGTGTTCAAATAGTGACAACCTAATGTCTTCTTATTTTCAACAATAGAAATGTGTTCCAAGTCAATCATTTATTTAAAAAAAACCTAGGACAACTATCCCCCGGACAACTACCCCAGACAACTACCCCTAGGATAGTTGTCCGGGAGGTAGTTGTCCTAGAGGATGGTTGTCGTAGGGGGTAGTTGTCTTGGGGGGGGGGTAGTTGTCCTAGGGGTAGTTGTCCGGGGGTAGTTGTCCAGGGGTAGTTGTCCCGGGGGTAGTCGTCCTAGAGGGTGGTTGCCCTAGGGGTAGTTGACTAGGGGTGGTTATCCGGGGATGGATGTCCAGGGGGTAGGTGTTCTAGAGCCCAATCCAATATGGGAATTCGTAGAGCGTCAATACCGAGTTGCCTAATAAAAGACGCTGCGTTATCATTTGGTTTGCTGCAATATTATGATCATATTTAATTTCTAATTTGTTGCGATGAAAATGCTTGTAGTTTTAGAGCGTAACTTTTGACATAGTGTTGTAACGATATCTCATAATATTCTAAACTGTCCTGTGCTTATGATTGATGATGATGATGATGACTGTAGGATCCGCATCACTTTTGGGGTCACATCCCATTTGAAGATCAGGTGGGAGGGGGGATGGTACGTGGTCTTCGGTTTTGCGTCCCGTAGATGCCTTGCTTTACTGCCATGCATAATAACTCTTCTCTCAACCAAAATAATTATTTAACGAGTTTAGATATGAAATAGATCTAATTTCTTATTCTGTTGTCTATTGTTTATCACCATCTTCTCTGTCATCTAAACCCACGGTTTCTTTTTATCCTAAAAGAAATGCATCTTTGATGACCAATTTGATTCACCCATAATATTTTTTGTTTCGTTTGCAGCTCAACATCACGCGGCTCGGCGGTTCTTATGGCGAAGAATGCACAAAAGCAGGAGAAGGCACCAACTTCACCTCGGAGACGTCCTCCTACACGGTCAACGCCTGCCTGAAGCAATGTCTGCAGGATACTCTACGCAAATCATGTGGTTGCATTACAGACATCAGGTTTGGCAACTACACGCAGTGCAGCTCTCTTAATCCAACACAAGGTACATCTGCGGGAATTTTATATCAGAAATTATACCGAATTATACTAAAAGTTTTAATCTACTGCTGGGACAATTTTTTCTTTCTTCTTCTTTATAGTCAGGTTTAATCTAGTGGAATATGGAACATAGGGTCTATACGTTCCGTATTTCTAAGCTGTAAATTAGTCATTAAAACCAAAAAACTCAGGACTGGTTATAGGATTGAAACACAAGAAATAGATTGAAAAATAATTTTAGAGTCCGTAGGATATATATGCCTAATATCACTTATTCAATTACGAATTTTGGAAAGGACAGGGAGAGGAGGGGGAGGGAACTTTGACTTTAGGAAGGATAATTCTTTTTTACGTAGTTATTTATCGAACCATGTCTTCGCTAGAAAAACTATACCTCTCTCTGTTTGGCTATACCAGTGGTGTATCAAGAAATTGACAGACAGGTAAGCTAAAAACACAATGATTTTTTAAATATATTTCTGTTTAAATCTGGGTGTCAACCTATGTCGGATATGCCACATATTGGGATACATGTCATAGTTGGTCACCATAATAGTGTTTAAAGTACAAGTCCACTCCAAAAATAACTTACTTTCAATAGAAGCAGAAACGTCACACAAACCAATCAAAAGAAGTTTGAGCAAAATCGGATTACTAATAAGAAAGTTATGAATTTTCGAAGTATGTAAAACTATAGAACAAGTAAAATCACTACACAAATTGCCAATAGGGTTATTAGTATGTGACGTCATGTCCTCACTATATATCAATTGCTTTATATAGTTTAATTTCCCTTTTTTATCCCCGAAAACTTGATTTCCACATGCCTTTGTCCAGGTTATATAATTTGTATTCTATTGCGTGCATGGCATTTTACAAAATCTTTTATAAACTTTGAAGAATTGATACTATTTTCTCAATATTGTATATTTATAATTATTGATTTTTACATAAATAGTTTATCAAAATTCACATTTTTCATGATTTAACTTAAAAAGATTACTCTATATTAGCGCATCCACACAAAAACACATTACTATCAATCTAACTTGGATGCTGGTGTGAAGAAAAAAGCTTCTATTGAAAGTAAGTTATTTTTGGAGCGGACTTGTACTTGAAAGGTATATACATTTAGTTGTATCCATTTTTCTTAAACGACTTGCAAAAACAACATCAACAACAACACCACCCACCAACAGAACAAAATCCGTCATTCAACTCGCAATATCTTTGTCCTTTTTTCCCTACACAACAGAAAGGTGTCGTCAGCTTGTGGAATATCTTTACCACTCTAGTACCTTGGAGTGTACTTGTCCAATATCATGCAGGTTAGCACATTGAAAATCAAATGAGATATCGTGGTATAGTGGTTCACTTGACTCTCATTCCAAGGGTCAAGGGTTCGAATCCTAGCCCGGCACTAACGTCCTTAGACATTAATCTATATTTACTCTTCATCGAAGTACCTGGAAATTGCTGGGGTTATTATAAATGCAGGGCCCTCGGGAAGAACAGCAGTGATGCTGATGAAATTTCCCTTGGTAAACAAATATATTTTTATTTTAAATGTTCAGATTATTGGTCTGCGGTAATGTTAACAGATAATTAATCAATAATTCTTACCAATGGATATCGACAATCGACAATATCATATGGATCAAGGGGGCCAAACGACCGCAACCCCGATAGCGAATAATTAATAAAGGGGGATGATGAAAGGAACGGAAGAAGAGGGGGGAAAACTACCCCTTTTTTAATCGCTTTAGTGAGAAGTCATTCAGAGGTTTTAATATTTCTTATTTATAAATCGCTTAGTGAGGAGTCATTCAGACGAACCGTGTCAGCATCGCTATGGCCATCGACAAGATATGAGGTATTATTACTCATTTTCTCATCATTTAAAATATTGCATGGTACAGTCTTGAATACAAACTTTATTGCAAGGGGCATCATTGGGGAGGGGGGGGGGGAGGAGGGTCGCTGGACTTTTTTTAATAGAGGAGGTAGTGTGAGACCACATTTCCCGCAGTTTTTTCTTCAGATTTTCAAATAAGATGATGGGGTTTAACCCTATTTAGCCCGGGGGGGGGGGCGATAATTTTTTAACGCAAGAAAATCTTGCACTGAAATTTTGTGACTTTTTCTTTCGAGTCTTGCGCATCTTTTGAAAGAAATTTTTCGAAAATCGGACCTACCATTACAAAGTCACGTGTCCTTCTGTCTTTGCATGTCAGCCCGAAAATCGCTCAGTTTTGTGATTTGTGTATAAAACATATGGAAATCTCATTTTTCAAATAAAGAGATAAAACATTGGTTATTTGGTCTTGTTTATAGTTTAGGTGTTTATTTTGGGGTCAAAATAGTTGAATTATAGTTGGAAATGAAATAAAACAACAAAAACAATGAAATACATAAGTTTAAAAAACAAAGAAATACATAAGAAATTATCAAAACAAAATATAACATAAGGAATAACCTAGGTCTTCCATTGTCTTTTGTCGTATTAGTGTTTCAAATGGTCTAACGAATACATGTAGTGAAAAAGAATGCTTAAATATGAATTATGTCTGATTTATGGGCAAAAATGTGAATTTGATGACCTTATTTGCATAAATTACCATAAATATGCAAATGAGTGAATTGTTCAAAAAAATGAAATTACCATAGTATTCTATACACTTCACTTGACATGTATGCGATCATAGGGGGGCCTTAGAAGCCCCCCCCCCCCCGGGCTATGCAGTTTCAAAATAGCCCGGGCTAAATAGGGTTAAAATAATTATTAACACACACAACCCCCCCCCCCAAAAAAAAAAAACAAAAACAAAAACAAAAAAAACAAAAACAAAAAACAAAAACAAACAAAACAGTTTTTCATAAATCACCAACATTTCTTATTCCCAACTTGGAAGAAAAAAAAGTTCGAAACATGAGAAACAATTAAAACAATGCAGGTCGTCAATTTTTGAGACTTTTGCCGACCAGGATAGCACATCATAGATTTGTCCACTGATACCCCACATCAACTGGATCTAGGGAGGTAATTTTGTCGAAATAATTGTCCTGGAATGTATATATCCTTTTTGACATTGTCCTGGGGAAGTTTTCCGGAGGCAGCTGTCCTGGGGGTGTTTTACAAAGATCCTAAGTCGAACTTGAATTAAGTTGGACTTAAACATTATGGAGAGCCATTTGTAGCCTTAAAATAAAATATCTTCAAAAGCAAAAATTCAAGTATTTTGGACTTTTCATAAATTCCACATCAAGAACATGAAATATCTTTGATAATAGAAAGCATTAGTGATTTGAATCAACATTTTATGCCTTTTACAATAACTTTTACAAAATATTTTCAAAGATGCTAACGGCTTTCCATAATTGTTAAGTCCAACTTAGAGATAAGTTCAACTTATGATCTTTGTGAAACACCCCCAGATCCTTTTATCTTTGAATGATGACATAAGATAGGTATTTCCTTTCTGTCATCTGTTCGGCCATTAGGTACACCTTGCCAAGCAGCTAGTGAGCATCAACAGCAAGATAGAAAGGATCATTGCAGATGTGGAGAAAACCAGGTAGGCTAATATACACGATTACTCAGTGTGTGTGGGCGTGGGATGAGTGTGTCTTGCATGATGCATGCTTGTGTGTGTTTGTTGGGAGTGTGGGAGCCTGGGAGGGTGTGTGTCTGTGTGTGTGTGTGTAGGGTGCGTGTTTGGTTGGGTGGTACGTGCGTCTTCACGGTTAGGATGCGTGTGCGTTAATGTGTGTGTGTGCGTGTGTGTTTATGAGTGTGTGGGTGGGTGGGTGTGGATGCGTTTTTGTTAAGATGCGTGTGTACGATTGTGTGTGTGTTTGTGTGTGTGTATACTGACTGAGAATAACGCAAGGTCCCTCGAACCTACACAAAATACTGATGTACAGAAAATGCAAAATAATAATAATGATAGTGATGATGATGATGATGCTAATCATGATGATAATAATGATATTTGTGATATTAAAAATGATAGTAATACAAAATATTTAGATTGCCTTTGGATTTGTTGAATGTTATTACAATAATTATATTGATGCTGATAAGCGTACTTAATACAAAACGGTGTGTACCCCACATAAATAATAAATAATAATAATAATAGTGGGTTCTTGTATAGCGCTCATGTCAGTCAGATTTGACCCTCCTGGCGCTCCCGATTATTATTATTATTATTATTACATCCGATGTTTATTGTTTAAACTGTTACACTAGTCAAAACTCTAACATGAACCCATATTTTTAGTCATCACTAACTCTAACCATCAAGAACCCTCTTACAAAAACAAATCGCATCTTTACTAAACCTATCCCAATATCTTGGAGGAAACAAAAGCGGAGCAGATGTCCGATTCAGTAGACAATTCTCGCTACCCTAAATAGGTACGAAAATCTCGAAATTCGCGAGACGAGGTAATTTTCACTCTCTCGGGTCGTCACTACAACTTCCGGTATAGAGTCCCATCCCAAGTCACGGCCTTCATCCACCCCCATTTTTCAGGGTTCTTACGCTTGGAATCATGAGCCCAGCACTGTGCAGCCTCACAAAAGAAAACCATCGTCACTGATGTCAAAAGACGCAAAAAACAACGAATGAAATGTTCAAATAAACGTTGAAATATTTGCGAAAAAAAGACAAGACCGAGCAGACGACATATTCGGTGCATACACGTTGTGTGGCGACGGCGTTTTACGTTTGCGCTATCGCGCCTAGTAATATAGCGCCTGCACAGGAAGCTGTAATGTCGAAAAGCTATCCCATAATGCAATGCGCGTTTTCAGGATTTTCCCCGGATCTCGGCAGAATCGCTATTTGGGGTAGCGAGAATTAACTGTGCCTGAATAAAAAAATTAAGTAAATTAACGCATCTAAACGTTTTTTAATGAAAAAGCATGACTGATCTTACATTTTTCCTGTTTCCATTTCAGGCAAAATGTCGTAAATCTGGTGGTCTTTTTCGAGCAGCTTAACTATGAGCTAAATCAACAGTTGGCCGTTTACACCGTAAGAACTGACATTCGTAAATAACCAATTTTGTAATTTAATTCATCTTTAACGAAAATCAGAAATAATTTATTGATGAGTGTATCGAGAGTGAGGAAATAATCTTAAATCTTCAAAAAAAAAAAATGGTATCTTCACCGACAAAGTTGCCATTGGTTGATTAATTAATATTGATCATATATGAACGTGCAATCATAGAGTGCTATAAAAAAATACTGGGGACACGTCATTAACAAAAAGATATCTGTTTTCTGTCCTTTGAAGCTTCGGAAATTTGTATTGTATTCAGAATGGAGAAAGACTATTTGAAACTAATAATAATAATAATCTTCCACTTTTAAATAGCAATTAATACATCAACGGTTTCTCTAATCGCTTTACAGATTTAATATTACCCTGGTCATTGGATTCAATACTTGCCCGCATATATCTGATTTATTTCCGCCGATAAATATGATTTTGACATTATATACCTTTGCTTTATATATTTATATATATATATATAGGCGTGAAGAAAATGGTCTAGGAACGTGAGACGTAGCTGTACTTTACAATTTTATTACGATCGCTTTCGGCTTGTGAGGCCTTCTTCAGGTTTTGAAGTGCAAACACATACAGAATAAAATTGTAAAGTACAGCTACGTCTCACGTTCCTGGACCATTTTCTTCACGCCTACATTTTCTGGAACACCCGTTGACTTTCTTATATATTTTGCTTGCAATACAGGTGGAGAGTCTTCTTGGGAGCGTGGGAGGTCTACTCGGTCTGTACCTCGGACTATCCTTCATGTCTATCGGAGAGATAATAATCCTCCTTCTCGGCTTCCTTAAAATATTTGGCGGGAATGTCCTGTGCTCGTCCTGCAGATCCAAAAGCGAAACAGCTGACCACGAACACGATGACAGGTCGAATTCGCAATCTACTCAGACGACGTCGGACATGAACGATTACGATGAAGGAACCCGTCGAACTCCGTGGTATCGTTGTTTGGTGGCGTTAGCTACACTGTTTGTATTTGCCTCGATGGTAGCCGTCGTCGCTCTCGTAATGCTGTTCGAACTCGGAGTCATCAGTATAAATTAATGATACTCCACAAAGCAGCAAATAATGGTATTTTGGTTAAAGTAGAGAAATGTAATGATGGGGCCAAAGCTGGGCAGGCCCGTAGTGTTCATTAACCGAAGGATGTGGCAATACTTATAGAAATTAGGCTTCTATTGAATTCTTTCTGGAAAGTGAGTAGCAATGAGCAAGAACAAACAAACCAGAGTTCAGAACTTTGGAAATGTTTGGAATTTTGAACATGTGAGAAGACTATTCATATCATATCAGAATAAGATTTTTTTTCTTCATATTTAAGAGAAATAAACAAAGGTCTAGCTAATTTGCATTTTACGAGTGAATTTTATCAACACTTTTATTCTTCAAGGGATATTTTAGTGCCTTTGGGGCCTCGGAAAAAAGTGTGGTATTCCTTTTAAACTTCTTAGAATAACATTTTATTTTATATAAGTAGGCTTGATTCGTAAAATTATATCCGAAAAAGTAACTAGTAAAGAATAGATCCCTGAAAATACATTGAGTTAAAGCTGAAAGGAATGTATCTTACACGTGAATGCTATCAATATATTTGTTCTGCAAGGTATATGTTTTAAGTGCTTTGGGGGCCTCGACAAAAAAAGTGTGGTAGTATTGTTAGAAGACAGAAATTTCCTTTCAGAAAATAGGAACTATTTGATCCGATGTTCAGAGTTGTGTTTTCAATGGAGACGTATTAACTGGATATTTTCGTATTGAGAAAGGTGTGAGACAAGGTGACCCTTTGTCTCCCTCTCTATTTTTACTCTGCATTTACATTCTTGCTCGCGCAATTCGCAGCGATTCGGTTATTCATGGGGTTCCCTTTGATGATATTTACGTTAATAAATTCTTTAATCAGATGAAATGTCGCTGTCTATTCAAGATATTTAATCTTTTAATAGACTAAAAACATTATTGACTAGTTTTGCTGATGTGTCTAGATTGAAGATGAATAGAGACAAAACTTTTGTATTATTGTTAGGTCCAATCGCGGATAAAAATGCAACAGTTCCATTTGGTAGGATAGTTAACATTGTAAATATATTAGGTATACACGTTAGACGTGGAAAGCTAGGAAATAATTAATTGCAAAGAAATCTTAAATAAAAATAATAAGTTACTTATGTGGTGGAAACAAAAAGATTTGACTTTGATGGGGAAAATTCAACTAATTAAGACTTTTGTTCTATCAAAATTAGTTTATGTATCCTCATTCACACCAGTACCGCCTTGGGCATTCCGTGAAGCTGAAATGTTAACATTAGATTTTGTTATGGAATGGAAAAGATACAATCAAACAGAGTACTAAGGTTTTAGATTACGATAAGGGAGGTCTTAAATTGAAAGATGTTCAATTATCTATTCGAATACAATACAGTGGGACATGGAAGAGACTGGATTTCAAACGACTGTGTAGATGTGGCTGCATGTGTTCGGGAAGTGAGAGGGAACTGTGGAGCTTGGGAAGATTTGGGTATATGGAGCGGGAAGGGTGGATAGGTAAGATTGTAATAATGATAATAATGATAACAATATTTATATACCTCACTAAAGAAATCCAGCCATCTGATTGGTCGAAATTGGAGTCATGATTTTAGCCATTCCCGTAAAGACACGAAAATGCCAATACCGGTTAATAGTCCAAGAGTGAGATCCGTCGTGCTCCTTGTGTTTGTTAATTCTTTTAAAAAACGCCATCAATAATTTACGTGGTACATGTATTATAGATGAAAATTCAAAAGGCAAGAAGATGTTTTTTTTCCCATTTTTGTTGTTGTTGTTAACCCTTTATATACGACACAAATAATTTTCCTATGTGATAGATATACCAAACACTTATTTAATTGTTTCAAGTGCAACATTGTACACCGTTGTTAAGAGGGTTTTCATGGAGCTAATGAAGACCGGAAATGGGTATCTATTTTGTGCACAGTCATTGTGTTGCACAAAGCAATCCTTCCAGCAGTTGGTGCTTATTGTTTTGTGAAAAATTACACGTGGTGCAAACGAGCTACCGTGCAGAGAGATGAAGAAAGCAACCGAAAGCAACACATTTCCGGTCTTTATTAGCTCCATGACAACCCCTTTAAAACCGTTATAGATGAATGTTGCCTTGGAAACAGTTAAAAATATTGGAGCATTTGTTAGGCCTATCGATCACGTGGTATACATAGCAGAGCACAGAGAGATCATCCATGTCAAGTTTAACAGTGGGGCATTTTAAAAGCAATACATGTCCAGTAATTATAAGCATGGTTTTTAATGAACAGAGCTGATCTTACTTATTCTCAAACTTAAATGTACTATGTAAACTTATTTTATTACGTACATACTTATCAGTATTTCGTTAGTTGTAAAATTTATTTGTTCTATTATATATTGTAATACTGTATGGTTTAGATATGTTATTTTAATTTGTGGATATTTGAGTGGAAAATGAATCAAATCAAATCTAATCAAATGTGTTTTCAGTTTAATTTTTTCTGCCAATTTCTCTTGCCCTTCAGCAGTTTTTGCCAAGTTCCAGTTCTATCTTCCATTGTCCTCCTCCCCATTTTCTCTTTTTATATATTATATATATCTCTCTCTTTCTATTTCTATTTCCCCTCCCCTCTGTTCGATCTTGTTCACTCTCTCTATTTCTCCTCCCTCATATTCTCTTTATCTTCTTTTCTATCTCGCTATCTTCCTCGTCTATCAGCTGTGTGCAAAGAATTTCTTCTATCTGTAAACTGTTTTATTTTACTTATTATTGTATTTTCTTCCCTTTCTTTAATTACTAATTGAAAACTCAATGGAACATACCACCTTATAATTGTTATCCGTAATTTTATTAACACAAACTGCACAAAATGCCACTTCTTATATAAAAAATTCACGTGCATTTGACATGTACATGACCATTTTCATCATTCTGCATTCTTAAAGACAACTCTAAAAGGAAGCAGAAGCAGACTTGTGAAGGTTTGGACGAAATCTGACAAAAAATGTAACAAGAATTAATTCTTTAAAAGTTGCAATCACTATACGTACATAATGTAGTACCAACACCAAAAATTACATTTCCCCCATTCAATATGGTCTTTTTTTAAAGGACCTATAATGATATATAAAAACACTTTTAATATTTTTGTACACAACAAACAGGATAGTTATCCGTCACTACTTGCCAATGTGAGATTCGCATAGCTGTGTTCTTATATTTCAATCATTAAAAACATATTTATTCTTGATCCGATATATTTCAAACGTTTACCCTTCTGTTTCTCAAATTTTTAAATTCTATTATAGGTCTATTTCTATTCATAGTGCCCCTCCGAAAAATGAAATAATTAAACAACAACAACAGCAGCAACAAAACAAAATTAACAAATCAAAAATAACAAAAGAAAACAGAACAAGAACAAGATAAATCAAAAGAAAAGTGTTGACATGGTCATAATTTTGGGGAAAGGATCTTTTAATCATGTCGTTGTGGCATCACAATACAATTCTCAGAAGTACAGTAATTAGTAAGTACATACTTTTTATCATATCAACAAGATATGAGCAAAGATGAGCAAGATTTTCAGATATCATAAGAATATAAATATTTTACCCTGTATCCAAACATTCAAGAACTATATACAATGAGTTTTAAAACCTTATTATTGTTATACCATGCTGAACTTAATGCAATTAATGAATGTTGAACTATTTTCCTTAGGTTATTCATTCCCATAGTTACAAGTCATTTTTTCGGTGTCGTTGTTGAAAATAAGCGTGTCTTGGTTTAAAAGGATAAACTACTAGAGCACATGACCATTGACGCCCTTATTAGATGCATGGTTTGACATATTATCTTTGAATTAATGTACCAGGTAGACGAATGCTTAACCATAGGGGTCGTGAAATTGTAACAGATCAATAGTGGTCGTGAAATTGTAACATATCAATGTATCTTATAAATAAAGCTGTTTATTAATGTATTTCAATTTATGGACGTCTCTCCCTAACCAGGCCTGTTGCCAGTCATGTTATGAAAAATGGCATTTATAGGGCTGGAATCCACTTCACATACATTGGTTGTTGCAAAGTTGGACAAGCCTCTGACAAGTTTTTAAGTTGTCACTATAAGAACTTTTATTTCTAAAAGTTGCATGGAATCAGTTAACAGGTCTTCTATAGCAAATAACAGATAATCTGATATTTGAATGAGATTTACAACGAACATACAAGTCATGTAGAGACCTAATACACTACATATACATGTATTATATAATGAATGAAATGGAGGCCTACATAACTTTGCTCCGCCAATCAAAATTGTAACAAGTAATTTATTTTATCATACAAGCTAAACAATATTTAATTTCGGGTGCAGTCAATGCATCACCAACATATTGATAAATAGATCGAAAATGAAATGTCCGCCAAAGAAGTAGAAATCGAGGATTTACTCGGGGGGTAACCTCGATTACCATGTTGCTATTTGTTAGCTCCATTTACCAAAATAATACGTATTTACATTGTACCGACTAAAATGAATGTACATATAAGTGATTTGGAGATAAATTCAAACTTGAAGTATCTATTCATGTGCTAACATATTCGTGATATAACGTTAGGATAATACTTCAAAGACATTTCACTCGTAGAATATATATACATAAAACTGACCCTATTGCACATTGAAACCTAAATTGCACATGTTATATTTCTTCATTAACTTGTACCTGTTGGAAATGCACTTGTAAAAATATTACATATGAAAGACTAGCTTATTGCACATATAAAGCATCAATATGTCTATCTGGTTCCGTTTATACTCAGAAACATGGTGGATCAGAAACATGTAATACATCAATCCTTCCTAAAATCACAATATATAGAGATCTTTTCATTCCTGATTACTCCTACGCTTTGCATAGGCCTCTCAAAGGTATCTGGCAATTTGATATCGCATACGCTACAAAGTAGAATGAAATTATGAACATAATTATGTTAATTTCCTATATATTTTTCATCATGAAGGTCCAATGCAAGCTTCTAGGAGGCCTATCTACCCCTAAGAAAGTGGTAAGTGGTCGTTTGTGTGTGGGACGTTTACAATAAAATCTTTACAAATCAGGCAAAAGGTGACCTTGCTACAGCCCCTTGAGATATGTGCGGATTAGACAATTCCCTCCATCTTGGATCTTGGATCCACCTCCGGATGAAGTTGTGTATGTGTTTAGGGACTTTGCTGATGTCGTGGTTGAGGACTACGGGACGTATATACTGTATTATGGTGAGTGTTTGGATGTTGTGGATCACGTGATGCTCGGGGTAATCTGTAGGGAAGTATGAACTCTGAAAAATGCGGTTGCCTTGGATGATGCAGAACGTGTGTTCGATGAAACGATGGCTGGGAGGCTGGTGGTAAAGACGCTACTGTCGACGTTTCTGACAGCAATGTGGGTTGTTGGATCATATGTATCATTGGTTGTTGAGGATTGATGATATGCCGTTGGTCATCATAATATGATGAATGTGTTGTCGAAAAGTACCAAGGCTGCTCTGTCATTAAGAGAGGCTGTGGTAGGCGGTGCTGTGCTGTTTGGGAGCATGGATGGACTTGTGGTTCACCCAAACGTCGTGCAAGCTGATTTGGCTGTTCACTTTGTTGTGAGCCGGACAGGTGGGTGAGTTGATTTTGTGTTTCTCTCTGTGGTGGAGCCCGAGCAAAATACAATTGTTGATGCGAATTTTCTATGAGCTCTTGGCTCTGTGACATGATGGGTTGATGCTGCTGACGCGATTGTTGAAATGGCAGAAATGGTTCGCCCACTCTGTTTTGGTCTGGATGCTGCCATGCTTCCTGTGAGACAGGTGTCTGTGAGACAGGTGTCTGTGAAAATGGCAGGTGATGCGAAACGTGTGTTTGATGTTGCTGGTTGTGATGGTAGGTGATGGCTGGTGGCAGGGATGTTCCTGACGTGGCTGATTGGCGGTGATACCGGGTGGTTGGTGTCATTCCTTGATGTGGGTTGATCATTTGTGATGAACGTGCTGTCGGAACATCTCCAAGTGACCGATATTGCTGGAGGACCGATCGTGATCTATGTTCATTGTACCAAGTTGTCCTTGTCATGAGGTTTGAGAAGACAGGATTCTGGAATTTAAGGGAGCAAAATTATAAGACAAAAACTCAAACGAAAATGGGATACCCTGCTAATTATGCAAAGAACCTTTACTTTTTGTTTTATTGGCTTGATTTCTGAAATAATCCCTTGTCAGATATTGTATATTGTACCGCTAAATATATCGATAGTGCTTTCATGACGGAGTGGAGGTGGGGGAGGGGGATGGGAGGTCTGTGAGCTTACAACCCTTCACCAAATATGTCTGGAATCTGTCATTCAAATAGATGAGAACTACATTGTAAAATGTATGCTTTCACATACTGAAGTAGAAGCTAGACGAGCAATATCATAATAAAAATCAATACGAGATGCTGTTGTGATGTTCTTAGTTAGATAACTTTTATTTAAAACTTTCCATCATTCTGTTTGGCTGTCAATCCTTTCAAATAATACAGATAATCAATGAAACATTTTTTTTTAAAGGCAACTTGATCAAAAGAGCGACGCGGGTCATATTTCACAAGAAATGTAACATTTCAGAGTCTTCAAGTTTTATTTGAAAGAGTTTTCTAAAGATCAAGGTGTGGGAGACCCTTACTTGAGCTGTGAAAGGCGTTCTTCCACCCACATCCCCTTCACTGGATCGCCGACAACGCTTGTTGTTGTTGTTGGCGGAACATGGGAGAAATAAACAATATTTGGTTATCATATGTTACCTTACCTTTGAGGAAGAAGCAAGAAGAGCAAGCTCAAGGTAGAAATCATCATATAGCAGAAACGAAAAAATCGGAGATTTCATGTAGGCCTACAATCGAGATAAAATGTAGCAACCAAACTAATCGCACAAAAACTGTATGGTAGCCGCGCTGCGCACAAACTAAGTTTTAACACGTAAACCAATGGGGATCGCAACCATTTTCCTGATATCCTGATATCACTCATGAATGGGGGTCGCAGCAAAATTTTAACTATTTTCGTGGTACCCGGAATCTTGCGGGAATGAACTATTGACCATTACTGACATTGTTCGTCTCTTTACGGGAGAATGGCTAAAATCACGACTGCAATTTCGACCAATCAGATGGCTAGATTTATAAAGAGAGGTATATAACAACTCTTAAAACTACCAATTCAAAAATATGGGTGTAACAATAGCACATGATTTACGTTGGAACCTCCACTGCCAGCAAATCCGTCACAAAGCCATGCAATCGCACATTGGTATTTCTTAGGACTTTATCACCCTGCTCCAAAGAAATAAAGAACAGAGCCTACAGAGCCCTTGTGCGACCACAGATGGAATATGGTGCTGAGGTCTGGAACCCAGCCAGCACACATCCATCTGAATTTGAGATCTTGAGAGGGTACAGATGAGAAAGCCACCGCTCGTTTCACCCATCGAGACTACCGGAAGATCACGTCTTCATTGCAGCTTAATTGTCTCAAATCTAAACTTGAAGCCTTGCATGCACAGCACTCTCGTTGCCTGTTTACACGAGCAACCAGGCAAGTACGCAGGGGTTGGAGGAACCCCCCTAAATTTTAAACACCCTCCTTCGAAAAAATCCTGCGTACGCGCCTGCGAGCAACCATGACTTTCAAAGTCTATCACAATATTCCACTCCCACATACCTTTACTCCAGCCTCTTACATCGGCAGACTATTATTGACCAGCCCCTCAAACTCACATACCAGATGCTACTCGTTTAGATAACAACCCTTAATACTACTAATAATAGGCATTTCTAGCCAGCCTGCCAGGTACCCATTTACCTCACCTGGGTCGAGTGTGGCAAATCAAGATTAGTGCCTTGCCAGATGACATTAGTGCCATGTCGGTGATCGAACCACGTCCTTTGAATTTCAAGTCAAGTGCTTAAAGGGATAGTTGAGTTCTGTTGCAGAGGGCGCTACACAAAATATTTTTTTGTGAGATAATGAAAATCTGAGTGTCAAATTTGAAAGAACATAATATTTAAATGACAAAATCATCTTTGTTTGATCAAAATCGGTTCAGAGACGGCTGAAATATAACGATTTCTAATACTTGTGTACCACCACAAATATTAGATATTTTGAAAAATTTGAAAAAACCGTTGAAAACCGTTGAAAAAAACGAAATAACGCCTTTTACGTCGTTTTTCAGCCAATGCCGATGTTGGCTTTTTTGTTGGCATTTTCGTGTTGCTTATATTATTCACAATAAGCCGGCTCATGTATTGCTATTTTTAATTAAATAATTAATTAACGGTCACCGTGTTTTTTTTTAAGTGGAGCTGAATTGGTATGATCGTATTGGCTAAATTTCACACATTTTGGGGTCTAAAATTACCTTCATAGCAATTTTAGGTTCTAAGAGGGCACTATAAATGTCATAGATAAGAATAAGAGCAATAACCATGCACTTTGAAGGAATTTGCGGTCTGAAAACAGAACTCAACTATCCCTTTAAATAACTCGACTACGACACTCCTACATACCTGTAGAAATGCGATTCATGGCGTAAACAAAGAAGAACGCAACCAATTTGAGAACTATCAATTTTAAACGATAGGGAATATATAATATACTTTTATCATTTTCATGACCGTAAGTATATTAATTACATTGTAGGTTAAGAAGTTATAGAACTAGAACATAATAATGATGTACTAATTGTCCATCGAATTACGCCTGTTATCAAGGTAATTTTTTTTAATGTGCTATGTAAACCGGAAAAAAATATCATCAAGGGATGTGGTAGGAGCTGTAATTACTGAACATCACGGTCATAAAGGTTCTATTAATAAAAAGAAACAATCATTCACAGTATGGTAATAAAACATCAAAAGAATTTTCTTTACTAGATACGGTTTAACTCATTTTGTTTGCTCGTAAATTGTGGTACGAAGTATAGTTTACAATTTCATTATTCATCATTCTAGTTAACCATTATGGTCAATGTCCCGTATTCCAGGTAAACGATATATGTGCACCTTGCAATACACCTTTGAGGATGGGGCCTGACGAGCAAGTTCGTGGTAGAAATCATCACGAAGGAAATGATGATTGTATGGATCGTGATAGTCATTTATCATCAGGTCGGTAAACCATAGACGTAATAGGTCACGTGATGCTGGGGGTCATTCCCACGTAGATTACAACCCTGAATGCACACCTTCTCTATCTGTTGAGATCAGGCGCGCCGGAAGCAGTTTGGGATTGGGGGGGCAAACATTCCAGGGGGCTCACCTTCCGAGGGCAGTGACGTAATGAGAAAAAACGTTCGGAAGGGGGGGGGCAGACGAAAAATCTGCATCACCACCAGTCTTACACGTTACATGCAGGTCCCGCGGAACGTTTTTCAAAGTGAAGTATTAACGATCAGGTAGAGCGTAAATTGGCGTGGGGTCCAGCCTCGGCAGGGTGTCAAGGGGCTGAGCCCCCGGAAGCTCAGGGGTTTTAGGTATTTAATTACGGTTAGATGAGCATCCAGGGGCCTCTTTAAGGCCATTGACGTGTTCCAGAGGGGGGGGGGGGAGCCCCCAGAAGCTCAGAGGTTTTAATATTTAACTACGGTCAGATGAGCAACCAGGGGCCGCCCTAGGGCACTTGGTGGGGTCCAGGGGGCAGGGCCCCCGGAAGCTCAGGGGTTTTAGGTATTGAATAATGGTCAGATGAGCATCCAGGGGCCCGCCTTATAGGGCCCTTGGTGGGGTCCAGGGGGCAGAGCCCCCGGAAGCTCAGGGGTTTTAGGTATTTAATAATGGTCAGATGAGCATCCAGGGGCCCGCCTTATAGGGCCCGCCTTATAGGGCCCTTGGTGGGGTCCAGGGGGCAGAGCCCCCGGAAGCTCAGGGGTTTTAGGTATTTAACTACGGTCAGATGAGCAACCAGGGGCCGCCCTAGGGCACTTGGTGGGGTCCAGGGGGCAGGGCCCCCGGAAGCTCAGGGGTTTTAGGTATTGAATAATGGTCAGATGAGCATCCAGGGGCCCGCCTTATAGGGCCCTTGGTGGGGTCCAGGGGGCAGAGCCCCCGGAAGCTCAGGGGTTTTAGGTATTTAATAATGGTCAGATGAGCATCCAGGGGCCCGCCTTATAGGGCCCTTGGTGGGGTCCAGGGGGCAGAGCCCCCGGAATCTCAGGGGTTTTAGGTATTTAATTACGGTCAGATGAGCATCCAGGGGCCCGCCTTAGAGCCCTTGGTGGGGTCCAGGGGGCAGAGCCCCCGGAAGCTCAGGGGTTTTAGGTATTTAATTACGGTCAGATGAGCATCCAGGGGCCCGCCTTAGGGCCCTTGGTGGGGTCCGGGGGCGGAGCACCCGTAAGCTCTGGGGTTTTAGGCATTTAATTACGGTCAGATGAGCATTTTTTATGCCTTATTTGTGACATTGACAGGTCACTTATTTTTTCTCTCCGTCTTTCTTTCTTTTTCTCTTTAACATACTTTTTCAAAAAGTGAGGGGGGAGGGGCTCGAGCCCAGCCACTTTGCAGACCATGTCATAAAGGCTTCTAAATAAGCGTATTTTTCGCCCGACTGTAATTTGGGAATTTCTTATTTTCCAACAAACGCATAAAAAGGTATGACTTAAAAAAAAATGGAGAAAAAATACCGGAAAATCATGTCATAACAGCAACATGTGTAAATCACTGGTATCGTATAGATATACCCCCCCCCCCCCCATCAGTACGCCAGCGTTCAGGGGCTCATGTCTTCTCACCCCTATAACAAAACCAAAAAAACAGACACGTTTTCCCATTCTCGCACAATATGTCCACGATATGCGCGTATCGCTATTATAAACCGTATAGGTAGCATGCGCAATGTTTATAAAAATTTAATTCCTGTGAACTTTCCTTTTCTTTGAATGGAATGGTATATGTGCTTTAATTCAGGTTTTTATTATTGTTATGTTCTTTTGGGTTAAAAATACAAACCATGTTTATTCCTTTACTGCTTTTTTTTTTTTTTTTGGAGGGGGGGGGGCGTTTTTGGGGGGCAAAAATGCGTTTTGCCCCCCCACTTTTTTGACTGGGGGGGCAACTGCCCCCCCTGCCCCCCCACTTCCGGCGCCTATGGTTGAGATGCCATTCATGGCGACAAAAAAAAAAAAAAAAAAAAAAAGGGGGAACAGACTATCAATTTCAAACAATAGAGAATACATGATATACTTCCAACATTTTCATGACCGTCAGTGCATTAGTTACATTGTAGGTTAACATGATAGAATTAGTATATCGTGCTTGCATCAAATTTTTTTCAATGTCATGTGACGCGTATTGACCAATCACGATGCTTAAAATACTAGAGCCATTTTATAAAACATAATAATGATGTACTAAGTATTGCATGTCCAGCGAATTGCGCCTGTTATCAAGGTAATTTTTTTCAAATGTGCTATGTACCGATAAATATAAATACATTTTAAATTTATTTGACTGTAATTAAGCTTTCAGCTTAGAGTACTAAACCGAAGAAGAAAAATATCAAGGGATGTGGTAGGAGCTGTAATTACTGAACATCACGGTCATAAAGGGTCGATTAATAAATAGAAACAATCATTCACTTTATAGTAATAAAACATCAAATGACTTTTCTTTACTAGATACGGTTGAACTCATTTGGTTTGCTCGTAAATTGTGGTACGAAGTAGATTACAGTTTCATTATTCATCATTCTAGTTAACCATATGGCCAAATCTCGTATTCCAGGTAAACGTCATACACCTTGCAAATCACCTTTAAGGATGAGGCCTGACGAGCAAGTTCGTGGTAGAAATCATCAAGAAGGAAAATATGATTGAATGGATCGTACACTGAGTCCTTTATCGTCAGGTCGGTAAGACAAGGCAAGAGACACATAAACCTGGCTAGGTCACGTGATGCTGTGGGGTCATTTTCACGTAGATTACAACCCTGAAAACACACCTTCTCTATCTGTTGAGATGCCATTTATGGCGACTGTGAGGATCTTATTCAAATTAGATAGTTCTTTGTGAGCCCATGTAAGTTATACGAGGATCATATGCAAATTAGATGTTCTTTTGTGAGCCCATGTAAGTTATGCGAGGATCGTATGCAAATTAGATGTTCTTTTGTGAGCCCAGTTATGAACAGGTGCTTAATGTAGATTTCCACTTCACTAGATGAATAGTTAAGTGTATTCATGTGTACACAATCAGAAAAATCAGAACTGATTTTAATATTTACTATATAAATCTATGTATCTACCTATTATTTGCTAGTTTATCCAAACTACGCCACCTTCGAGAACACTCTAAAAAGTCACAATCGCGCATGCGCCCACCTCCATACATCGCCTTCACGTGCGCATCGCACGCCCGCCATTCATCCTCTTTCACGAGCCTCCAAAGACATAGATTCGGACATGTTGCCCGCAAGGAGAGGGGACGGAGGGAGGGACATAGGTAGATACATAGATTTATATAGTAAATATTAAAATCAGTTCTGATTTTTCTGATTTACCACA